TCTAATATCCTTATCAATGTAATTTCAAACACTCTTACACAATCTAGTTTCAGGAGTTGATGGAGAGTTACAAGATTGAATGACAGAATAGCAAGCAAGTCTTGCATTTGACTCTTCACATGTAGAATTACAAACTGTACCTTGTCCTTGAATCTTTACAATATTTGAATCATAGAGAGATTTAGCAGACTTGTCAAGTTGACTCATGGCATTAGTAATCAATTGTCTAGCATCAGTTGCATTGGCAGCTCCAGATGAGTAATGAGTATTCAATACCTTAAAGTTTTGAAGATGTGTTTTACAGAATGAAAGTCCAGAAGGTGGAATAGGAACACATGAGGCAGCTGGTGTATAAATAGTACAATCATCTCCAGTAAATTCAGGTGGACATACTTTAACACAGTTTCCTTGAGCATTCTTTACATATCCGGAAATACATGAACCACATGGATTTGTAGCGAGTTCAGTAACATACTTTTCTTGACATTTACAATAACCTTGATAACCAGTGGTGTCCTTGTAGACACATTGTCCATATTGACCACATCCATCAGCACAATCAGCTGGTAAACGAATACAATTACCATTTTCATTATTGAAACCAAATGGACATACACAAACACCTTTTTGTAAAATAAATCCAGTCTTACACGAGCTACACAAGTCTCCAACAAATAAATCGCTTGTACATTGACACTTGGCAATACCAGTTGAGTTGAGACAAACACCTCCATTCAAACAAGTAAGTTTACAAGCAACTTCTGGTTGACCAGGAGCAGTTTCACACAATGAACCAGAATAACCATTAATGCATGAACAAAATTCCTTATTGGAAGCATCAAATTTACACAATCCTCCATTCAAACATTGCTTTGAACAAATTTTCTTTTCACACAAATCACCTTCATAACCAGAATTACAATTACATTTAGCAATACCAGTAGAGTTGGCACATTGACCACTGACACATTTCAAGGTGCAAGGATTTGGAATCTTCTTTTCACACAAATCACCTTCAAATCCTGAATTACAAGTACATTTAGATACACCATTGACATTGTCACATCGTCCGTAAACACATAGTAAATTACATGATTGTTTTTCACACAAATCGCCTTCAAAACCATTGTTACACATACATCTGGCTGTTCCTGTTGTGTTTGAACAAAGACCATTGACACATTTCAAGGTACATGGATTTGGAATCTTCTTTTCACATAAATCACCTTCAAATCCTGTATTACAATTACATTTGGCAATACCAGTTGTATTTGAACATTGTCCACTTACACATTTCAATGTACATGGATTGGCTGATAGTTTTTCACACAAATCACCTTCGAATCCATAATTACAAACACACTTCATCACACCATTGACATTGGTGCATTGACCATTGACACACCTCAAAGTACATGGTGCAGTTGTTTGTTTTTCACATAGATCACCTTCATAACCAGTGTTACAAACACATTTAGCAATTCCAGTTGTGTTAGCACATTGACCATTGACACATTTCAGTGTGCAAGGATTGGCTGATTGTTTTTCACATAAATCGCCTTCAAACCCTGGACTACAAATACACTTCATCACACCATTAACATTTGAACATTGTCCATTGACGCATTGTAAAACACATGGTGTGGTGGATTGTTTTTCACACAAATCACCTTCATAACCAGTATTACAATTACATTTGGCAATTCCAGTTGTGTTAGTACATTGGCCATTGACACATTTCAAGGTACAAGGATTTGGAATCTTCTTTTCACATAAATCACCTTCAAATCCTGAATTACAATTACATTTCTGAACTCCATTAACATTTGAACATTGACCATTAACACATTGTAAAGAACAAGGGGCATTGGATTGCTTTTCACACAAATCACCCTCATAACCAGCATTACAAATACACTTTGGTGTTGCACCAGAACCAACACATTGACCATAAACACATGCCTTGCCACATGGTGATCTTTCTGGTACAGAACAAGTCTTTCCAGAATAACCAGTATTACAATTACAATAAGCTGGATTTTGATAAGAATCAGCAGTTCTCATCATGACAGCTTCATCTCCAATTAAGACACTAGTGCCAGAGGTACAAGTACTGTTAGTTTGAATTTGACAGAATTGACCTGTTTTACCAGAAGTACAAACACAACTACTTGTTCCATAGCTGCATTAAAGTAACTGAAACCAACATTGGTACAATAATTATCATAATTGACGCAAGTTTTAGCATTGTAACGAGCAGTAACAGCAATACAGACTGGATTAGATGCTGGACAATCAAGACTAGTGGAACATTGTTCTTGGCATAATCCACTTCTACATTCAGAGTTATAATAACCCATTCCCAAACAATCAGCTTTAGTTTCACATAATCTGGCAACACATTTCTTTTGGTTATTACAATATGGGGTCTTTGTGGAAGCTATTCCTTGACAATCAGCATCAGTTGCACATTGTTCAACACATTTAGTGTTTGAGCATTTTGGTTTGTTTGGATCTTTACAATCATTATTACTTGAGCATTCAGAATGACAAATCATTTGACTTGAATTTGTGGAAATTAAAGAAACAGAAAAACTTCTAGAGGATGCAACAATACAAGATGGATAATTTGGATTTGTACAATCAGAGTTTGAGGAACACTTTTGATATGAACATCCCTTATATCCAAGAAGTAAATCTTGGCAAACTTCATATGCATTTCCACATTGAGAATTGTCAGTACATCCAGCTGAACACTTATTATTGATACAAATCTTTCCTGAAGAACAATGGGCTGAGGTGGTACATTCTGGTGCACACTTTTTAGCGACAACATCACATCTTGAATTCACTGGATCGTTACAAGTAATGGTTGGGGATACAAGATTGCATTCATAGAAACAAACAGTTTGATCTGAAGAATAAAAAGTTGAAGCACTCGAGCTCACTTTGCTATAAGGAATACAAGCACTATATGTTCCAAGATTTGCACATTCTGAGCTTGAAGAACACTTCTTATAGGCACAATCATATTGGTTAGAAGAGTCCTTATAACAAACTTTGTTAGTAGAGGCACACACATCCCTATCAGTAATTTGATCACAACTTGAGCAAGTTCCTGCATTACAGAACTTCTTATTACCATAACTAAAACAATCTGTATCACTTGCACATTGAGATGCGCAAGTTCCATATTTAGTATTACATACTGGATATTTTGGATCTTTACAATTTGTATTGGATGTACATTCTGGAGAACAAACAGTTGCTGAAGTATTCAATGTCAATCCATTAATAATATATCCAAAAGTTGATGCTGGTTTACAATATTTGAAGAGTAAACCCTTACAATCAGTATCAGCATTACAAAGTTTGTAATTACAAGATTTGCTTCCATCCAAATGAAGTGCACAACCCTTAGTACCATCACAAAAACCATCACTTGTACATGGGGCACACTTGGTATTCACACAAAAGTTCTTTCCACATTGACTATTGGATGTACATTCTGGAGCACAAACGTTTTTGGTACATTTGGATTTGAATGGATCTTTACATTGACTGTCAGATGTACATTCAATATCACATGTTCCCTTATTACAAATTGGATAGGAAGCTCCACAATCAGAGTTAGAGAAACAAGGTTTCAATTCACAATCACCAGTTGCATTACAATATGGTCTAAAAGCATCAGTACAAGAACTATTAGAGGTACAGAATGGAACACATTCTTTCCAAGAAGTACATTTGTGTTTGTTATAGGTTGAACTACAATCAGCACTTGTTGAACATTCATTCAATTTGACACGACACTTGTTAGTGGAAGTATCACAAGCACTTGTACTATTACAATGACTATCAAGTGTACATTCTGGTGAACAAACACCTGATCTACATCTTGGTTTGGCAGCAGTTGAACAATCGCTATCGATATCACATTCAGGTTTACAATAGCCAGATCTACAATATGAGTTAGGACTAGTAGATCCACAATCCATTGCAGAGGTACATGCCTTATATGAACAATCACCAGTGGTGGTATTACAAGTTGGGAAAGCATAATTCGTGTTGCAGTCAAAATTGGTAGCACAATTGGCAACACACTTATTTCCTGAACATTTGTGTCTATTCGCAGTACCACTAAAAACTCCAAGTTAAAAATGAAATATTTCACAAACTTACCTGCAATCAGAATTTTCATTACATTCAAAGGTACAAATCTTTTCACTTTGAGAGAGTATACTTTCATCATAAATATTGAATTTGCTTGCTGGGAAACATCCTCTACCTGAAGGACATTCACTAGTGGATGAACATTTCTGATATGTACACAACGTATATCCAGATGGAGTAATACCACAATAGTCCTTATTTGGTAATCCACCTGTACAGTCTGCTGTTGTTTTACAGTTGGCACATGTTCCTCCAATGCATTTAGAATAACGGAAATTAATATTAGTTATGCAATCAGAATCTTGTGAACATGGACTAGATGCAACACATTTAGCTCCAAGATTGGTATTATTCTTTACACATAATTGCTTTTCAACTGATTTACAGTCATCACCCATGCATTCCTGTTACAATTTTGTTACAATCAAAAATGTTGAAAAGATTCTTAAAACTTACACCATAGCAATGAGTTCCAATGCATGAACTGAACCAAGGATTAGTACAAGTAACATTGGCATCACAATAATTGGTACATCTTCCATCAACACAAGCTGTTTTATCGTCATCTCTTCCAGAACATTGACTGTGTGTTTCACATTCTTTTTACAAATTTAGAATAAAAAATCAAAAAGAAAACATACCTGATTTACACAAACCATCCGAACAACGTGTAAAAGCTCCCCAAGTACAATCAGCTGCAGAAGAACATGTTTTAAGTGCACAATCATTAGAGGTGGCGTTACAAATTGGATGACTTCCAATAGGACAATCAGAATCTGATTGACAATTTTGAACACATTTTCTACCTGCACATTTGTGCTTGTTTAAAGTTCCACTATATATATGATTTTCAGGAAAATATTCCTATAACACTGAACTTACCTGCAATCAGCATCAGTTTCACAATTATAATCCAAGCAAACTCTTGTTTCTGGATCTTCAAAATCATTAATACTAAAGTCTGTTGCCTTCCAACATTTCTTCTCTCCTGGACAATCACTAGATGATGAGCATCTTTGATAGGTACAAGCAGTGATACCATCATCAGTCAATCCACAATAATACTTGTCATTATTTGGACAATCTGAATTTTGTAAACAGTAAGCACATGTACTATTCATACACTTTGAATAAATCCAGTGATAATCATTTGATGAACCGCATTGGGAATCTGATGAACATGCAGAACCTAAAAAAGTAATAAATTATTAGTATTTTAATATAAAAAAACATACCTGGAACACATAAATTACCACCATTAGTACTATTATGATAACATTTTGGCTTTTGAAGTGATTTACAATCATTTCCAGTTGAGCAAGACTATTTTCAGTAATTAATATAAATGTAATAGTTATTCAAAACTTACAGGGAAACAATAATTACTCAAACATTTACCGAACCAAGGATCAGTACATGGTTGATCATCACTACAATAGTTAGTACACTTGTTATCCATACAGACATGTTTACCATCTGTCTTATCTTTACAATCAGCATTGGATGTACATTCTATTACAATGATTAAGTATTACTGAAAATTACAAAATGTTAAACTTACCATAAGAACAAACTGAATTAACACACAATGAATTTCTATTTCCAAGAGGTGAACATTCATCATTGGATGTACATGATTGAGCAACACAAATACCACCATCAGTTGTCTTTGCATTTGCTGGTCTTTGACATTTACCTTTTCCTGGCATGGAACATTCCAAATCCTTGGTACATTCTAAAAAGGCATTAAATTATAAACATTCTACAAGTTAAAACTTACCATGACGACACATTCCATTCACACAATGAGGGAAATAACCTTCTCCATAAGATTTACAACTCTCATCACTTGTACATGTTTGTGTAATACATTTAAATTTAGAAGCATCACACCTTTGAGTACCTGGTCTTCCACTACAATGAAAATCAGTAGAACATTCTCCATTACATCTATTATTATCACACATTGGACTCCAATTGAATCCCAAACAACCATAATCACCAAGACATACTTTTTCTTTACAAGAATAATTTGATAAATCACAAGATGGTCTAGTTGGGGAGGTACAATTGGTGTCAGCAATACATTCCTTACCACAATTCATCAGGCCAGTTAGAGGACTTGTCATACATGCACCGAATTTTGAAGGACAATCATCATTGGATTCACAAATATCATTCAAGTTATAAGTTGCACATTCATATCCATTCTTGGCCATGCAAACATTAAATGTTCCATAACAATCATTATCAACAAGACAAGCTGTTGCACATTTTCCAGATTTACAATACTTATTGGCTCCATCTTGAGGACAATCACTATCTTGACTACATGTTCTTTCAACACAGACATTATTTTCACAAATTGGTTTGCCAGGAGTATTAGAACAATGAGAATCAGTTTCACATTCAATGGCACAAACTTTAGAATTTCCATACATGGTAGAATAGGGAGTTACTCTACAGCCCTTTGTGGAAGCAGGACAATCTTTACCATATTTACACATAGTAGGAACACACATATTCAATGTAGTATTACAAGTTGGGGTATCCAAATATGAACTACAATCAGATGAGGAAGCACAAGGTGGATACATGGCCTTACATTGAGAATTAATACAATACTTATTGACACCATTTTGTGGACAATCCTTATCAGCTGAGCATGATTTAGCAACACAAGTATTTGAAGAACAAGTTGGTTTTCCATTAACATTCTTACAATTGGCATCTTCTGTACATTCCACCTTTGAACAATAACTTGTTCCATTCAATGGCAAGAATGAACAATATTTGTAAGAAGTAGAGCTGCATTCAGATGAAACGATGCATGGCTTTGGTACACATGCTCCATTTTTGTTACAATATGGTTTACCAGGTACTGATTCACATTCAGAATCAACACTACATTCAACATTATCACAAGTTGATCTAACACAATATGGATAAACAGGATTTGTACAGTTAGAAGAGGTAGTACATGGTGTCTTTTCACATCTACTTCCCTTAGCTCCGTAATCAACACAAATTGGGAATCTAGCAGAAGTACAATCAGCATTTGAAGAACATGTCTTTTTACAAGTTCTATAACTTGTTGAGGAACTATCAGTGTCACATTTTCCAAATCTATATTCATTAGTACAATCACTATCTGAAGCACATTCAAAGGCACAAACACCACTAGATCCACAGAAATACATACCATTGGTAGTACAAGTAGATACTGCATATGTATTGGCAGTAGAACAAGATACTGGTGAACAATAAGAAACTCCAGAAACTGATTGACAAAGCTTGTTGGCAGAGAAACCAGAACATGAACCACAAGGTCTCTTACAAGTTAATGAATTGGTACGAACCATTCCAGGTTTACAGGCACAATTATCTTTAGATTCACACCAACCAGCATCAACAGATCCACAAACTTCAGGATTATCTGATTTCATTGATCCACAAGTGGTAATATTACAACTGGATCCAGTGAAAGAGTTTGTACATGTACAAGTATCAGGTTTAGAACAAGTACCATGGCCACTACAAACAAGTGAATTTGAAGCAGGGATACCAAAACAAGAAATTGCTTGACATTGACTTCCAGAATAACCACTTTGACATTTGCATGTATCCTTAGCGATACATTTACCATGTCCACCACAAACAGATGTATCTAAATTGGAAGATCCAAAACAAGTTGTTTGTTCACAATTACTTCCATTGAAACCAGAATTACAGGTACAGTTATCAAAACCAGAACAAACACCATTTCCACTACAAACTGTAGAATTGGTATTTGGAATTCCATTACAAGTTGTAAATTGACATTGATTTCCATTATGATTAGGAGTACATGAACATTTATCTAATGAATCACATGTACCATGTCCACTACAAACACTTGAATCATTTGCTACCTTATCAAAACACTTGAGTTGACAATCAGGACAAATAACACCCTCACAATCAGCACCATTCAAACCAGTTCTACATTTACAAATACCACTTCCGACTTTTTTGGACTTGTCATAAATGAATGTACATTGACCTCTTCCATTACAAACATCCAAAGCAGAAGAATACTTTCCATTACATTGAATTTCACATTTGTGATCAAAATCAATTCCAGGAATAGTACTAATGCAACTCTTTGGAGTGAGAATTTTGATCGAATTTGAGGATGAATGGACATACATGATAGATCCATCATCTAACAATACCATATCAGAGGCACCAGCCATCAAAGATTTAACAGAACTATCAGTACTAAGATAACCCGTATCTTTAACAATTGTATAGAATGTAGTGAATGTCGGATCTGTAACAAATACTTGTTCTCTATCAGAAACATAAACGATTGAACCTGCTGAAGCAAAAGTGAATGCTGGATAAATTTCACCAGCCCAAACGAGATCCAAAGTGTAAATTGAAATAACATTCTTCTTGAAAACATAGACATAGTCACCAGCAACAGCCACATTCAAAACAAACCTTGCACCAACATTACTCAAATCTCCAAGATAGTTACAACTTTTACCTTGATTGACAGCACTATGTTTACAAAGATATTCCTTATAGGAAGCAACTTGTATAGCATACATACTTTGTGTTTTTGAGCTGAAACCACCAAATGTCAATTCTCCCCAAAAACATGAAGAACCACAAGAGCTAGCGCTAGAACCATCTGAGCCAGCAGAAGAGGCACCACCAAATGAAATGACAACATTACCATTCTGAGCAATTTTCAAAAGGAAAGTTCTACCACCATCAGTTGCCATACAAAAGATTACATCATTATCATCAATAGAAAGTGTTCTTGGATAATATGGAGCAATATTTGCTACTGTTGTAATTATATTAGTCAACAAGTCAATCTTTCTAATTCTTTTACCATTTCCTTCAGCAATATACAAGTAATTACCCTTTTTGGCAATCTTTTTAATATTGTTAAAATAAGCAAATTTGTAAGAATCATAATCTCCAATATTTTCAACATCTCCACCAGCAATTTTAGTGAATGAAAGTAAATCAAGATCAACTAAATAAACAGAAGAAGATTCAGCAACAATAAGAGTCTTGGAATTGAGTTGAGTTGCAGAGACAAGCTTTTTTTCAAAACTGAGCCATGTTGAAATAGTTCCACTATTTGCATCACCACTGAAAAGCTTAATATTGTTATTGGAAAGGAAATACTTTTTAGAGTTTACAGTGAAATAATTACTTAATGGACCACATTTAGAATTTGTAGCATCACCATCAACATCGTACACCTCACCATATGAACACCAAGCAATTAATTCAGCATCACTTGGGGAAGGTTGAGCAATCTTGTAAACACGTTTTTGTTTTGTCATACTATAATCACCATCTATCATAAAGTACATGGTCTCATCAGCATCAACAAAGAGTGAAATACCAATATAGTCCAAGCCATAAATCACATCTCCAGCAGTAGTCTTGATCAAGAGTGATTTCAATCCTTTATAAAGAATACCTCCAGATCCAGAATCCATGTTACTAGTGTCAGCTGTGTATAACTTTATCATTGAACTACCATCGATAGTAATCTTTTCAAACCAAAGTTGATAAGCAATAGAGTTTGTACCACTGACACGATTAACCATATCCCAGTGAGTAAAATAAATGTAGCCATTTCTGTAACTAATAGCCCTAATATTCGCATAAGTTCTAGAAATGTAGGTTGGTGTAAAGGAAAAAGTTGCACCAGTGGTCAAATCAATTCTTCCGATAGAAGCTTTATCTGATTTAACATAGAAGAGGTACTTTTCACCACATGTCATATCTTTGGTAATTCCAGAAACATCAATAATCTTAACAAACTTGGATGGATTTACCATTTTATAAACAGAAGAATCAGTGACAACATAAATGGTCTCATTAATGTTACATGTTCCAATAATATTCTTGATAGGAACATCAAGACCATATCCATCAGGGAATTTAACAGGACGAGAGTGTGAGCTCAAAAAATCCTTACTCTCAAACTCATAGAACGAGTAAGGTGTTGTTGCATGGACAAGGGCACATGCCAGGAGTACTGTTAGAACAAGTACCCATAAAGAGTTTCGTTGTAGCTCCATTTTTTTGTTCAAACTTGTTTTTGCTGGGTAGCTTAGCCAACCGCAACATGTGTTGTTGTTAAACATGTCTATTTTAATGCTTAGATTCAAGAGATCGTCTTCATTGCCATATTGTATCACTACAAACATAGTATTTATTGTAAATGCATGCCTTTATTTAAAGAGTACTAATAAAGACATGAAGATGGGGCTCCAAACTTGTGTTTAATCTCCTAATTGTAAACATGCACTTTTGGGAGATTCTGGCTTTTAAGGCGCAAGTGTATTTGAGACATTCACCGACTATTAAGAGGCCTCTGTTGTTTCACATAGGACGATAATTGGTTCTGTGTGTATTACCACAGCGAGGAAAACCACAAGAAATACAAGACTTCCTTAGTTTTCCTCAAGTTAAAACTTGGCGGAAACACATGCTGTGATATATTAATAAACCTTAATGATTCACCTTAATTAGGGTGGAAACACAACAAATTAATAGTATGCAGTTCACCCGTTTTACGTTGCCAGCTGAATCATTGGCTTGCAAGAAAAATGAAAGCGATACAAAGTCTACCCAAGTATGCGATACCAAATCATACCGCTAATTTGCTGTAGTTCCAAAAAAAGTCCATTCTGGGAATCAAAACAAAATTTTCCTACACTATTTGAGTTTAGCTCCTCAAATCAAACCAAAAGCTAATAAGGAACTGAAGGATGAATAAGGAAGAAAAAATCGACAGCGCTAAATCAAACTTTTAAAGCACGAATTAGGTTGGACCAAGGCAGACCCACTCTTAAAATATATTCCCTTCACTCTGATATTCGAGTGCCAAGCAAGCAAATGCTCTTGAGCATTTCCGGCTCCAGAATTTTGGTGTGAATGCTCGTGTGCAAGCTCCTCTATTTCCATTTATAACCTTCAGTTCCATTCCTGACCTTCAGTTCCATATTAAAATATCAACAAAATGTATTTTAAAATGTATTATTAATAATATAATAAGGCTGGCAATTATTTGTTGTTGAATCAGTCCTGTTGGTTGAATTGGCACATTGTGTTTCTTTGATTTTGTGTTTACCTTAATTAAAATAGTAGCGAGAAATAACGTTGCTTACTACATGTATGTATTCTACCTTATTCCAGATCCATTTCCAAGTGGAAAAAGCAAGGGTTGTGAAGGATTTATTTATTTTGGAAGCTCTGTTATTAGTTGTAAGGATTTATGGATTAATAGTCAACAGGTGAAATTACCTCTAATGTTTGATATAAAGCTAGTGAATGTGCAATTAAAGTCAGTGTTCAAATCGTAAAACCCATTAATGATGGGCCAAACAAATTTGGATACTAAGAATTTGCCGCCTGTCAAAATGAAAACCGTTACGATTATTAAATAATAAATATTCACCATCAGAAAAAAACTTACCAACAAGAAATCACACCAACAACAATCAATAATTTATTTACCATGGGTGTGATTTCTTGTTGGTAAGTAGTTAGTTCAAAAAAATTGATGTGATAGAGCTGTAACATATTTCCACGTATCAACCAATTTCACACTTATCTCATCAACATTAGGTATCAAGCAAAGATGATCTTGCCATTACAATATCCGTCGAGGCTTTAAACCCCAGATAGTACGCACTCGCAGATGCTCGTATAAATAATTCACGGTTCTTCAAAGATGATGTTTTCACACACAAACAAAAATGCAACTCCACTACTTTAACATCCAAGCTGTAAGTAATCCAATAATAATTGGTTATCGTGATGTGCTAATCTCATCTTTTAACACGTTTGTGGTAAAAATTATATAAATCTTCATCGTCATCCTTGTCATCTTCGTCGTTCCTATATTGTGAAAATAATTATTATTAATATTAATATTATTTCACAGAGATCCGAAGCCGCTTACTTGATTGCTCTCCAAGGTCAACTCCCAGTCGAAAGAAAGGGTGTTAGCAGTTTTGCTGATAGTGACTTGAAGAAGAGTGCCCCATTCGGCCAACTTCCTCTCCTTGAAACTGATGATAGCACAGTTCTTGCCCAATCACTTGCCATTTGTCAATTTTTGGCTGAAAAGTCAAACTTGCTTCCATCCCAATCAAGTGCCAATCAAGGACAAGACTCTGCCTTGTTAAATGCTCTTGCATTGTCCTATGTTTTGGGTGTTGATGAATTCAGAAGTGAAGCTTATCGTGCTCATAGACCAACCACTGCTGAAACTGCTGAAAAAGACAAAACTGAATGGAAGGAAGGAAGACAAGCATTCTTCTTGTCTAAATTCGAACAAGTTCTTGCTCACTCAAAGAGTGGCTTCCTTGTTGGAAACACCTTGTCATGGGCTGACATTTGTCTCTATGATGCCTTGTATGAACAAAAGTTCTTGTTTGCTTCTGATTTTGCTGAAAAGTATCCACATTTGAGCAAGTTGATGAATCAAATGGAAGAATTGCCAAATCTCAAGTCCTATATTAATGATCCAAATAGATTGCCACTCTACTTGCCAAAATGGAGAAATTAATTAGTAAACTAATAAATTAAATATATTATTAAATTCTTATTGTTGTTGGAAAGTAAAAATTACTTGTCCTTCGATGATTCAACTTCCTTTGTTTCCTTGGTATTAGATTCCCTTTGTTTTAGTTGAACCTTATCCTCCAAATCAATAATCTTCTTTTCCTTCATATTAACTCCTAAAGTGATCAAAGACAAAACTGCTCCGATCATGGACATGTAAAAGTTTCTCTGTGCTCTAAATTCCTTCATTTGTCTCTGTGCTTCCAACTCAAAGGTCTTTGCAGTAGCCTTCTCAAGATGATACTTATTCATATCCGAATAGCAGAAGAAAGCCAACACTAAAAAGACAACCAACAAGCCTAAGAAAATTGCCTTTCCAGAATCCAATTTTCTAACGAGTTTTGTCCTCAAGAAGGATGGAAGAGGAACAAATAATAGAACCAAGTTTAGGGTGGTGAGGAGAGCAAGGGCAAGAAAAACGAGATACCAACTTGACATTTTTTTTATTAAAATATTTTTAGTTGTTTCCATTCTATATGAAGAACAAATTTGGAAATTTTATAAATATTTGAAAATACGTGTAAATTATTGTAAATTATTCTTGTATACCGGGAAACGTACTTGCCAACTAGTACACGAAAAACAGCTCTTGAAACGTGCACTTGTGTGTTTAAGAATGAGAAGGTCAAAATCCTTAATATTTACTTTATTATTTACAACTTTTCCTACCCTCAAAATTTACTGTAGTTACAGTATTGTGTGACTTGTGAATTATACCACAGTGGCTTTCCTTTTTGAGTTTTTTTTGAAAATGGAGTTTGAACACTAGGTGGGTTACGTGGTGCGTATTTCAGTTACTAAAACAATATTGAATATATAGTAGTATGAAGAGTATATGATTGTATGATTTGTGAACTTGAGTAAGGAAATTATTCGAAACTAACTTCTTCTATTTGTCACTTTTCATGGAAATTGAGATTCAATGAAATTAATTAGAATTTAAACAATAAGTGTATATATCTCCACACGTTGTAAACAACTCACACATCGCAAGAAGCCGCCTGAAACTACTGAACTTGGTTTCGAATAAATTCAACAATCATTTTCACATTTCTTCTCAATCCAAAAAAAAAAAACAATCTCAAGAAAATGAAAACTATCATTCTCTCCCTTGTCCTCCTTGCTCTCCTTGCCATGACATCAGTCAATGGTCAATACCTCAGAACTTCCAGCTACACTGACTCCAAATGTTCAAGCACTATCCCAATGTTGGATCTCTACACTCCAAGTACTAACTGTACCTCCAACCCAACCTGTACTGCCAGTAACACCACCTCACTCTATTCCACTACTCAATGTACTTCAACTGTTCCTTCCATTGGTTCCAAGAATACTTTACAATTATCCATTTATTCTGACACTACTTGTGCTAGTGCTAATTTGGCTGTTTCACAAATCTTCCCATTGGATACTTGTGTTGCTATTTCAGGTGTTGGTTCCTATAAGAGTACTGCCTGTAGATATTTGACTATTTATTATGATAGTGCCTGTACTAGTGTTAAACAAACTGTCGATTATTCTGCATATAATGGCGTTTGTCTTTCTGGAACTAAATATGTTTGTTCTGGAGCTGAAAAGATGATTGGATCAAGCATTATGATCGCATTGATGATTATTGTTTCATTCTTTACTTTTTAAAATAAAGTAGTATTTATAACATAAATTATTAGAATGTTGTTTTGTGACAACATAACAAGGATTGAAGGATAAGGAACGAAAACTTTCAAGAACATGGTGAATTGAGATTAGAAAGCATTAATCAACTTTTTAGCTTCAGAATCAGCAGATGGACTTTGTCTTTCATTGGCGACCTTCATAACAAGAGTCAAATTGCATTCCAAAGTGACAACCAAATCAGAACCATTAACCTTGTAAGAATAGCCAAGGAAACCAGAAGATTCCTTACTATCAGCATTGTGAACAACTCTGAAAATCAACTTTTCCAATCCCATGAATGCTTCCTTACAATCAGGATCTTGGATGAAAACCTTGGCAATTTCACTCATATTGCTCAATCTTGGACTTTCGGTTAAGAATTTGATACAATTATTCAACAAGGTATCTTCAGCAAATCTGTCACCATACTTGTACTTGGTTTCAGTTGGCAATGCTGCAAGAGAAGCCCAATCCAACAAGATGATCATCTTTGGATTGACTTGTTGAAGATTCTTGGTAGCAGGAACAAAACGATTGTTGAATAATTCACGAACTACCTTCTTGAATGCCAAACCACTTCCACATACGTTTTGGTTGAATAATTCTTCGTGAGTAAGTTGAGTCATTTCTTAAGATTTTAATAGCTTTTGAGTTATTTCAAATATTGAATTTGTTTTTTGATTTGTTTAATAACTCCTGTGAATGGTAAATTGATTTTATAGCAAATTTTAATGACTAAGATTACAATAGTTACAATGGAGTTTAATAGAGTTCAAATGTTTTCTGAGAATTGAAGTGATTGAACAATTGTGGAACAACCTTATTGAGAAGTCAGTAAGAGGAATGGTAACACCTCAGTTTCTTTAGAATGCATCTTACTATCGAATAGGATGGAAACAGCAAAAATTGGATATGGAAAAGGGAGGATATTAGTTTACAATATTCTCATTTAACCGTAAGGATAGCATAACTGCTAATAATTGGGAACTCATTGTAACTTGTGTAATCACTAAATTGATAACACTAAAAAATTAGCACTTCATGTAGACATGCACACATGTACAATCATCATGCATGATTTTGAAATACGAGTTTACATGAATAGTTATTGAATCAACATCTCAATTTTATTGAAAATATCAAGAATTGGAATTTAAAGCAACATGTGGTTTTTCGAATAGATTACTCTTCATGTCGTGTTCTTATTGGTTGAATTCAGGTAAAACTTCACTCATTTGACAACTTGTTCTGATGATGTAAGGGATTGAGTATGTATGTTATTTTGAAACAGTTTATAATGTCTCTGATTTCGAACAATTAAGAGATTAAACAAGTTTTAAAGAGTGTGTTTTCTTCTGGTTGCGTTGACCAGAATCATTGTTTCACATGCAAGAGCTTCATATTTATGTGAATTGTAAACAAAATACATCGTGTTAATTCATATTAGGATGCCATCTTTTTAACAAATACATCTATTATGATATTTCATTAAATATATGATCAATCAATACATAGTAGAATGCTCTTAGAAGTCATAGTAGAAGGATCATTGAAATCAAATAGCTGCTCCACAGTTTAAAGAAAAAAAAGCGGCAAAAAATTAAATCCAAAAAAAAATTCAAAAATCTGCTTTTCACTCGCGCCGTTTATTGTTTTTTGATTTTCATCATCTACGAGGATAGTGCAGCAATTTAAATAATTCATCATCCATATTTTGTATAGATAGTAATAATAATAATAATATTTATTTTTTTGATATAATATATAGCGATCATCATCATGGCTCTTTATTATCAACAATATTATAATGCCTCACAATTAAATAATTCTACCAATCAGAATAATCATAACAATTTTCAATTACCAGTGTATGAAGGAAGTTATTTACATCCGTATTCAAAGTTGAGCTCTGATGGGTGTTCTAACTTGATCTTGTCGCAATATGCTGCTCCAAACTCATCACCTATTTCACTGGGAGAAATTACACAAATCACCAATGAAGTTAACACAATAGTTGATCAGGTGTATAACTCTGTGAAAATGTATGATTATATTTATTGGACTACATTTATTATTAGTATGGTATTGGCCATACCAACAATGGGTTTATCAGTGTTTGGAATTATATTTGTCATGTTCTTGCCAATGATGAAGGCACAAAAGATTATCACCAAGTTGAACAATGTTGCCAAACCACAAATTCAACAAGTATTGGAAAGGAAGAATCAAGAAAGATTTGAACCAGCTGGTTTGCAATGGTGTGTTGGTTACAGACAAATTTTGGTTGCTATCGTTGCTAACAGATATAACAATACTCCAAAATTTGAAACATCCATCGATATTAGTTTGAGACCAGTTCTCAGACAACCTGTTGTCATGGTAGTTCAACAACCACAACCTGTATATAACGTCCCACAACCAATGGTTCAACAACCATTCAATCCAAATCAACAACCAATCGCTGCTGAACAAAAATAAATTATTCCTTCCTTAATATATTTATTATATTATTATATTAAATAGTACAGTTACAATTCAATTCCAAAGTTCAATTATACATTATTGAACTTGATTCAAGTAGATCAGCCACTATGCATTCATCAAAACATTCAATTAATATCATCTGCAAAGAAAAATGTCCACAACCAACAACACTCTCAAGAAAGCCCTCTTGTGGTTCCGAAATGATTTACGTCTTCACGATAATGAAAGTCTCATCAAAACTCTTCGACTTGCAAACTCATCCAATAATAACACATCAAAGGTTGGAGTATTGCCACTCTATTGCTTTGATCCGAGACATTTTGGATTCTCTAGGATTGGTAAATTCAGAAAGGCCAATGCAAATAGAACTCGTTTCCTTACTGAATCAGTTGACAATTTGAGAAAGAATTTGATGAATGAATGGGGACTCAAGTTGATGATTCAAATAGGACACCCAGAGGAGATTATTCCACATTTGTGTTCTCAATATGAAATTGAACAGGTTTTTGCAGATAAGGAAGTAACAAGTGAGGAAACAAGTATTGAACAAGTGTTGGAAAAACAAATCAATGTGAATTATTCTTATGGATTTTCAATGGTTCATGTTGAGGATTTACCATTCAAAATAGAAAACCTTCCTCATGTTTTTACTGATTTTAGGAGAAAGGTCGAAAATCCAAAGCTCATAGTGAGACCACTTCTTCAATTGAGTCCAAACGAAAAGAAACTAATCTCATCACGAGTAGTTAACCTCATCCAAGATGAAAATGCACTTGGTAAAACACCAGATTTGAAAGTTTTAGGATATACAGATGAGGAAATCTCAGAAATGATGGAAAATCTCAAAGATCCTCGTTCAGTTCTCCACTTCAAGGGAGGTGAGGATGAAGCTCTTGCTCGCCTCAATGACTATCTCTGGACACAGGACAGACTGAAAACATATAAGGAAACCAGAAATGGTCTCGTTGGAGAGGCATACAGTAGTAAGCTGAGCCCATGGCTTTCACTCGGTTGCATTTCACCTCGTAAAATTTATCACGAAGTGAAAAGATATGAAAAGGAAAGAGTTGAAAATGACAGCACTTATTGGTTGATTTTTGAATTATTGTGGAGAGATTACTTTAGATTCTTTGCTGAAAAGTTTGGAAATCATATTTTCATGTTGAAAGGTGTCACTCGTGCTTCATCGAAAAGGAAGGGTCTGATTGGAGATAGCTCTTCCAATAAGGTAGAATCGAAATATGACGAAACTCGATGGAAACAAGATTTAAAATTGTTCAAATTGTGGGCAGATGGTAAAACTGGTCTTCCATTCGTTGATGCCAACATGAGAGAGCTCAAAATTTCAGGTTGGATGAGTAATAGAGGTCGTCAAAATGTTGCCAGTTTCCTCAGTAAGGATTTGAATTTGGATTGGAGATTGGGAGCTGAATATTTTGAAAGCTTACTATTGGACCATTCAGTGACGAGTAATTGGGGTAATTGGCTCTATGCTGCTGGTGTTGGTGATGTGGATCCGAGAGGAGAGGCCAGATATTTCAATGTTGTGAAACAGGGCTTTGATTATGATTTCAATGGAGAGTTTGTCAAGTTGTGGATTCCTGAGCTTGATCAGGTTCCCCAACGATGCATTCATGCACCTTACTTGATGAGTGAGTCTGAGCAGACGAATGCTAAATGTACTATTGGAGTGGATTATCCTAAATCATTGGTGAATGTGAAGGCTCATCATCATTTGAATGAGAATGGAGTCAAGGCAAATTATAAACATAAAACTGGTAAGGCCAATGAAAGGGAGAGAAAAATCAGATAAAATTCCATATAATATTATGATAATTATACCAATATTCTAAATTTTCTAAAAGAAGTTATTATATTTTGTACATTTTTGGTTAATTAGTTCATTTGAATTATTTCAAATTCATAACTCGTCTCATTAATTCGTCATCATCCTCAATTTCATCCAAATCCTTTTCTTTTCGTGAAGCTTTTAGAGCAGAAGATCCAGTCTTGGCACCTGATAATTTTCCACTCACTTCCAATCCAATTTCATCATAAATTTGTTCCATTGCTTCATCTACTTCTTCCTCTTCATCTTGGAACATATCATCCAAAGCATCATCCATCATTTCTTCAGTCATACTTGTCTTTTCTTGTGCCTGTTGGAATTCCATCATTGTCTTTTGCATATCTTGAAGATTCATTTGTTGATTCATCTTTTGCATGACATTTCCAGTTGCCTTGATAGCTCCAACCATTTTATCTTGTGCTTGCATGGATGTTGCTTTGAACTGCACTGTATTCATTGTTTGTTTCATCTTTCCCATTCGTTCTTGTTGTTTTCTTAAATTTACAATTTGTTTAGCAAGAGTTTTGGCAGTTGTCTGATCTCCTTTCTCAAGAGCCCTCTTTACTTGAATTTGAAGCTTTTGCTCTTCTGTTTTTAATTTATTAGCCTCTCTGTCCATATCCCGAGTACCAGAACGAAGTTCCTTCTTTTGCTCCTTCAACAATTCTTGATTGGTTTTTGCTTTCTCAAAGAGTGGCATAGTGTATTTACAAATTTATATTAAAAGGATGAATATTATTTGGATTATTTGGATTATTTGGATTGTTTAGATATAGTACAATGGTATCCGATAGTTTTTAGCAGTATCAAATCACTCTCCTATTTTAAAATTAGCAATTTGTTGTTTGGTGTGATGAAAAATCTCCTTGTTGCAATTTTTTTGTTTTTATTTTTAAATTTTTTAAAGTTGTTTGCTGTTGAGAAATTGGAAATGAAATGGAAGAAGGAAGAGAGGAACAAGTTCAATTTGGTGTGGTTTCAAGTTTTTTAACAATTTCACAAATGAAAGTGATTGGAGCAGGTTTAAATATAATATTTGAAATGTTTAATTCAATAGAGGGTGATTAAATGTTAGCAAGAATGCTTCCTTGAGTTTGTTCCTCATAGGTCAAATTATTTTCCTTCAAATAGGTCAAAACTGCTGGTTTGATTTTAGGTCCAGAAGCATCAGAGTGATTACCAGCACCATAGATGATGGTTAATTGATTGATGGATTGACTCTTTAACTTTTCAATTCTTTGTTTCAAGAAATTCATGGCAGCATCAACATATTGTCCATGCAAATCAATTTCAGTTTCTGGTCTGTCCTTATTGAGATGATCATACATGACATTGGCACTTTCTTCTTGATATTGCTTCATCAATGATTGAGCATGCTTTCCTTCATTACTCAATTGGGATGCAAGACCTTTATCTCCTTCTTCAAAGGCCTTCTTGGCATTCTCAAATGAAGAAGCCATAATTTGAGCTTGTTCTTGAATCTTCTTTTCCAATTCCTTGAATAATTTCATTGATTCAGTCAAGTGTTCAACAAATTGATTTTCATTCTTATCAAATTCCCATCCATAAACCTTCAATTCATCACGCAATTTAATATAAGTCTTTTCTAAATCGAATCCTTCTCCATTGGCAGTAATTGTAACTAATGTGCTGTCATCATCGATTGGTGACATGTCAATTTTTGATTGTGTTTCATCTTTGATCTTGTTAATAGTAGCTCCCTTTTGACCAATCAAATACTTGGAAATGTGAGATGGTTTGATAACGAATGAACTCTTTTCGACATCCAAATTCGAAACAAATTCTCTTTCTTGTTCAGATGATTCTGTAACAACAGCAACCACTGGTTTAGTTTCTTCTTCCTTTTGAACTTCAACTGGAGTTTCGTCAACAGCAGCAACAGGCTCTTCTGGGACAAATTCATTACTTTCTTGAACTGTATTAGAAACAACAACTGGTGTGGTTTCTTCAACAAATTCATTGGTAGAAATTTCTTCTTCCTTTTCAATTTCGACTGGGGTTTCGACAAGTGTTGTAGCAACTGGTTCTTCCTTCTTTTCGGCAACAATTGGGGTTACCTTTTCAATGACAACTTCTGTTGGTTTAGTTTCGGCAGCAACAACAACTGATGGTTTTTCAACTTTTTCAATAACAGGTTTTGTTTTTTGATCATCAACTTTCAAAGGTGCATCTTTTGTGGATGATGAAACAGCAGTAGCAGTAGTAGTTGTTGTATTCTTTGGAGTTTCCTTCTTATTGTTAGCTGATGAATTTTCGTCAACTTTCTTAGCAGCACCAGAAGATGCAGAAGAACTAGTAGTTGATGGAGAAAAGATGGCTACCAAATACTTGGTCAAGATCGGAAAACCAGCAAGGAATAATATCAAAATGAGTGGCAACATTTTTTTTTGATGAGTGTTGAAGAGGATGAATTTTTTAAAAAAGTAAAGTGAGCCATAAAACGGCGGGAAAGATGTCCTTAATAGGACTTTTAATTGGTTGTCAATAATTTGATGGGTTCGAGTGTGAAATACATGTAAGTTATTGTAAATAAATTGAATAGATATCGAGTGTGGAATTAAGAGTGGCTGATGAGTATCCAACTTTGGAAGAGTTTAGATTCTTTATGGATGTCGCTTTTATTTGTTTGGAAATGAACAGTTTACAATGAGTGTATTAGAAATCAGGTCATCAGTTGTTTTATTATTCAATATTTGATGGTTGGTTTCTTGAAGCATTCACTACTTCACTCATGGATCGTAAAAGAGTTTCATTTTGTAATTGAACTATCTTGTATCTATTGTTTAAAAGTGTCAACGCTTTCAAATCTTTGGAAACTATTTCAAAATAATCAATTTTCTTTGGATTTCCATCTGGTCCAATTCCCAACTGATTGTTTTCTCTCGTTCCTGATTGAATACTTTTAGCAATTTGAAGGTTGACACGGGCTGCCAAAATGAAATATGGAATTAAGATAGGAGAGGTTGCAGAAAAGAAAATATTTCCAGTGAGATGTGAAATTTTCAAGCTTGCTTCCTCAATTAATTCCTTTCCAGTGGTAGCTCTTATCAAAATTCCAATTTGAATTCCATTATAGAAAATATCTCTGGTAAAGAATAGTCCATCGTAGTAATGTTTCTTATTAGCTGGTTTCTTAATATCAATTACTGTCTTACACAATTCGACCATTTGATTGAATAAGGATTCAGAAACTGCGATGATTTCATTACAGTTTTGTGGTGTGATGGATTGTTCGAAAAGAGCCGAAACATATTTTGGAAGAAAAGTTCCACTAGCAAATTCGTATAATTTTGGAATATTTCGAATGGCAAGATCGAAATCCGAATGGAAAACTACCATATGCTCAAATACTCCAAGTGTCTTGAGTAGTCCCTGTTCCTCAGGTGTCATTTCCAATCTTTCCTTTTCACTTTTGCTTGTAAAATAAAATTTCACACTATTCATGTAATAATTCGAAAGTTGCAAATTTCCATTTCCAATTTCTACAATTGCCAAATTGAGATACGCAGAAGAAACTACTAAGGAAGGCGCCTTATTGATTAAAGCAAGTTTCTTTCTGCAATTTAGAGCACTATCATTAGAAATCTCGCTTCTCCCAAGGAATTGTTCAACCACTGATTTTGCACTATAAAAGAAAGCTTCCATTTCTAATTTAATTTCTTGATTAGTTTCGTCTTGATCTTGTAAAATTAATTTACGTAATTCTTCCTTATTAACAGTGGTTAAGATCCAGTTCACTGCGAAATAGAAATCAATTGTGTTAGATTTCGTCAAGCTTGGCGTTTTATGAAAGAATGAGGGATGTGAGGATTCTTCAGGACTTGGTTTCGTCTTTTTTCGGCTACTTTCTTCAGTTTTTTGTTTTCTTTTGGATTCTCTATATTCACATGGAATTCCTCTTGATACACATCTATCACAGGATGGTTTAGTTCTACCTATTTTCGAATAAATTCAAAAAAATTCTAATTTCAAAAACTTACTACAATATTTGTGCATCTTTCTACATCTGACACATGCAATAATATTATTACCATCACTACTCGTTTCTGCTTCCACATTTTCATTAGTTTCCTTATTTTGTTCCTCTGAGGATGAAGGAGACGAATTATCCGAAGGTCTTTCCAATAAACTTTCCAATGGTTGTTGACAATCAAGAATATTTCCATTATTTTCAACAAGTTGTTGTTCATCCATATTCAATTCGTTACCAGTTCCCAAATTATTTGTTGTCCACAAATTCAATCCCAAAGCAGCCAACAAGTTTGGACTAAACTGAAGCGAATCCAATTCGTTTCCTCCCATTAGAAACCATTCCTCACTCATTTTAGCATCAATGTAGGGTGCAGTTAGTTATTTGATTTTTTTTAATGTTGTAAATATTACGTAGCCAACCAAAGGAGGAAAGGAGACGAAACCGCGGACATTGTTATTGGAATGTTTGTCGTTCCTCCTACTTTTTGTTAGAACCATGCAGTTCTTTCTTCTTGTAAAAATAAGGAAGGTTTATCAAACAATTTAATAAGGAAAATTAGAAAATCTTCTTTTCTAAAACTTGTTTTCCCATCTCTTCATATTCACGTTTGGAAATTAGAGAAAATTGTGTGAAAGAGGCAAGAATTGAACCTCCGACCCAAGCACTATTTTCAATGCTTGGCAAGACTGATACATTTCCAATGCGATGGAAGGCACGTGTGACTTCAGCGTCCAATCTCTTATCAAATCCTTCGAGCAGAGTATTTCCTCCATTGAGAATGAGTGTTCCTGACCTTTCGTCTTTGGATCCATCACTCAATGGAATTCGATAATAGACGAAAGAACTGAATTCTTCATCTTGGAAAAGACTTTCAGTACAAGCAAGACGAGTAGAGGCAAACACTCGCACAGTATTCCCATCTGGAAGCTCGAAATTGGTCAATTCAGGTAATTGGAACCTAGTTGTTGACACACTCTTTCCAGACCTTGCAAGATGTGCAAGAGTTTCTTTTGCCATTCTTGCAAATTTCATTCGTGTATATTCATCATAGTTTGATGAGTCAGAAAATTCCATTCCTTCGAGCATGACTTGTGTTAAATCTCTTCCTGCTTTCGAATATTTCTCTGTCGTATGAGGAATTAAACGACCTTCATGAATAGACAAAACATAGGTCAGTTCATCTCCACTCGTTAAAACTGTTGCTTTGGTTTCACCATGAGCAAAAGAAGATGCTACACAGTTTTGTATAAAATTCAATCCAGATAATCCCAAACTTTCCAATATAATTTCTGAACTTTTCATTCTATCTGAATGTTCTGTAAAAGGATGATCAAATAAAAGAATTGAATAATCACTCCAATCCGATTTCTCTCCCAACTGTTTACTCATTCCGTGATGAAATATGAGCTCTGCATCTTGCCAATTGTCAATCATTCCTTCCTTGACAGGTTTCGTCAATTCCATTTCTTCTTTTCCATATAATTCGTCTACTTTCTCACCAACAATCTCCTTCCCATTATTCAATCTCCCAACAAGTGTCTGAAAGATATGTTCTGGTGTTTCATCTCCAGCCATTCCGACTCTTGTATTGAGCGAGCCCATTTCGAATACAATTACTGGTCTTTGCATTTTTTTTAATTAAAAAATTAAACTTTCAAGTTCATTCAATCTAAATAATTCACTAACATGTACAATATTCATATTAAATTCATAAAAGTATTTCAAATTACAAAATTTACAATTTTTGATTTTTGTAAAAGTTTGAAAAAGTTCAAAAAAAAAATGATCAACAATAAATTGCTACGATTTGACAAACTCTCGAGAAGCAGCAGATTTACCACTTGTTTCTCATCATCATCAACTTTATCAATATTTAAATATTCACCATTTCCGCACTCATCAAATAAATTAAAAAATAATTCGATTTTTCGTGATGATTCCAATTTGGGAAATTATAGAACGTTTAGCAAGAATTTGATGAATTGCAATAGTAATAATAATAATGGAACAACAGTAGAGAAAGTAGAACGTAATTTTCACTTAAAAGAAGGAGGTGGAGTTCTCGGAATTGATTTAGGAACAACCAATAGTTGTGTGGCCATCATGGAAGGAAATCACTTGGATGCAGTTCATGTTCGAGTGTTGGAGAATGAATTGGGATTTAGAACGACTCCTTCGGTGGTTGCATTTGATTCTCAGGATAAATTGATTGTTGGTGAGCCAGCCAAGAGGCAAGCCATCATGAATCCAAAGAATACTTTGCATGCTGTGAAGAGATTGATTGGATTGTCGTATGAGGATGCTAGGAAAAATGGCCATTCATTACCATTTGAGTTAGTTAGTGGAAAGAGAGGTCAGGTGGCTATTCGAATGGGAAATGGAAAGGAATTTTCTCCAACACAGATCAGTGCCTTCATTTTGCAACATATGAGGGATGTAGCTCAACAATATTTGGGACAGAGAATTGATAGGGCAGTAATTACAGTACCTGCCTATTTCAATGAGAATCAGAAACAGGCCACGATGGATGCTGGAATGATTGCTGGAATCACAGTGGAGAGAATTATCAATGAACCAACAGCTGCTGCTTTGGCTTATGGATTGGGAGGAAAGAGATTCTCCAATTTTGAAATTAATGATCGAGATGGAACTATCGTAGTATTTGATTTGGGAGGAGGAACTTTTGATGTGAGCATTTTGGAAATTAGTGGAGATGTTTTTCAAGTTGTTGCTACGAATGGAGATGCATTTTTGGGTGGTGAGGATTTTGATAATCGAATTCTTCAGTGGATTGTGAAAAAGTTCAAGGAAGAGCAAAAGGTAAACTTGGAAGAAGATCCATTGGCTTATCAGAGATTGAAAGAGGCTGCTGAGAAGGCCAAAATTGAACTTTCCTCAGTAATTTCTACAGAAATTAATTTGCCGTTCATTGGAAGAAATGCATTCGGACCTGTAAATTTGAAAATGACTTTGAAGAGAAGTGAATTCGAAACCATGTGTGCTGATTTAGTGGAACGAACCCTCAAACCAGTTCAGAAGTGCATGAAAGATGCTGGATTGAGGCCAAGCGACATTTCACAAGTGATTCTCGTAGGAGGAATGACCAGAATGCCACTTATTGAGAAAATGGTTTCCTCCTATTTCCAACAAACTCCCAACAAGTCCGTAAACCCTGATGAAGCAGTTGCCATTGGAGCAGCCATTCAAGGAAGTATTTGTAGTGGCCAATTAGTAGAAACCAAACAGTCAATAATCTTGTTGGATGTTGTACCTCTTTCATTGGGTGTTGCCTTAGTGAACGATGTTTACAAGGTCATGATACCGAGAAATACTCAAGTTCCAGCTCGATTTGCTGATCATTTCACAACAATTAAGGACAATCAAACCAACATTCTAATTGACATTTACCAGGGAGAACGTGAACTGGCCTCCAAAAACAAAAACCTCGGTCAAATGGTCCTCAGTGGCATCCCACCAGCTCCTAAAGGTATTCCAAATATCAAGACCACATTCTCCATCGATGTCAATGGTCTCCTATTCGTGGAATCCGAAGATATGGCCTCAGGAAGTCAAGTCAACATGTTTATCACCTCCCACAACTCTCTGACCAATCAGGAAATTGAGGAAATGAGAAAATTAGCAGAACAATACAAATATCAAGATACTCAACAAGTGGAATGGAACGTTAAAAAGACAGAATCTGAGGAATTGATTCAAAAATGTGAAAATTCTCAACATGTTGCGAAAGATTCATCAAATGAAAAACAAGCAGAGTTGGGAGAAGCCATTCGTGAATTGAGACATAGTGTTTCCAATAGAGATTCTGCTAAATATACCTCCATTACAGATCTCTTAAAGAGAATGTCATTCTAAACTCAATAAACTCTGTTGTGGCTTTCCAAAAACTTACCAAATATTGTAAACATTTGTCAAAGATAGAGCATGTTGTCCTTTGGAAAGATAACTAAACTTGAATAAAAGATAAACTTTACTATTCAAAAACTTTCTTTAACAGCAATGAAGAACCATCTGTCGAAGAATACATGATTGAATTCATCAATTCTCTCATTGAAGGAAGTTTCTGTGATGAATTCAATGATTGTTGATGTTGTAATTGTAGTTGTGTTTGATTAGCAAATGATTTGAATGGAACAATTTGATTAAATTGTGGCAAGTTATAGTGTACAGAATGTGTTGTATCGACAGAGGAGGTGGAATAATGAGTAAAGGTTTCAAATACATTATTCGAAGGAGGACATGTGCTTGGAGAAAACTTTCGTTTCTTTTGAGTTAAAGTTGGAGATGTAGAGGAGGCAGAATGAGAAGAAACAGCTGAGTAGGATTCGTTAGAGGAGTATGGTGAGGTAGAAGCACAGAGTCTTCTTTTTAGTGGATTAGTTTCGTGTTGATCAATACTGTAATTCGAATAATGAGTATTCGAATAATCTTGAACAAATTTACATGTGGTATTAAGAGTATTTGGCATTGAATTGGAATTGCTATTTGAAAGTGTTGAAGATTTAGTTTGCTTTCTATCAATTTTGTATTGGTCAACTTGAAGCAATACTTCTGTAATTGTTGACTTTCGTTTCTTACATGTTTCGAATACAACTCCTTCACTCTTCATTTCAATGATAGATTCATAGAGAGCAATCATACCGTTAGGAGAAAATTGTGTAAACTTTTCCTTTAGAATAATGTTCATTTGGTTTCTCTTTGCAGGATTAGTTTCGTATATTTCCTTCAACATGAAAAAGTACTTTTGATCCATGATTTCAATACTATGATACTTCTTTCTAATAGCACAGTGTTGAGTGTTGCACTTTAATTTCATAGAACGGTTATTCGAAACAATACGAAACCTTTCCACTTACCTTCAAGTGAGTCAAATAATGATATGGACATGTGGTTGGCATTGTTTAGTATTTGTTTTATGTTGTTTATTTGCCCACAATCTTCAACAGCATCTTTTCAATAATCTCGGCAGACCTTTAACTTCATGATTACTCAGTTTAGTCTAAGGTTTCGAATTAGGACTGAAAATGTGGTGACAAGAATTCTATTAACATCGTGAACAAGGCGTCAACGATTCAAAGGGCCCCTCTTAACACTTCTCTAAAAGTTGAATAAAAATTAAAATGTGTCAATCAGTCACTTGTCGTGAATGAGAAGTATATAAAGAGAGAAAAGAATAAAAGAATGACTTGGCAATAATGGATCTGTAATTTCATATTTGTATTTTTGAATTGTGCTCACTGTGCCTTTCGGCAGTATTGAGATGATTTCAGGTTTAGAATAACTAAAAGAAAGTTCAGTAACCGTGATGAAACTGTTTCAGTTAATATTTAAAAGTACGAAGAGCACAATCATGAAATAAAAAACGAAGGGTGCAACACAACTTGATGGAATACAGTTGGAAATTGTGGTTTTTGGTTCATTATTAGAATTTCCATTTTGAGAGTTATTCGAAACCTCAGGGTAAGTTTCATTACAGCTAATTTTGAATCGTGAGCATTGTTGGGATGTTGGTGGAACGTAAAAACCAGTATACATGTTATCTAACTTCCATGAATCATCAGATTGTTTTGTCCAACTCTATATTTGAAAGATAATTCAAAATTCCAAAATAGGTAAAATAAAAAAATACATGAAGAAAACCTACCGAACTTTCTTGTGTATAATCCCCACATGGTCCTGTATAATTGTACTTGAAATTACTCAATTCCACAGTTCCATTAATTTGAATATTAGCACAGCTGTGATAGACACTTCCACATAATTCTGAGTTGCCTGTTTTTGTGGTTGGATAGGAACAACAACCTGATTGTTTATCAGTCATTGGGTTGGTTAATGAGATGGAACATTTTTGGCATTTGATATTTGGAATGTCAACTAAATATTGGTAAACTTTTAGAGAGCTACTGTCTGATTGATCATTGTGTGGAATGTGATCGATCAAAATGTACTTTTCATAATTGGAATCAGAGTTGATACTCAGTGCAATACGAAAGGGAGCTCCTGTATGTGAAATTGTTTCTTCAAATTGAAGAATTTGCTTTCCTGGTTGAAGAATTGTAACTGGTTGACCATTTCCAAAGAATTCAACACCTCCACATGGATAACTTTTTAATCCAGAATCTGATGTTCTTGGTCTAGTAGTATTTCATTCAAAATCGTCCAATTTCATGTTTAATATTTTTAATAATTTACAATTAATAATTAATTTACATGATTGTTGATATTTTAATAGTATTTTAAACACTCACGTTGGATATTTCCATCTAGCATGCCCACTAACTGATGAAATCATAAACATTCCGATACACAAAAAGAGGAAAACCAACTGTTGTGAAACTGTCATTTTTTTCATGAATTGATTTGTGATACTTGGTTATTGATCTTTACAATCTAGGTTTTTATTTACAAATATTGTTGCAAAAACGATGGTTTTGTTAGCAATCTCATGGCATGGCAACAATCTCTGCATGGCTTGGTAACTTCAACGTGCCAACTAATCTTTCCTCTTCAGAACTCAACAAGACGTCAACATTTCTGCCAAACCATTCACAGGGTATTTCCACCTTAAAGTAAAACGAAGATGATTGTGGTGCGTAGCATTGTGAGAAGATGGTTTTGTTATTATCTCGGAGGGTCATGCGAATTTTGAAGAGATCTTGTTCTTGTTGAATGAGACATCGTAAATCGTACGGATATCTATTCGAAATGTGAATATCTGCGAGTGGCTTATCATTGTGAAGGTCAATGTCTGTGAGTTTTAGTTGAACTTGTCTTGTGTTTTTGATGGTTGGTGGAGAGGTGAATGCTGTCATGATATTGTTTGTTTTTTTTCACATAAAGTTTCCTCGCTCTCCTATTTTGCCGAACCTTTTCGTATGTTTTCTGATTATTTGGTTCGGTTGCCTTTTATGTGAAAAAATTCATATTGTAAAAAAATGTTATATACTAATAAAGTAAGCATGAAAATAATGATCAATAATTTTTTTACCAACCATTGCCACAAATAGATAAAATGTGAATATACAATGAGCTCTTCACAAGCACAAATAGGCTAGAGCCTCAAAAGGCAAAGCAATTATAATCCATGCAAGTAGATGTCCATTAATGTTGAATTATTCATCTATTACAATTGAAACATCAGAGAAATGTCCAATATTTGATTGTATATGATACTTCAATCTAGTCTTGGTCAGGTTGTCTGTGGCTTTGAGAATTTGCTTACTGAGGAATGATTTACCATGATACGGAGATCCACTTTCCAGTAAAGCTCTCAAAAATAGAACATTTTCCTCCATGTCAACTAGATTGACCACATAGTAAGGCACTACTTCATGGTATTTTCTACACAATATCCAAAACTTGCTGAAGAAGTGTTCAAAAACTCGAAGAGGATCAGTACTGTTTCCAACAAAATCTGGGAATATGGATTGTACATCGATGGATCCTGAAGAGATTCGCTTGGAAAAGATATCTGCCTTTGTGAAAACCAGTACTTTTTGAGTGCCAGGATCTGTGAGTGTTGTATAGAATTTCTCCAGGTAATCAGTCACAAATGTTGTCCTCTTGCTCTTCTTCTTATCAATATCAGATAAGGGTACAAGGAAGAGCACAACTGGAGCTGATTTAGTATGATAGGATTGAGCCAGATTGTACACTCTGGGCTCTGTTTTGATTCCCCAAGAGAATTTTCCATACTTGACACCTTGTTCTCTATTCTCAGTAATGTGTTTGTCATTTTGTGGATTACTAATGTCAGGTGCAAAGAACCTATCCTCGAGATAGGTCTTGAGGAGATATTCCACAATCTTAATACTTCCATTCTTCATATCTTTTTCAGATCCTTGAATAGTAATAGGCCTTTTCATTATAAAACTCAAATTATCCAACAAGTCAGCAATATTCTCTCCTCTAATATTTGGATTTGATTGTGCATAGCCATACTTATCATTGGAAAATTGAAAGAATGGTGTAAAGTATCCACAATCCAACAACCTCTGATACGTACTCTTAATAGCAGGAATCATCCAAACAGTACTCAAATTATCAATCATTCCATTCACTCGATGAGTATCCAATAAACTATCCCAAATACTATTCTCTTCAATAATTTCCACCTGTCTACCAAATGTATTCTTAATATCAGCATATTCACTTCCGAGAGATGAAGATCCCAACATTTCTGATGCGTTACTTGCTGATGAATAGCCATGAACCGAATGATTATGTTGATTCAGCTTTAATTCATTCAAAATTAATTGCATTGTCTTTAAACAAGTTTGTAAGACTTTGAGCTGGAATTGATAGCCGTACGAGGTAGATTCATTCGATGGAATGGGGAAGCCTGTGATGAGTGAAGTAATTGGTCCAGATGAGCCGAGAGATGATGATGAAGAAGGCTTTGCTTTTCCAGTTAACAAATCCAAAAGATCAGCCTTTCGGATCAATCTCAACAAGGTTGATTTACCACTATATGGCGATCCAACAATCACTACTCCATAATTAAATTTACAAAGGAGAGTTGCTGCTGGATGAAATGTTTCTATTAAATTGTAATTATTATCCATATTACTATTAATATTTTAAAAACTATTAGTATGATGATGATTAGGTTTTTAATCAACGTTGATGTTATTAGTTTGTAAATAAATTAATTAATTAATTAGTTGTTATTGTTGTTGTACAATTAGAAATTATGATGGAATATTATTCTGTGGTTTTTTAAAGATAAAAAAGATTCCAAGTCAAACACGATAACAAACGAGCGGATGGTCTCTTTAAAACACACAAGGATTCTTATGAAGATGAGGAACAACAAGAGTTTCAAATTCAAAAATTAAACAAAATATTATCTTTAATAATAACTAGTATTATGGTGGCCGAACAAGGTGGAATTGTAGAAGTATCTAGTGATTGTGTTTGCATCAATGATGATGATCATCAATTTAATAATAATAATATTAGTAATTTAAATAATGTAGTAATAACAAATGATGAACAACCAATCAAGACAAGATTCCAAGAATTACCCTTTGAAGTTTTGCTCCACATTATGGATTACTTCTTTCCTTTCTATTCTCACTTTGAAAAGGCTACCCGAGAGAAGAGTAGTAATATTAATTTCACTGATCGTAGAAAATCCATCATGATACTGAGTGAAGTTTTGCATCGTGTATTCTCTGCTCCTTCTTTCATGTTGGAAACACGAATTGTACAATGTGGTGGGGATGCCATGTTGCATTTCAACTCAAACCAGCAGGTATCATACAAGTATTTGAATACTAATCGCGACATTGATGTACGGGCATTGGCTTTACGACAATACATCATTGATGAGGTTATTTGTGAATTTTACAATTTAATTAGAGTTTCAAAGAGAACTTTCTATTCGTTTCTGATAGAGGATTGCTATGACTTGCTGGTTGTGAAATTGATTTGGGAAGGCCTACATCATTGTATCAGAAATCCTGACTTGGTACTTGACAATGCTATGGTAGATTTGGAAGAAATTCAGCCATTACCAGGCAGCCAGTATATTATTTCAGAGCCACTTTATTTATATGTTTTGAGATCGAGATTGGAGCCTATTTTGTTCGTTAGATTATTCCTTTCACAGCCAAGTTTTGGATTTTCCAATTATGTGACTTGGAAACTCGGCAAAAATGTAAATCTCACCAATGAAATCACAGAGTCTGATTGGAGTTCATTCTTAGACTTTATTCGTGAGCAAGTTACTAGATATCCCCTACTGAAATCTGGTACAAAGTTCAGCTCCAGATTCCAGACTGAAGATTTTGTATTTATCAAGAAGTGTGGTTTTGATACAGATTCAATTGTAAAGCTGGTTTATATCGATTTGGATATTCCAATCGGAGCAGTGAGTACACTGAAATCTATAGAATCTCCTATACTGTGGAAGGCCATTTTGGAAAGGAAGGGAAATAATTTCAGTGCACTTGAAATTTGCGAGGATGGTCCACTATTTTTAGCTGTTCTTAAGAATCTTAGATTAGATATTTTGGAATTAATAATGCAACTTCAACAAGAGAATTCATCAGACCTGGACTCGTTCTTCAATGGACTATTATCACCTTTATACACACTCATTTCAGCATGTATGTATGATGATAATTTTGAAGAGAAGAGTGAACGAATAGGGCGTATACTAAAAACGATGAGAAGGAACTTTTTGCCTTTTCTTGATATATTTACAACTCCCTCATCCTGTCTTCACCTGCTTATTTCACGAACAGCTGAAATTTTCCAGTTCAAATTATCCTTTTATTATCCAACACAGTACTGCAAGACAGTATTCCAAGTATTTTATCGAGTTTTTGTAGAGGAATTGGAGCAGTCACAGTATGAAATCCTTGCTGCAGGTTTGCCTAGCCTTGTATTGCAAGCTGTTGGTGTTCCGTTTTTCTTTCCAATATTGTTTGATAAGAGTTTACCTCCATACATTCTAACTCTTCACAAGAGGATGCTTGCTAATCCAACAGATGACATTTTTGGGATACTTTTGGAAAGTTATGGAGCTAAACCACAGCAAAGTATTTCTCCATTGAGAACTATTTTTGAATGTGTGAAAGAAAATCCATTTGCATTCAGAGACACTCTCATTCAAAATAATTTTGCAGAAAAGCTAAATGATTTTATCCAAAATATTCCCCAAGAAAATAATTCTATTGAAATAAGTGCTCTCAAAGAAATTCTCCAAGATTTAAATACTCTCTACAATTAGATGATTCAAAGATTTTATAATACTGTATCATTCATCACTGATGGTGGTTTCTAAATCAGTTTGGTCTGTAGGAGATCTTCTGAAAAAGACAACTCGCCAAAACTGTTTCGAACCAAACCAAGTTTCCAACCATCCAATGTCTTCCGGAGGAGAATTAATGAACCACTCAAACCACACATGACACAGAGCTAATCTTACAATCAAATAACTGAACACTCCAAAAGGGCAAGCCATAAGTGTCAACATTATAATACCACAGGTGATGATGTGTGGAATTTTCCTACTGATGGCATCATTGTAAATGAAAATTGCACACAATGGATCAGTAAATAAATAATGTATCCATCCTACTAGTGCAAATGGCTTTTGAGCAAATCCATCATTTACCAATGATTCAAAGGAGAGGAAGTTTATCATTTTCGGAGTTGTGGCCATAACCATCACTAGTAAAATGGCATAAATAATGGATACGATGCACATCATGATTTTTGAATTGATGATAAATTTAGTAATCTTGGTATTGGGAAGAATTATCATCGGCGCCAAAACAAAACCAGGTGTCAGGTTAATAATCCAATACATCCAACTCAGTGCTTCATTACTAGCTGGGAATGACATTTTTTATTGAGATTCTTATTGGTTACATCAATTACAGAACTTGAAACGCACTATTGAATTGAATTTATTGCGTTGGATCAAAGAATAAAACCAAATCCACTCGATTCTTGGGATTAGGGGAGGTGGTAAAAAGAGTATCCTCAGAATCGTCAAATTTTCGAATCCATAATGCAAATTTTCGTAACGTTTCGCTGTCTACTTCTTGTATGTATATTTGCAATCGATCTTTGAACAGACCTTTCTTTGTGCTCGTTAACTTTCGTTCTCTCTCACTTGGTAATAAGGTAAAATCGAATAGCTCATTATTAAATGTTATTGTTCTCGAATGGTTATCTTGGTTCTCTATGAATGACAGGTAAAATACGTTGGTATCCTTATATCTGGGACGCGAGGGATTATGTGGAAAGTGGATATCCACAAAACGTTGTTTAGCTATTGGTGCAATATCCTTATGATGTACCAAGTTTTTCAATACTGTTTTTGTCAATTCCTTTCCATAATTCGTTCCACTATTTGGTTCATTCATCATGAAACAAGTTACAATAGCTCCGTGATATTGTTCATTTCTTTTAAACAATGCAGAGAGAATGTAAAATCTTGTTAAAATGTGAGAATTCTTCACAATGCTCAGAATACAGTCATCGTCTCCAAAGTGTTTGGCCAATTCTATCAGCTTAAGCTTTGCTTCACAATCGGGTAGTGAACCATCAAGCAAATATTTTACATAGCTATTGAATGTAGGCATTATAATAGGAGTTCTATCTTTGAAAGAGGAATTTCCAATATCAATAAAAACATTTGAATTTTTTTTGAGAATTGGGTGGTAATCTGTCAGTATCTTTGAAAAGAACTTGGACCTTTTCAAATGCTTTACACATAAATTGTGATATTGATTTTCATAGCCAATCAAAAATTCTTTCTCTGGATCTAGAGTTTCATTCAGCTCTGAAATGATTTTGCCTTCAGGGAATTGTGCATGAGCAAAGTTCAACTCTGGTTCATCAAAAAAGAACTCTAAATCCACCGATCGATTTCTTGACTTGGAGAGCCAATAATTCGATGCTCCCAAATTCTGTTCCACTCCAACTCCTGTTAGATATTTAATTCCTACTTGTATCTGAGCTGCAACATCATCTCTCTTTGCTGCTTTCAAATACAACTCAAATGCTTTTTTGTAATCTTGTTTTACATGAATTCCAAATTCGTAAAATATTCCTAGGTTGTATATTGCATCCGAATCACCAATTCCAGCATACTCAGAATACCATTCAAACTCTTCACTAAAATCACGTTCCATTCCTTGAGAAAACATGAATAATCCAGAGGATTTAAAACGTCCAATTGCACTATTTGATTTTTCAAACCATTGCATAGCCATCATTACATTTTCCTTAACAACTTTTCCCTTCTCAAAGAAGGTTCCAATCTTGTATTTGGAAATTTCATCACCTTGTTCCGAGGCTTTCATATACCATTCCAATGCTTTTTCATAACTTTTCTGCACTCCCTTTCCTTCATCATACAACCATCCAATATTAAACTGAGCATGAGCATCACCCTGTTCAGCAGCCTTCCAATACCACTCAAATGCTTTAACATAATCCTTTTCACTCCTCTTCCCTCCTCAAACAACAATCCAACATTGTATTGAGCATCGGAATGTCCCTGCAAGGCTGCTTTCATATACCAATGCATTGCTAAGGCACAATCCTGCTTTACTCCATCAGAACCCTCATCAAAACAAAGCCCCAAATTATATTGAGCATCAGCATCACCTTCCTCAGCTTGTTTAAGGTAAAGATCGAGCGCGGACATTTTTTTTAAAACAAATCAATTAATATCGCGTGATTGTTTTTGTGATTAAGGTGCGGCTTAATTGGCGCCAAAAATCTTATCAAATGATATTAAGGTGAAACACCTTTTGAGAATGTTGTGATACTGGTACTATAGTATTCTGTAGAAGATTGATGAATCTAATTGAATTAGTAGAATGGCTCTTCATCAAAGTTAAAATCATGATCATGAGTTGTTTCTGGGTTTTTGATTTGGGTGGTGGCAGAATTTTTCATTTCCTCGATTTGCAATCTTAAATTTTCTATTTGGGTCTTTTCTTCTTGGCGTTCTTGTTGAATTTTTTCAAGTTCTTGTTTCAGAGTTTGCATTTCTTGTTTCAATTGGGTAACAATTTCTGTTAAGTTTTCTGTTAATGGTGGTGGTGGAGAGAGTGGTGAAGAGAAAAGTTGCCTGGGTGTAGTTGCTAGTTCTTCGCTTGATTCAATTATTGATTGGTGAATTGGAATAATAGGTTGCAACATTAGCATGTTTTCCATTGTTGGAATTAACTGGAGGGGTTCATGCTCTTGTATTTCTCTACTCCTTTTTGGTGCAGAGTCATTATCGGCCTCACTTTCATTGGATCTTTTACCTGTTTGATCTTTCACTTCGAATGCACTCTCTGAAATAAACCAATCCAACCTTTCTGGATTTTCTACATCCTTTTTATGAGCGAAACACAATAAAATTCGAAACTTTCCACTTCTATCATCCTTTTTGAAAAATCTACACTTTTCAGTTACGAAAATGTCGCTCAATATTGATTTCTTCTTATTTCCATTTATCGTCTTATTCTTTTCCACTAATTTACTCATTGTTGTAATCTTTTTCCGAATATCAAAGAATGCAAATGCATAAATTGCTTTATATTTGGCAAAATTTGTTATAGAAATTTCAAAGGCTTTTCTTGTAAATGTAACATCACTCAATTTTAAATTAATAATTCCAGCATTTTCGTTCGGATCAAGAAAATTTCTATTCTCCTTCTGAAAGTATTCATCAATTTTATGTTTAATTTCCAAGCCTTCCGAATCAACATCCGATTTATTATCCTTTGCTTGCTTAATTTTGAGAATTAATTCCTCGAGAATTTCACTTGTTATTGAAGATAGTCCCGATGATGGTGATGAAGGTGTTTGTGGTGGTAAGAGACGAAAAGTTTCCCAGTTTTCCGTATCAGACATTTTTTTATAATTTGTTTTTAATTTTTATTTAATTCCTATTTTAGGTGGAAGAACTATTCCTTTTGCAAATATTGATTGCAAATATTAATGCTTTTCACATGTTTTACAAAACGAAAAATTACTTTGAAAGTGCATATAATATAGAAATATTAACTAATATTTACTAAAAAAAGAAAATAAATCTATTTTCTGAGAGGAGAAACTTGAATTTGAGCAGACATCATAACATCCATAGTACCTCCATATTCCAAAGTGACTACGAATGGACCATCTTCAATTTGATTAGCCACGAGGGAGGTTTGAGTTTTCAATTCCTTTTTGGTGGTGGAATGAACAGCCATGTTGGAGTTGAATGGATTTGGATACAATATTGTTGGAAAGGTGGAATGGTAGAGAGTGTATGGTTTGATCATGTCATAATTATTGTTATTCAAAATTGTTGTAAAGTTAATTCTTGAATTTCCTGGAACATTTTCAAAAGTGAATTGAACAGAATTCAAACCAGATGCTCTTTGATCATTAATATAGACATGTTCATAAAAATTGGTGGATTTGACATTAACAAACTTGGAAACTCCTGAATAAACAGCAACTGAAACTGTAACAGGATGAGACGAAAGTGTAATAACACTCAAATAAACAATATAAACCACAGGAGATTGAACATAATTTGGAGCATAGAGAGTTGCATTAATACCTCTTCCACCAAACAATGAATTTTCCTTAGTTGGTTTTCCATAAGCAATAGATCCATAAACTAAAACTGAACTATTCTCAAATCCCTTAATATTATTCAGGAAAGTAACTTCTGAACCCAAAAGTGGATCATAATTGAGAGTATCAATATCACTTTGAATACTAATGTAATAATAAGTAGGTTGCTTATTATCAACAAGAAGGACTTGTCCATGTTTGATTTCCTTGGCATCTGACGGCAAATCAGTAGCAAAACAAACAGTTCTCTCCTCATTACTGGCAGCTGGACATTTCATGCATGAAGTCGAGGCCTTTCTGGTGGAAATAGTTCCTGGTGGACACTTGTTGGCAGAATCATTTCCTGGACAGTAATAACCATAGTCACATGGGAGGCAACGATCGAGATCGTTTGGAGTTGGTGCATAGTAATAACCAGGATCACAAGCGAATGCAAGGGTTGTGAAGAGCAAGATGGCAGAAATGAGTGTTACTGACAAGTGTTTAGACATTTTGTTTTTTTTGTTTCGAATAGGTTTGCAAGAAAGTTGTGTAATGCATTTTATTGCTATTTGAAAGGTCACAACGCCGTTGATTTTACATCCATTAAAGGAAGAGTGGAAGGATACTTTGTTCTTGGAAGTAAATATTTTATAAACTCCGAAAACTCCTTTTCACAAAGATTGGTTTTATTAATCTCCTATTGAATTGTAAACTATCTTTCATTTATTACAACTCCAAAGCAGAATATTTAGATACCTCACAGGTGTTGATTCTCTTTGATTTTACAAGAAACTGGAAGAAACTGGAAAAATCATATCTTCTCAATGACCGAAAAGCAAACTCACAACTATCTCTAAAATTCTCAATAGAAACTAAGAAATAAACCTCCAGTAGAGCGAACGGTTCGTAGAACTTCCAACTTTATTTAATTTTAGGGGAGGAATTTCATAACAGAGGAGAACACGCAAAAGGCTTTGATTGTTTTTGTAAAGGTTATGAAATACACAAATCCAGCGAGTTGGAGCATGCAATTGGTTGTTGTTATACATTCGGATTGGGAGTTGAAAAGGATTATTCTAAAGCAAGGGAATGGTATTTGAAAGCTGCTGAAAAGGGATTTGCAAATTCACAAAATAATCTTGGTATGATATATGAAAATGGATTAACTGTTGAAAAGGACTTGGCTGAAGCACTGGAATGGTATTTGAAAGCTGGTGAAAATGGTGATCTAACTGCTCAAGTAAATCTTGCTCGGCTCTACCGTGACGGTGAGGGAGTTGAACAAGATTATTTGAAATCATTCGAATGGAATATGAAAGCTGCTGAAGCTGGGGATGCAGAAGCTCAAGTTCACATTGGCTATGCATATGATAAGGGTCTAGGAGTTGAACAAGATTTTTCGAAATCATTCGAATGGAATTTGAAAGGAGCAGAAAATGGGAGCCTAGATGGTCAATTTAATGTTGGACTTTTATTGGAACTGGGGGATGGAGTTGAAAAAAACATCAAGAAATCTGTGTTTTGGAAATCAAAGTGTTTTAATAGGTCAAAATGTTTTGACTTTGTAGAAGAACCTTACGAGCAGTTTGCTATGCAATATTTTACATCAAATACTGAGGATTGGAATCAATCCTCACCAAATAGTGACAAAGAACACGTAGTCGTACGATTTGAAGAGAAGGATTTCACACTTTCACAAAAGCATTTAAAGCATTCAAAATATTTATCAACCATGATGAATTCAAATTGGAAAGATTTCAATGTCAAAGAGAAAAACCGAACCATACTTGATTTGAGAACCATTCAAAATGATATATTTCAAGAACAAACAGATATCATTCAAATATTTAATAATTATGTGAACTACTTAACAAATGAAATATTACCACCAGATTTTGACATGAAATTGAAATTAATTGAACTGTCAAGATATTTACAAGATGACGGATGTATATTGAATATTGTCAAAGAAGCAAGTATTCTGCAGAGATTTTACATTCTTTTGATATTAGAAATTATTGTTGAACCTATTCACATTGCAATTACTAGTTGTTTTGCAGCAGAAACTAAATTTAAAATCAATGATCTCTCAGAAAATGTTATTGAAAAATTACTCACTCAGTCTGGCCTATCTCAACATGGAAAGGACGAGATTTATAATGTATTTAAAGAAAAATTCAATGGATATCCTATAGCAATCAGTAAGTTGATCTATATTCAATTCTAATTTTTCCAACTTAATTTAGATATGAATATTCTTCATGTAACATTTTCAACGCTTAAAGAGAAGAAACTAATTCATTTCAATCAAGAACAAGTCGAATTTTCTTTGGAATTGGGTAAAGATATCGATAACACTATTTTCAATATCAACAGCTCGCATGATGTTCAATTCTTTGGAAAGAATGCCAAGTTATATATCCAGATATCGAGTAGTGTTGATGGAGTATATGGATTTTGGTTGGATAACAGTTCTGAAAAAGGAAAAACTATTTTCATTTTACCTGAGATTAACTTTGAGGCACTTAACTTGATTATAATGACTACATAATAAGGCCAGTTATTAAGGTGTGTTTGGGGTTTATTTTCATTATGTTTTTGTAATTATTTCACACTTGTTGAGATTTAGTGATTCGCAACCATCGAATGAGTTCTAAATTCTCAAGTACAGGGCTTTGACTGCTCCAATATCCACCATTTACTATTTCTTCTGTACAGGGCATCCAAAATATCTCATCAGGAGACCAAAACCATCCATTGGTATCCATTTTTTTGAAATATATTGGGCTTACAAAGATGCTATCAACTTTGTGAATGAAAACTCCATCTGGTCTGTGAGGACGATTGGAAAAGACATCTACAATGAATTGAAATTGAGTGGCAGACCATCTCTTAGAGAATAATGCAGTCAATATCAAATATCCAACAAGCTCCATTTTTTTTAAGATAAAATACCGGCTGGACTGGGTTAATGGAATGGAAATATATAAGGAAATAGATATAAATACACATGATGTACAATCACTCTACTAGTGCAATAGGTAGAAAAATGTATTTGATGGATGTAAGATCACTGAAATAAAGAATCTGATAGTTCAAAAACAGTATCTGAGCTTTACTTTTTATTGAGCAATGAAAGCGAGGATAAAAGGGCAACACCAGTTTTTCTTTCCTCTCCGTATTTGAATTGTCTAGTTACAAGGTTGAGTCGTTGATGGAATTGTGACTTGAGGACAGCTCGTTGTTTGGCAGTGAGGAATCTTCTTCCAATTGCTTGAATTGTTGTGGTAGATGATAAAGTTTGTTCAGAAAATTGAGTGGTCTGTTTTCTTGTAAAGGAACCTCGCAGCAAACCTTGGATAGTTTGTAAATTCTCATTCTTGATGCTTAATTCAACTCTCGTTCTTGATCCCTCAATTGCTGATCGAATAGTGAACACCTTATCCGTTATACTCTTGAGTGATTTGGCTTGTTGAATTTGTCTGACTCGGGCTTGCAATAGCGAAATACTACTCAGAGCAAATTCAAATTCATTCCTCTTATTGTGACACATAAAGAGAAGAGCGACAGTGTTAGATAACTCCTTCATATCAGTGAGACTCCCTCTCGTTTCATGACCATAATACAAGCTCTGAAGATAGTTGGCAGAGTCAGAGACAGTTCTGAAATCTTCATTGACAAATCGTCCTCTAATAATACTCTGCAATGCGTTAATATATTGAATGTTGGTATTAAGATCTCTGATTGCAATCTGTTGTTGCATGAGTGATTGAATGGATTCTGTGAGTATTTGCATTTTTTTGAATTCTTGTCTTGTTTGATTGGCTCTGTAGAGGGCAATGATCATATTTCTAGAATCGAGTAGAGAATCTCTGTCCTCATTAAAAGATCTTTTCACTAGGTTTGACCTGAAAAAGGTCTGAATGACAATTAGTCCGCTCATTTTCATATCTCTTTGTTTGAGAGTTGTGAAAGTTCTCACCCTTGATTGAAAGATTTTCATATCTTTCTTTTTCTGATATGTTTTGAGAATGGTAGTCTTTCTTTCCAATAAGGATTGTAAAACAGTGGCCAGAGTGATAGACTTGCTAAAAGATCTTCTTGCAAGTTGCGATTTGAAGAGAGCTTGAATGATAGCAATATTTTCTCTGGTTTTTTCAATTCTTCTTTCTTCAGACATTCTATGGACAATAGATTGAATTGTTTTGATGGATTCGGTTGTGGTGGACGATTGTCTCCTGGTAGAAATTCCATGTAAGCGAGTTGTGACAATTTGAACTTTGGTCATAGAATTTGCATATTGTTTTCTAACTAGACTGGAACTCATGAAGGTTGAAATTAAATCCATTTGAGAGGATATTCTTTCGAAAGTCTTCAATGCTAGTTGTTTTCTGCACAAGGACTGAATGTGAGTGAGAGAATTGATAACTTCTTCTCTACTGGTTCTCGCAGAATATCCTCTTGATGCAGCTTGGAGAGTACCAACACGTTGTAATTGATTTTCATGATTTTTCCTATCTGTATTTCCTCTGGCAGCATTTTGAATTATAGTAATTGAATAGTATCTCCTTTCGTTTTGGTATTCTTGTTGAATTGAACGGCTTCTACAGACAGCTTGTAAATTAAGAATATGCTTTTCGATACGTGATCTTGTGGAGAGTTGAATGAACCCCTTAGCAAATGATGTGAAAATCTGCAATCTCTCCTGTTCAAGGGTGGTTGCATTTCTTTGACTTATGCCATTCCATAAAGATTGAAGTAAAATGACTTGATTGATAGAAGTAGCTTTTTCGTCTTTGGCTTGTTTTCTTCTTAATAGTGATTGAAGAGCACTAACGTCTTGAATAGCTTCAGCATTTTCCCTACGTTTGTATTTACCTTGAAAAGCTGCTTGGATGGTGACTAAATCATGTTGAGCTCTTTCATAACCAGATCTCACAAGGACTCCTTTGGCAAGAGCATGTACATACTTGGTAAATGTTTGGAGTGCATGTATGTTTGATCTTTCCTTGTTTGCTCTCACTAATGCTTGAATCATTTGAGTGGCATTCCTATCAATAGGAGAATAATTGTTCTTTTTAGATGATTTGTTTCTAATCAAAGCTTGCAAGACAATAATCTTGTTAAGGGTTTGATTTTTCAACATGTTGATATTTCTAGAATTAGCCAGTGCTTGTAGAGAAATTAAATCTGAAATGTGTTGCTTTCTGCTCTGTTCTTCAGCTTTTCTCCTTACCAATGCTTGCAATACTATGATACCAGAACAATCCATGTGAGTCGTGCTTCCTCTTAAAAAGGCTTGAATTATTGTTATATTTTCTAGTTGCTTTGATTCTATGTTTTGCATTGCAGAGGATCTACATCTAGCTTGTATTGCTAATACTGCATTCTTGGATATTTCAAACTCTGCTCTTGTAAATCTATTTCTGATTAGTGACTGGATAATTTCAATATTGTTTAAGGAGTTTTTTACCAATAGTCTGGTCTTATTTCCTCTAAGGAAGGCACAAACCATTGAACTTGAACTAGTTTGTTTATCCAATTTCTTTTGTACTATTTTTGATCTTATTAATGATTCCAAAGTTTCCAATCTTTTCAAATCCAATTTCATCTTGGCAGCTTCAGATGATTTCCTAATAGTACTTTGAAGATTGGTAACAAATGCCATGCTGGTTTGAGCTAGTCTTCTTTCCATGCCTGATTGTATTAATGCATGAATAAGATGAACACTCTCAATAGGGGATGCATGTTCAGTCCTTTCCTTGTGAGAAATTATTAAATTTTGTATCATGGAGACTGCTTCAAGTTGGTTAAGTTTGCTGGCAACTGTTGAGCTTGATCTAAAAGCAGATTGAATGGTAATAATTTGATTCTGCATGCGATTTCTACTAGTTCTTTCTGTATTACCTTGTAGCAAGGCATGCAATAGATTCACTCCACCTCTAATTTTTTGTTCATTAAACTTCCTGATAGTGGCTTGAGCAACAACCAACTTTTGAATATAAACCCTGCCATGGGAATTGTTCCTAACAATATGTCCTCTAATAAGAGCTTGCAAACTTGAAATTCGCTGCTTTTCACTCTCCAAACTAGCAGACACAAGGTTGGATCTTGCTGCTGATTGTATAATTTGAATTTGTTCCATCAATTTAAGCTTGACTTCTCTTTCTATGCATCCTTGGTTTAGTGTTTGAACAATTGTGGCAACATCTCTAAAAGCAGACATTTGGAGCTTTTCAACCAGAGATTTTCCAAGTGATTGAAAGGTCAAAATAGCATCTTTTTGTCTACCATCGTTGACCCTTGTAAAGTGGCCAACTACAGCGCTTTGTATTATCTTGGTATTTCTGATTGCCTTCTCGGTTTCCCTACATTTCAAGAATCTCCTGACCAAAGATTGCATTATTTCCACCAAGTCCCTTGTTAAGTAAAAGGTTTGCCTTAATGATCTACCTTTAAAAAAAGATGCAAGGGTATTACTATCCTCAAAACGGTTCCTTACCAGAGCTGACTGTAACAAGGTTGAAATAATATCTATTTTGGACTTTTCTTGTTCCGCTAATCGCCTTGTGTTGAATGACCTAGCACTCAATGAAAGGATAGAAATCATGTCCAAATGAGCTTGTTTGCTTGTCATTACATGTTTTCCTCTGATTGCACTCTGAATTACAAGCACTTTGGTTAATTGATACATGTCCACATGGTTATTTCCACGTCCTCTGAAGAAGGCCTGAATATTAGTGATACTATCATGTACATGTGAAAAATTCTTCCTTTCCAAATATCCTCTAATGAGAGCTTGCTGAGTGTTGATGTGGTTTTTGGTAGGTTGTAGATTTTTTCTCTCATCTCTTCCTCTCATGCTAGATTGCAAATTGATGATGTAAATTGTGTACTGTTCATGTTGTGCACGTAGCGTGTGAGAAAGAATGAGAGATTGTAAAATCTTGATGTTGTTGATGCATGTTTCCGATTGTTTTCTATTGATGTATGCTCTTCCGAATGTTTCAACTAAAAGAGAAGAGTCAATCAAGTCCTGATGTTCCTTCAACTTTGCATGTCCTCTTACCACAGCTTGAACATATTTGGTGTTGTTTGAAAGGGTTGAAAGGTGAGCCTTTTCCAATTTGCTTCTTATACGAGCTTGTAAAGTTTTGATCTTGTTCAATTCATTGATGAAATCTCCTCTACAGAAAGAGGATTGTAAAAAACCTTGTACGATTTGAACATTTTCTACATTTTCAATAAATTTGTTCTCTGTCAATTGTCTTCGGGAAAGTGATTGAATAACAGTAACATATTCATTAACACTGCTTTCTATTTTCCTGGCTATAAAACCACGTACCGAAGCTTGAAGAGTCAAAATGTTATAGTGGTTATGTCTAAAGGATTTGATTTCATTCTTTTTACGAATGTTGGATTGCACCAACAATACGTTATTCATTTGTTTCTCTTGTTCTTGAGTTATTAAAAAGGTCTTGACTCTTGCCTGAAGAGTTATTATTAAACTCTTATTTTGTGAAAATTCCTTTCGTGCAAAGTTTCCAAATAAAACAGATTGGGTATTCACTAAATCTTCTCTTCTGGCAGATAAATCTTTTCTTGTGAGATAAGATCTAGCTGCAGTTTGAATCATTCTCAAGTTCGCAACACTGTTTCTAAACAAGCATCTTGTTTCGAATGTCCTTAAAAGTGCCTGAGTAAAACAGATTCTAATTAGTTCATTCTTATGCTCCAAACGTTGCACATGACCTTTCATGAGAGAACCTAATATATTTGAGCTTTCAGTTGTGTGTTTAACAAGTTGATTTTCAATTTTTCCTTGATATAATGTTTGAATTTGATGGGCCAAATTAATTTTAACTTGAAAACCACGTCTAGTCTGTACGCCTCGCAGCCATGATTGTATAGTCGAAACCTTTCGTTGAGTTTGGTGCATCAATGAACGGTTTAGCTTCCCTGAGAAAGACGCTTGAATACTATTGATGGCATTAATTCGATGCTTCAAATCAATTCTTCCCAAATGTCCCTTGATTGAATGCTGTAAAGTTTGAACAGCATTTTGCAAGGAATGCTTATTTACTTGCTCCAATGTGCCTCTTGCTCTTGACTGAATTAGATGGGCAGCATTTCTCGTATCATAAAATTTCATCTGTCCACTGTGGCCACGAGCCAAAGAGGTCAAGAGAAGTGCCTTATCTAAATCCGTGCAAGCTTGCGAAGCGGTATTAATGCTCCTTAATAGAGTTTGAAGAAGCAACACACCCTTTTTAAGATCTGTATATTCCTTCCTTCTTGCGACAGCGTCAATTAAAGTTTGTAGGACAAGCACGTCCGATTTATACCTTTGGACTACCTTTTGTTGTTCTAGTCCACGACCATTGGCTTGAAGAAGGGAAGCAACTTGCACATATTGAGATAGGTCCTTTCTTACAAATAAAGATCTTGAAACAGGTTGAACAAGGATAGCAACGTGTTTCTTCTTTTTAAAGTCTAGGAATACCTTTCTTGCACAACAAACAGATTGAATTAAAGTGGATGCATTCAACGCTGAATCTTTGAATTTCTGAATCAATTTGGCTCTTATAAGCGATTGTACAAGTGTAATTCTATTACATTGTTCTTTAAAGGTTGTACGAGCATTGAAACCCCTGATTGCACTATCCATAATCAAACATTTTGAATTCAAAGATTTTCTGTTTCGGTATTCGATAAATCTTCTGGAAAGCGTTTGAATGGTAGTAATGTCATTGATTAGATGGTTCAAATTGGATTGGCATTGCTTGACCCTTATCAAGGTCTGTATTGCTTGGATATTAGAAATTTCCTTAGAGGAGTCTTGTTTCAAAAGTATTCTCCTGATCAATGCCTGAAGTAATGGAATGGATTCACTAGTGGTTTGATATTTCTTTCTCTGATTGCATCCTAGTATCGTAGATTGAATTACTTTGATATTTTCCATAGAAAGAGTAAAGCATTTAGCTTGTTGTCCAGCTCTGAATAATCCTTGGATTACTACAGCAGAGTCCAAACTTGTTGTGAGATTAGTTCTTTCCAATCTTCCAACTAATGCTGCATTGAATAGATGAGCCAAATTTCGGAGCAATTGCAGGTTTTTCCTACTAACATTAGAAGACATCATAGCTTGCAAAACCTCAATTGAGGAGGAGAAGATTACCATTTCCTGCCTGTCAGAAGAACCCTTGATGGATGCTTGCAGAGTGAGTAAAAAATTCTCCAATTGGCTCACTTCCTTCATTGCTGCTCTTCCTCTAACAAGACTTTGAAGCAATATTATCCTACTTGTCAAAACCGAACGAGAATGTTTAACTGATAATGCCTTGGAAAGAGCTGTAAATATTTCGGATCTATCCAATTCGAATCTATAAATTTGTCCTTCTCCTTTGCCTCTGCAAAAGCTTTGCATTATCTGTATGGCTTCCTTCTTCGATTGTAAATCTTTTTGCTTATGATGTCTCCTTACAAGTGACTGTAAAGTAATGATTTGTTGAATATTGTGTCTTGTGAAGGAGACTAATAATCTAGACCTTGAAATAGACTGAAGAATTACAATTTGTTGAATATTCTTTGCAAAACAACCTCTTTCAAGTTTTGATCTGGAGAGCGATTGAATACATTCCAAGTTCAACTTGTTAGAATTGAAATCTTCTTGTTGGTATCTTCTTCTGTGCCAAGTTTGAACGGTGAGAGCAGTAACCCTCATCAGATTGAATGTCTCTCTGATTCTATTAGACTCGCACAACACTGCAATGTTTGAAAGGGCTTGAGTCCTGAACACCTCAAAGGCAAAGAGTGAACAAACTCTAATTAACTCTGCATCCTCGACAAGTCTTTGGTCTTCCATGATTTCGTCCTCCTCTCCAAAATAAGGTCTCATTCTCGGTATTTCACAATTGTCAGGATAGCAATCATAATTAAATCTAACTACAGCCTCCATGAACTCGATAATGAAAAGTGGAATATACTTGAAATCAAGTGGGAATAGCCGTATTTCGTTCAAGTATGGGAAGAGTTGTACTTGAACCCATATCAACAAAAGGGGAACCGTAGATTTTGCATCTTCTTCTACCACCTCATCTACCTTTTTGCTTGTTGTCGAATAGTAATGTTCATTCATTTTGGTGAGAACGGATTTAAGTTTTTCTCCATCATAGTGAACCAGTAGAGCTTCGTGGAAAATGTGTGAGAGAGGGTGTTCATCTCCAATTTTCATCAATGACTTGTAATTTTCCACATACTTTTCTGCATCTTCGATTGATATCTTTTCAGAAATCAAGTCAACTATACCTCTAACATTATCACCTCTAGGATCTAATTTTTCAATTTCCTTTCTCAAAATTGCTGGGGTTAGTTTGGATTTAATCTTATCCAAAGAAGTAGGTTCCTCTGGGAATTGTATTCCTTCTTCATCTGAAATTTTTTCAATTTCCGATTGGTCTGATGATGACTCTCTGCCATGTCTCTTCAGTGGAGGTTCTTCATAATTTGCCAGAGATTCTAAGGATGTAACCTTAGCCATATCAGTGGATGTTGGTGTTGAAGGAGTTTTTGCCTTTTTGGCAAACTTGTTGAAAAAACTTTTGATTTTTTCACTTTTTGTCTTTTTTCTTTCTAATAGTTGACTACTTGTCAATGCTATTTGCGTATTACTATATGTTGATTCATCATCATCAAGTGTATCCAAACTCTGTCCTACAGAACGGCTGAAATTATTGTTTCTTGCTGGTGCTGATGCAACAGAAAATGCAGTGAAATTACTGTGAGAAGAAATTGTATCAAAAAGATCATCCCTTTCCACAGATCCCTTCCCATCCATTAGACTGATTTTAAATGATTTGGATATATTCATGGCTTGAGATCTTCTGACTGGACTCTTTGGAGTTGTTGAGCCAGAAGCTTTTTCAGCCAGCTCTGAAAAATTGACACCCTTTCTTCTTTTCTGAGACAAATCTTTGTGTACTCCATTAAATTCTGTCAACTTGACTAGAACTTCACTCACCTCACTATTAACATGAGAATGGGTTGTGGTTGTACTTATTTGAGAGGCAAAGGTGTGAGTATATTGTGAATATTGAGATTCTTCTGGTGATACAGGTGTTGCTGTTTCCTTCTTTTTTCTTTTTAATTTTGTAATTATGGAAGGCAACTTTCCTAGTAGAGATTTTGATCTTCCTTTCGTGGTTTCCTTTGTTATTGGAACTACTATAGAGGGAACAACAACTAGAGGTCCTTGAAAATTATTGTTTGCTGATGCTGATGTATTACTGGTACCAGTATGATTAGGTGTATTTCCACTAGAAATATCCGATGTATTCATATCATCAAAATCATTGTCAGATTCATTCTCCTCTCCTTGCATATCATTCTCTGTAATATCATCAAATGATGCTCCATACACTCTATTGCCATGTTGAACATTTTGAGTTGATGGTGTAATGCTGGATGCACTTGGTGGTGGTGAGGGTCTTCCTCTTGGTGAAAATTCATTCCTTGGAGAACGACCATTTGGCATGATTGACCTAGGTGATAATAAGTTACCTCCTCTCGGAGTGTATAAATTGTGAGCTAGTGAATGTGATCGATGTGTACGACCACCACTCTTGGATGAAGATGTTGTAGATGCAAGTGAACTCTTATTTGAATTATTTCTAAATCTACCAACAGGTCTATTCTGTACAGGTGGTTTACTAATTACTATGGCTACAGGTGTGGAGGAATTAATTGATGGTGAATTATCGCTATTATTGTTGGTTTGTTTACTCGATGTTACTAAATTATTCGAATAGATTATTACTCCTCCTCCATTAGTTGAAGAAGTACTTGTTCCATTCTGATTATTAGGTATTTGTCTATAGAAGGAAGAAGATGAATGTAGGGATGTATTGCTATTATTGTTACTATTATTGAAAAGGGATGCTGGATTGGAATTTTGAATGGCAGAAAGTTTTAACTGGGGAATGACAGCAGGTACTCTTTTCGAGGAAGTAGAAGAGAAGGTAGATGCATTAGGTGGAGTGGATGGAGAAATTGGTGAAAAGGTCGTGTTATTACTTCCCTGAAGATGATGAAGATTTGAGGCAAAATTGGGACTTGATGACTGAGAACGATGTCTTGGTGATAATGTCGATGATGAAGACAATGAATTGGCAAGTGATAAATTAGAAGAACCCACATTCCGTAAAACTGAAGAAGCCGAAAGTATTCCTCCTCCTACTCCTCCTGGTGAATTCGAGTTATCCAAACATTGACTATTACCTATCGATAATTGACCTCCATTATTATTATTATTACTAATAATATTATTATTAATCGAAGCAGCAATCAATCCTCCAATATTATTATTATTATTATCCATAATACTATTATTTAAATTAATTGTTCCTTGTTGTTGCACACTTGTCGGCGATGATACAACAACAGATGCAGATGCACCTCCTCCTCCTCCCTGAGCAGACGAAGAAATACTTCCATTGAAAAGAACATTTTGTGCAGCTGCTGATGATGATAAATTGGCGGCGGGAAGTAAATCTTGATGGAGGCGGGAAGTGATTTTTTCGGGATTTATCGAATTTCCCATCTCTCTATGATTTCATACTAGGTGTTATGGGAGAGAGGCAGAGGCTTGGGAAGGGAGAGAACCAATTTGTTTTTTTGGTTTTGTGATGAGTGATAGCGCTTCTGCTTGATGTGTTGTTGTTGATGATGAAAAAGTGGAAATTGATTGGCGAATTTTTTCAGAATGAATTTTGACAGGAGACTTCCGTACGTGTTGTTTGGCAGGTGGCTTTCAGATTGGGGTTGGATCAGGTGAAAAGTTTGCGACTTCCATCTATGAGCAAAATTCTTGTTCCATGTTGATCAATATCAGGTTGACTTTAATTTTACAACCATTGTATTTCAATATTTGAATTCAGATTTACTCAAAAAGTTTTAGATTGAAACACGTTCTAGATAGAATTTCTGTCTTGAAAAATATAAATTAGTTTTATTAAGATTGAAAATTAATATTATTTTGATTCGAAATTTGGAATTAAACCTGATAATATTACACTCACAACAATTCTTCTGTCCTGTGCTGAACATCATGATATTGGAAAGGGTCATACCCGACTACATCAAGGAGAATAGACTTGTTGGTGATGTCTCATAAACTTTTACTCTAAATGTACTGATTTAGAGACTGCTCTCTCAATTTTCGAATCAATTATTAAGAAAAAGAAGGAAGTGAACTCATACACGTACAATGCTATTATTTTTGCATGTGCAGAGCATGGGCAGTCAAGCCATTGCTTTAAATTCTTCACTCAAATGATACAGAGCAATATTGAGTTATTGCCAACACCAGAAACATTCACAGCTTTGCTTACTGCTTGTAGCCATTCTCATATGTACGATAAAGCCTGGGATATCTACAATTCTATGGGAACAAGTTTCGGTATTGAACCAAGTAATATTCATACATCTTGTTTGATTGATGCACTAGCGAGATCTGGGCAATTTGTGAAAGCTCTTGAAATAATTGGAAAACGCAAAGATAAAGTATATTGGATGACTCTGATGGGAGCATGTAGAAAATTCAACCATGTTGAGATAGCAGAGAAGGCTTTTGATGCATTGATTGACATTGATTCAACAGATGGTTCATATTATGTTTTATTATCCCATATTTATATATTCAACAATCAAATGGAAAAGGCAGCAACAATAAGATTTAATGAAATATAATAATGGCTCAAAAGTTGTTGGAGTCACTTCTGTGATACATTGGCGACGAGATTCACACCCAGTGATGACAGATAAGCATCTCATTCAAGTCGAGCTTGATAAATTGATTAATGAACTAATGGAGGCAGGTTATTCTCCAGATACTAGATGGGTTACCAGAATAGAAACTTTGAGCACTGAAGAAAAACGAAACCTTTTATGTAGGCATTCTGAAAAGATTGCCATGGCGTATGCTTTTGTCAGAATGCCAAAAACTAAACAAATAGTCTTATTCCAAAACCTGACTGCCATGAAGCAACAAAGTACATTTCCAAAGTGAGAAAATGATTGTTGTGAGAGATGCAAGTCGATACTACCATATTAAGGACGGAAAATGTAGCTGTGGTGATAATTGGTAATAACTGTACTAATTTCACTTACAATAATTCAGTCTTACCAATTTATCAAACATCAAATAATAATATCGTATCAAATGAAAACAACTAGAGATTCTTTCCTGTTAGAATCAAATAAGTATCTGGACTTGAAGTACAAATCCAAACACACTCCATTATAATATCATCACTGTTGTTCCTCCGAGTGAATCGGACTACTCAGAGACTAATCTCTCTATCTCTCAATCATCTAGAGGCTTATCGACATTACATAACAGACTTGTTTGATAGTATGTCGGAGAAGGTATTCGTTCAAGTTGTTTTAATAACAAATCTGATATTATAACAATATCTCTTTGCAACCCAAAAAGTTAAGGTATATGATCCAGTCTAGACAGAATACTTTCCTTATTTACCTTTGGACATGTTGAGATAAAACGAAGACATAATATTGAGATTGGTCCTTGGAGGATGGCCTTAATAATTTATAGGTTCTGCGAAGTTATGTATTGGTCCCTTAAGCTTGCAGTGGGGAAGAGAATGTAGGAAAAGTCGAATACAAAAACATCATGACAAATAGTAATCAAATCATGGTGTTGAGAATTGTAAATACTAATATGAATTTACATGATTTATCAATATCAAATATTGGATTCTTGATCCACAAGTGTTGCTTAATATCATCTCTAATACCCTATTAGAGCATTAATTTTAAACCGCCAATAGTTCCATTGTCCAAAACCAAACCACATCCTTAATTTGGCTAGCATATCCGAAAATCCAAATTCAGAACGTATTGCTTATGGCGCATATGCTTGCGTCAATCGAATCAGCAGCATGAAGCTCAACTTTGCAGATGATGGATCTGCTAAGAGGACAAGACCTAAACAAACTCAAAAAAAACCAACAACACAACAATCACAACATTAAGCAGAAGAGGAATAAGAACTCTTTCTTTAGTAGTACTACTCTCTGACAAGCACTGCAAGACCGCATATAATATTTGGTGGTTCGATTTCTTCTTTTTTAAAAGCTCTCACAGAAAGTGAACTGGATTGGATCACAATAATATTATACAATATATTATAATATTCAAGAATAATTATACTATGAATCATCCTGCACCCAATAATAGTGATATCATCAACTATGCAAATGGGCATCCTCATCGTCATAACCAACAACAACAGCAGCAACAAGATACTCAACACTTTTATTCAAAATCCTATCCAACTTCCTTTAATAATGAAATTGGAAACATCAACAGAAGTGAAGGGGTGAGAGAACCACTCAACCCTGTTTGGAATAATACTCAACCATATCAGAACCCAAATAAGAGTGCAGCCTCCATGCTCATGTTTCCTCATGATGATGACAGAAGTCCTCTAACCTATTCATTAATATCTTCACCTGCCAACAATACTACAAATACAACAACACCATGTACATCTTCTCACAACCGTAATGCTAACAATACCACTAGTTCAAGTATACCACAAGCATCAACAGAGAGATCCTCATGTACTAACTACATGTATCCAACGTCCTCAAACAACAACTCAAACATCCAACAACAATATCCTCAAAGGAAACAATCTTCTCCACCACCTCACTATCCAATCAGAAATAATAATCAATCTGTACATGATGTGGCGCCTTCACCCATACAGCGTAATACACCTTCTTCAAATGGCTCAACCATAAACAGTCAATTGCTCCATGACTGTCGGGGTGTACAAATTAATAATTATGATATACCTAGTTCGAATTGTCAAAGAGAGGATGGAAAATCATTCATCCAACAACCTGATCAGCTTGTCCAAACAAAACAAGAATTCAAAACAAACATAACCATCAGTAGCAGCTCGGATATTGATTTTCCCAACAATATGAATAATACCAATAGAGTTTCGACTGATCATCATCAGCCTACATGTATTATTAATAATAATAATTATAATAATAATAATAATATGAACGAATTCAATAACACTAGAAGAACAACATCATCATCAACATATGGTTATAATAATAATAATTCTACGACATTAGACCAGAATATGTTTAATAATTCCTCTTCACCACCTCCTTCTTCCATGTTGCAATATTATAACTCACAACAACATCATAACAACAACAATAACTCTGTATCAAATATTCCTAATCAGAAGAGAATTTCTCCAACTGTAAATTATGAATCTTCTTCGACTGGTAGGATTGTTGATGAATCAGCATCATATCATAATGGTAGTAGAGCAACAACAAGCTTACCACAACAACAGCATGCAGCAACATCCTCACATGACAATACACATGTACTACCTTATTATAATGCACATCCTTCTAGACATGCATCGCCTACATCCACCACCTATCAATACTCCCCACATCAGCAGCACCAACAACAACATGTACAACAATCACCTAGAAGTTTGCCAACTGATCAGCCGAGAGAATATCCTTCTTCTTATTCTGATCCAGTGGTGAGTAATTCTTCTCAACCACCACAGTATCAGCCATCATTACAGAAAGATAATAGATCGTTGGATCCTTCTTATTCAGCTAATGGATATCACTCGCAACAGCAGTATCAATTAACAACACAAATAATACTACTAGCAGCAATCATACTAGATCAAATTTAAGTGCTAATTTCCATTCCTCAACTGATTTTTCATTTAGTGGAAGAAATGCAAGTCATAGTGGATCCTCTGATGATAATTCTGATTCAAAACTGAATCATGGAGGAGCTTTGAATGGTGATTCTAGAAAACACAAGAAGAAAGGTCCAAAGAAGAGAGAAATTTCAAGAGATGATATGAAAAAGTATTTCCATGTTTCTCAAACAGTTGCTGCTAAAATGTTAGGAGTTTCAGTTAGTACTCTTAAAAGAAGGTAAGTTGTCTTCTCGAAGAAAATCATCTAATTCTTGTATTTATCATGTTTGCTCTCATGTACATTGATTGCATAATACTTAATGTAAATGTATTAATTATCAATATTATGTTGATGCATCTTACATCCAATGCATGTATCTGAATTTAAATTATATCGGATGAACCAATTCGCTTTTTGCTGATTCCTCCCTTAATGCATTTAACATTGGTATTTACCGTAAAAAAACTTACTTTCATATTTGGACTTTAAGATTTTATGAGGAGTTTAACATGAAATGGCCATATGTGCCTTCAAAAACCAATACTTCAAAGAGAAAGAAGGATGACAATGGGGAGACAACATTGGGAAGTGGTGATAATAGTCAACAAAACTCAGATGAGCATGCTTCATCACATGAGATGGTACTTCCTCATCAACAACAGCAACTGCAACCACCATCCTCATTCGATTCACCTTATAAGAAATTGAAGAGAGATGTTATCTTTGATCCACCAAATAATGTAGTTAGCGAGCAAAATCATCTTTCTGCAACATTCACATACTTCTTATCAAAATAATGTTCAGAATGCACCACCACCTCAATATTCTCAAATGAATGATAGAAATTCATCCACACATGGATCCATGCATGCCTATCCAACATCCATTAATGTAAATAATAATCATATAGAAAATGGATCAACTAGTTTACATATCAGAAATGAGAATGTTTCAAATGTAGCTCCAACAAGACATGCTCAAGTGGTTTCTTATCAACATGCTGAACCTTATCCTCCTTCCTCTTCTGCTACCATTCGAAACAATATCAATAACAGTACATCTACCTCACTCATGTCTTATCATGCTCCACAACAAACAATGAACCATGCCAATCATGGTATCATACATTCTAATTCACCTCCTGGTTACATGATGAGAGGAGAAGATGTTTATTCATCAGCTGCAACTACATCTCAATCACAACATTTTGAAGCAGCTACAGTTTCTGGACCAACTACCAATATGTTACCTCCTATTTCCTCTTTTAAAATGGAATCTTGGAAGTAATTAATACACCCAATTGTTTAATTGTTTGACATGTTACATATGCCATGTCACTTTGGAACCTGATCGTTTTTTGCAAACAATAAAAGGATCTTTGTTATCCAAAATTATACTCAAGGTGCATTGTTTAATAAGGAAATCATCAGATATTAAATAGTTCACTGTTTCAAACGACATTTTCCTTTCGTCAGATATGCATTTTTTAGTGTGGATGATTTACTATTTGCAATTTATTTACAATGAAATTGAGGAGGAGCAGTAATTAGAATAGTCAATTCCTAATACCGCTCCATATATGTGAATTATGAAACAAGTGACATGATAGCAGCTGATTAATTGCAGGAATGGGTTTAATTGTATAAATGTTAAATACGTAAACATCTTCACCCGTTGAATACCTTCAAGTATACAATTACATTGAAGCCACTTTTACAATTAAATACCTAGATAAAGACAATGATTTAAGATTGGATGTAAACAATCTCCAATATATATTCAAAATATCGATCAGTGTTGCTGCTCAATAACAACTTCCAAAGCGTGAAATTTGAATCAGATCAACAACTTATATTTTGAGGGTTGGTCTGGGAATCGAATTGCAATAAAAAATTTGAAAGACCAGAGAATAAATACATTGATATAACAGCCAAGAAGCGCGATGGGCTCATAACCCATAGGTCCTAGGATCGAAACCTAGATTTGCTAATCGTTTTACAATTTTGGAATTGAAAATGTTTAAAATATTTAAATCTATTAATAAATTTAGTGAACTAAGGTAAGAAAACCTTATCTATCCAATACATTTAAAAGGAAAGGGGACCAGTGGGAATCGAACCCACGGCCTCTCGCACCCAAAGCGAGAATCATACCACTAGACCATGGTCCCTTACACTATTATTTGCTTAAGACATAGATCCCAATAGTTTGTTGTGTTTTCTCGAATAATTTGTAGGCACTGTTTGTTTAAGCAAGTTAAAATTTTGAAAAGAATAACAAAAAAGACTACAGCACCACAGGTTCCCAAGTTGTCTCCAACCTCAGTATTGATGTGGCTCGACGATGCTTAACTTCTCAAATCGGACGGGATGAGGTGCATTCATCGTGATATGGCCGTAGCCGTTCATTAATAAAAAATTTGAAATATAAATCAAATTCACACCAGTTTCTTGAAAGAAGCAACATTTCTTAGCTATTCTGTTACACAAAAACTGGGAAATTGAATAGAATTAAGTTGGGAATTCCCAACTCGATATTCCTCATCATATAAATCAAAGTTGGAAATATTAATTGTCATAAATAAAAAAAAATGATGAACAACCAAACAAACGAAACAGTAGAACAAGCAAATGAATTAAAGTACGAATTAAACTCTGTTGTTGAACGTTTAGATCAAGTGGTCATGGCTTGGAGCAGTAAAATGACCAAACGCGAGAATGATTTTCAAGAATTACAAAAACTTTCAACAAAATTCACATTCAAAGAAGGTGAAATTATCAAACTAAACATTAGTGGAATCGTTTTCAAGGTTTTTAAGGAAACTTTGGATCAGAAAATTGTAAAACCTAAACCTACAACAATTAAATTTACAAATAGTAGACTTAGAAATGAACAAAGTATGGAACAGTCAACGGAGGAAGTTCAATATTATCCACCTAACTTTTTCAATGTACTCATGTCTGGAATTCACAATTTATCGATGGATAAGGATACAAATGCGATATTTATTAATAGAGATCCAACTCATTTTCATTGCATTCTCAATTATTTGAGAGGTCAAGGACATTCGAAAGATTTCGTTCTTCCAAAAGATTCGTATGCTCTCGAATGTTTGTTTATCGAAGCAAGATTTTACATGTTGGAAGGTTTGATGGAAATTATTGAGAGAATTTCTCCAAATATTAAACAAAATTATTGCAGAGATTAGTTTAAAAGAATTGCAAACTAAACTCTTTAGATTCTGCCAATTCTTCAATATACAATTATATTCTGTAACTTCTTTGAATAATAAACCAACACGTAATTGTCAATCCTCATTCCAATTAAAGATGCTTCTGACATTCAATTTCTCCATCTCTTTAAACCAGTTTCGAACAACTGAATTCAACACTTTCTTGCATTCACGCCATTCTCAACATTTTCAGCATTTTCTTACATCCACAACGCATTCCAATCATTGTAATCTTTGAATTTCTCTTCTTCTTATCTCTCAAGTCCTTAAAGAATCCGCACAATAAACCCAAATATAGACCACAACAAGTCAACTCACGTACAATGAATTGTAAAAAAAAACAAAGCAACATACATTGAGCAGTACGCACACTCTCTTTTGCACTACTAACTCAAGATGTTCGCAGAGGAAACTCATGGTCATTACCATGATAAAAAGAAGACGAAACTCGCCAAAGATAATGTTGACGAAATGATTGAAATTGAAATGCCAAATAATGCAAATAACAGCAGTAGTGGAAACGGAGATGTGGCTGGACAACAAACAGTAATGCATAGAATTGGTTCTTCTCCGACCTTTAGTCCAGTTTCTGTTCCTAGGTTAAATGTTTCGTATGTGGATCAAGCTACTCGAGAGTGGCAATCGGATTTTAAACAATTTCCTCTAGTGGATACAGCCAATATTTCAAAGAAGGAAGTTGTAGAGTTTTACGAAAAGCAAAATGAAATGGTTGATGAATATTCGAAACTTTTCAAATCCAAGTTGGAGCATTCGGACGAAACTACAACTGAAGGCGATTTGACAGGACGTTCTGTTGCCAATGAAGCTGCTTTCGAACAGGAAGAACATATTACACCTGCCATGAAAAGATTAGAATATTGGTGCATTCACTTGTCATTTTGGACAAACGTTTGTTTATTTGTGTTGAAATGTTCTGCGAGTATCTTATCAGTTTCTCTCTCAGTTATTACATCCACAATTGATTCTGCTTTGGATTTATTATCTGGTTTGATTATTTATATTACTTCATTGTATAGAAGAAGAAAGAATGATATTTATCAATATCCAATTGGTAGAAATAGATTGGAACCAATTGGTTTTGTAATTTTTGCTACTTGTATGTGTACTGCAAGTTTGCAAATTATCAAGGAAGGTTTATCTCAAATCGTGACAGGTCTCATTACAGGTGATGTTTATATTAATGCAAATAGCTCAGATGATTCAAATGCTGAAGTTGACTGGATGTTTGGTATTATGATTCCTAAATATGTTGCCACTATTTTCTATTGGTATGGTATTGGTGTCCTGTTGGCAACCATTCTCATCAAATTGGCTCTCCATTTGATTTGTAGAAGAGTTAAACATTCTCCTTCAGTTATTGCCTATGCATTCGATCACAGAAATGATGTCTTGTCTAATAGTTTGTTGCTTGTTTCCCTATTCTTGAGCAAATATTTGTGGTGGCTCGATTCTATTGGTGCTGTCATTTTGAGTATTTACATTATTAAGAGTTGGATTGACGAATCTTTGGAACATGTGACTAAACTTGTTGGTTTGACTGCTGATAAGGAATACATTCAAAAGTTGACATTCATGGCATTGAATCATAGTCCTCTAATTACTCAAGTTGATTCAGTAATGGCCTATTATTCTGGTGCCAATATGATTGTTGAGATTGATGTTGTCTTGCCAAAGGAAACTCCACTCTTGGAATCTCACGACGTTGGTGAAACATTGCAAAAGAAGATTGAATCCTTGCCAGATGTTGAAAGATGTTATGTCCATTTGGATTATGAATTTTCACATACAAAGGATTATGAACATGTCGTTAAGGATTAATTTTAAACACACAATTATATAACTCGACAACACAGACTTGTCTTTGTAAATATTAAATATATATTCACATAATATTTATTCTAGAGACAGTTCAATAATTTCAGATTTGATTGATTTGTTTACAATACTTTACAAAAATCTCTAAAACAACATTTTCAAAATACTCTTAATGACAAAGTAAGCAAGAATCAAAAATCCTAAAAAGTATAATGGACGTTGTTCCACAGGAATTCCATTAGCTTGTCTAACAAGAGGATCAAACAAATCCGATAATCCACCTCTACCTCCAGAAGCTTGCAAATTATTATAGGTTGTTGAAGATGATGCAGATGATCCCAAAACTCTTCCTCCACCCGAAGGGAAAGCTCCTGGTGATGTATTAGTTCCATGTTTCTTAATCATATCCTCCACTTTATCCATATCAGCTCCTACAATTTGTCCTAACTTTGATCCTGCCTTGAAGAAGAGGAATGTTGGAAGAGAAGAAACTGAGTATTGAGAGGCAATATCTTGCGATTGATCAACATCGACACTGACAAAATTTGTATTTGGATATTTAGTAGATAATTGTTCAAATTTTGGTTTGGCATTCATACATGGTCCGCACCCTATAGATGATGATCAAAAGTGTTTTAGAATTATTATTAATTCAATATCCAATTTAAATAAATTAAATAATTTAATAATTTTGTATGATGATTGTAAATTCATTCCGAAATTAATTTATAGTATCTTCCTCATTATGTTCTTCATAATTAATAAACATACATGTAGCAAAAAAATCAACAACAGTTAAATTTGATTTCTTGATAATTTCCGAAAATTTAGAACTTGAAGAAACTTGTTCAACCTTTCCACCCATTTTTTTTAATAATAATTAATTAATTGATTTTTCTATTATTAGGTTTTAATGTAAACAACACGTGTCATTTTCCGTAGGATGTTTACAATAAATGTCAAATATTTACAAATTTCAAATAGATTTAAAGAATTGTTTTGTGTGAATAATTTATTCTCCATGAACGAATTTATCAAAGAGTGATTTCTTTTTCTTTTGTTGGACATAGACAGTAGTTGAAGAAACTGGAACGCTATGTTGAGGATAATAAGCAGAATATCCCACAGCTCCTGGAGGCATTGAAGGAGGTGGTCCATGAACTACTCTTACATTTCCAACTGGTGGTACAATTGATGGAGTGGTGGTGGTAACAACTGTTGTTCTTACTGGAACTTGTGTGACAACTGGAGGAGAAACAAATACAGGTTGATGAATCATTTGAGGAGTATTGTAGGTTTGTGTGACAGTTCTTTGAGTTACAACAACTGGTTGTTGTGTTATCATTACAGGTTGTGGATGAATATATGGTTGTTGTGGTGGAATAATCATTGATTGACGCATTGGCATTACAGGTTGTGGCATTGGCATGTGTTGTGGAATTGGATTTGGTTTTTGATAAGTCATGGTAGTTGGTTGAGTTTTTTGTGGAAGAGGAGGTAAACTTGGTTGTTGTGGTGGTACATATTGGTTATTCATTGGAATGTATGGTTGTTGTGGTGGAATTTGTTGATTATTCAAGTTTGGATAGACAACTTGATTTTGCAAGTGTTGTGGAACTTGTTGTTGTTGTGGAGGTTGATATGGTTGTTGTTGTTGTGGAATGTAATATTGATTAATTGGTTGTGGAACATTATATTGTTGACCTTGAGTTTGTGGTCTCAAATTGACAAGTCCAGTATCATAGGCCTGATCATTTGGATGATACTTTGTCTCCAATTGATGATTTTTAATAAAGGAATCACTCATTGATTGTGTTACAGTTGCTGATGAAGAGGTTGAGGTAAAGGAGGCATTCATATTCGAATTTCTATCCAAAAAACCAACTGGAGCAACTGGCGTATTTGTTGTTGTAGGAGTACTTGGAGTATGATTCATCATTGATTGTTCATAGGAAGGAGGTTGTTGTTGTTGTTGTGTTGTTGGATATTGTCCACCAAAAGCTGTATTATCAAAACCCATTCTTTCTTCAATAAATAAATAATAAATAAATAGTTTTAAATGATCTCTGATTCTATCAACAAGTATTTAAATTTTAAATTTTAAAAAAGGCTTGCAAAATATTTTAAATCAGCCGTTTTGTGCTATGATACAAAAAATGATGAGAATTTTTTTTTTGAAATGAATTTGACGCGGACGTTGAGGAAATATTAATAGGCAGTTGAATTGGAAGATGAATTGGAAATGATTTTCCTTGTTGGTATTACTATTGAAATACTTTACAAAAAAATATAGCGAGTTTACAATAGGTTATTATTGTAATGAACACCAAGAATTATCAGTTTCTGGTTTGGATTTTGGAGAGCTTTCTTTTCTTTCCTCTAGTATTTTCCATGAATTTGAGAATAAGCATTCCAAATGAATAAACCTTGAGGGTAGATTAATGTTCTGCATTTGGGCTGCGTTGACCTCTACATAAATTGAGTTGAATTCATTTATGGCTAGTTCACAAGCCTCCTGTTGAGTAACTTGTCTTGTGAATTTCTCTTCTCTTGGGTAGAATCCAAGTAAAATTGCAACTGTATTTGGAGCAAATTGTTTCCACAAAGGAATCCAATATTTCGAAATATCTGTAAACGAGCATCTATTGTCAATAGAAAAGCTGAATACCAATATAGACGCAGAGTGCAGAAAGGATCTTGCTACAATTCCAGTAGTTTTGGCATAATTGAGAATTGATCCATGCCACACTTGATGTTTCAATTTAAAATTTAAAAAGTCACAATCTCTAACAATGAAATCTGCTCCAATATTAGGAAGTAAATGAGGTGAATAACATCCACTGGCGAAACTTCTGAAAAATCTTGATTTACCCACTTTCTTATTTCCAATAATGGCATACTTGATATATCTTTTGTCTTTCCTTTCATTTTTCTCATCTTCAATCTTGGTAGATCCCAATTGATTCTTATAGAAATTGAATAATTTCAGCTCATTGGCAACTATTTTCTTTTCCAATTTATCAGAAAAGCCAAGCAAATAGTATCGAATAATAGTTAATCTATTTCGCCTAATATGTATTCTTCCTTCATGAGTATTCACACAACGACAGGAAGAGTTTGTATCTACTCTCTCAGAAATTCTATTATTATTATTATCACTCTCTCCATCATCATAATAATAATAAACTTTTAAATTTTCTAATTTAAAATTCCGATCATCATGATTATTGAAATTATTTAATTGTTGTGATGATATATAGAATCCATCAATTAATTCTTGAACTGTTCGGGATATTCCATTCAAACTAGCCAAAACATCAATAGGTTCTAGAAAGGACACGATTTCAATCCATTCATCATTTAAACTTTCCATCTTTTTTGATGAAACTCTTCCACTGTTGTTTTTCTTTATTTTTTTCTTTGTAATTGGGTTGACAACCTAAATTGTAAAAGACCTATCAATATAATTGTAATGAAGAATAGAAAAATGAATTTGCAATATTAACTTCCTATAATAAAACTGAATTCATCCAAGTTCAAAGTCAACAGAGAGATATCATTGACGGAGATATAAAAAGCAACCATTGAAACGTTCTTACTAAAAAACAGTCCTCTTCTAATGAAAATGTCCTCCACCATCACACAGCTCAACATCATTTAAATACCTCACCATTTAAACTCCACATCAATATCAATATAATAACCAAAAAGAAATCAACAACATCAATAGGACTTTATAAATCTCTTTCATCATCTTCATAAAATGTCCAAAGTAAAACACATTATTAAAACCTCCTTAAAAACCTTCGAAGTTGCCTCGGGGACAAACTTGAGAGCTGCCCTTGTGGAGAATGGAATTCCTCTCTATAATGGCAAAACAGAGACTTTCAATTGTGGTGGAAATGGCACTTGTGGAACGTGTGCAGTGCAAGTGTTGGATATTGATGAAAAGACCTCCGTGAAGGACTCTATGAAAAGAACGAGTGGTGAGGAAATGAGATTGAAACTCCCACCACATTTCAATAAGAATCAAGATATTAGATTGGCATGCCAGTGTCAAGTGACACAAGATGTGAGTGTTCAAAAGTTTGATGGAGTTTGTGGTCATAAGTTTGATAAGACTAAATGGTAAATAAATTTCACTTGGTCAATTGACAATATGAAATGAAATTTTAAAATAGATACTTCAAAATACGGCTCTTGATCAACATTCAACTCAAATTTGAAATTTGGAACGAAAGAGGATTACCCATAAATCAAGAAATCGGTTTTGGATCATTTAGCTCTTAGTCCAAATCTGGTTGACTGATGAAAACCTTCTCAAATACTATAAAACCAATGCCTGGCGAATACTTTTCAAATCATTCAACAAAAAAACAAATTGATTCAAATCAATATGAAAAATTCAGCTCTTAAATCAATCCTTCTAGGATTGGCTTTCATTGCACTTTCTGCAATGGTGGTCATGGGAACAGCTCCTCAAAAACCTGTTTCTAAACCAACTGATACTTATGGTGATCATCAACAATATTGTTACAATAAGTGTACTCATTACAAGACTATTCAAGGTAAATGCGTTGATTACGAATGGGTTGGTACCAAGAAGGAATGCTGTGATTGGAAGACAGTTGGCAAGGGTAAATGTTTGGAATATAAGAAGACTCACAAGTGTGACAAGTACAGTAAGAATGAAAAGATTTGTTTGGGTCACGGTTACAAACAATTCTGTACCAAGGTTACTAAGCATAAGATTTGTGCCAAATATGAATGGAAGGAATTGTGCAAACATCACGGAAAGAATAATGCATGTGATGAATATGCTTATCATTTCATTTGTACCAAGTATGGTCATTCTGCTAGATGTGCTGAAGAAACCTACGTTCCAAAGATTAAGTATTTCCATAAGAAGAGATGTGCCAAATACTCTGTCCATCAATATTGTGCCAAATATAAGAAACTCTCAAGAACTGTTGCTAAATGGGTTCCAGTCAGTAAGAAACATTACAAGGGTTGGATTGATCATTACTATAAGCAAGTTTTGGAAAAGAAGTATCACACCATCTGTGTTGCTTATGCCAAGAGAAAGACCTGTACCAAATATGAAAACGTCAAGTTTGCCAAGAAGATTGGTTATGAAAAGAAGTGTGTCAAAATCGTCAGAAGAAAGTATTGTGTTGCCAAGCAAAAGGCTAAATTCTGTACCAAGTGGACTCCAAGCAAATTCTGTGATCTCAAAGAAAAGGTCAGAATCTGTAAGGCTTTCAGAGAAGATAAGTTCTGTTGTGATTATACTGCCAAGCCATATTGTACTCAATACAAGACATTGAAGCCAAGATGTATTAAGAGATCATTCAAGAAGCATTGTGTCAAGAAGTCACCAGGTTATAAGGTCTGTGTCAAGTACAACTTTGTTGGAGGTAAGAGAATTTGTAAAAAGCACGCTGATAAGAGTGTCTGTGCTAAGAAGAAGAGAGTTTGTACTAAGGTTGATACCTACAAACCACCAAAGAAAGTTGACACCTACAAGCCACCAAAGAAGGTTGATACTTACAAACCACCAAAGAAGGTCGACACTTATAAGAAGTAATTCGATCAATTTTGAATTAATATCAGAAAATTTCTAATTAATTAATTAGAATTTATATCCGAAAACTACTTTGTGAGAAAACAAGAGCCTAATAAAAACCCAATTTTCTTAAATTTATGAAACTTTCAAATCCTCCCTTGCTATAACCATTTAATAGTAGTAATCATGATGAAACTTCTTCCTTAAGGAAACCAACGCCTTAATTTTTTTTTCTCACCAAAGAAAAATTCCACCACGCTACCTGCATCGTACGGATTCATCATATCGTTTGATACTCGACAAATTAAATCAAAGGCAAAAAATTGGGTGGTTCTTTTTCTTATTATTGTATATTAACAAGAGTGAGGGAAGGAGTTGTTGACAACAAATAATAAAAGAGAGAATGACGACTGAAGAGGAATTTGATGAAAATGATCTCCTTCTCGGAGGAGAAGCAACAACAGTTTCAGTTGAAGAATTTAGAGCAATGAAGAAAATGATGAAGGAGTATACGGAGAGAATTAAGGTTCTGGAAGATGTTTCAACACACTTTGCAAATGAATTTAAAATTATGAAAAAGTTGATCACAGCTCATGTCCATGAAGTGAACAATAATATAGAAAACAAATTTAAGGAGATGAACAAGATTGTTGATTCAAAATTGGAAAAGATAGAAGGAAGATTGGATATGGCCTTTCAAAAATTGGAATCCACCTCTGAAGAATTGAACAAATCACAACATAGAAAGAGTAACAACTCTTCATTCCAAACCCCTAGAAAGAACGATTCTCTGTTGCAAATGTTCTCCCCGATTGAAAGGAGTACAGGCAAGAAGGTTACTAGTGTTAAAAAACCAACTATTATAGAAGAGGAAGCACCATTGGAGGAAGTCGATTATACAGAAGAAATGATAGAGGGTGTCTTGTCGTCGGAAGTTTTCGAGCCTCAACAAGGTATGTAGTATTGTTGTTGGAATGGATGACAGTTAACTCTTTGATTAGAAACTCTGCAAAAGATATTCAAGCATTGCGTTCTGAGATTGAAAGATTTGAATAAGGGAGATATTAGAAAAACAATGGCAAAAACGCATTTTGTGCAATTCTTTACAGAAGGAAAGATTGCCATCTTTTTGGATGAAAAGAGTTGTAACACCGATGTTGTTTGGATTGGAATTATGAAAAAGTTCAAAAAGTTTGGAATTATCAAGAGTAAGTAGTTTTTAGAGTTGATGAACAAATGTGAATTTCAATAGCTCAAGAAGAGTTATCGTATGACAACTTTGAGAAGGCAATCATAGTAATGGCTCAAAGCCTCAAAGATTCTTCATCAATGACACCAACACAACGAACTGAAATGTTTCTTGTTTCTTTCATTCCTAATTTCTATGATGTAATACAAATGAAGGAAGTCTACAACTCAACTAATGAGGAACTTTTGAATCAGACCAGAGACATGGATAATTCCCATTACTTTTTAACAAACAATGAATGCTTTGATATTCTAAAGAAAAACAGAAAACAATTGAAGCAAATATGGTCTATCCATAGTATCAATAAGAAACCAAGAGCTGGTTTACAACCAACACTGATTGGAGTCAACATTAAGGATCTATTCGATATCTGTCAACAATATGGTTTGAAATCATTGATTACCAAAACTGATTTGATAACAGTAAGTATTCAGATGATATGGTTTTTTGTAATCATAAAATCTTTTTAGATATTCGAACAAAGAATGGATCTCAAAAAGAATTCATTGTTTGAAAACAGACTTTCATACAATGCTTTCGAACTTGTACTAATTGACATTTCCAATCATATCTATGGTGGTAAACCATTTTGTAATACATACACTACTATTGAATCAAGAGTAGAAAAACTAATTAGCAAACTAATACTGGCATACGAAGAGGATAAATCAGTTCAAGCTGTCAAAATATTGAACGCTGTAACTTATGGACCGGGAATCTAGGTAATAAACATGTTCAAATAATACATATGTACAGTTCAAATTTTAATAATTATATTTATATTGTTATTAGAATCATGGAGAATTTGCTCCGTGACTATCTAGTTTGTATCATCTCGAGATTATTGAACAACACATCCTTCAGATTCAGCTCTGACTGGAGCCTATTAAAAGTTACCCGATAAATATCATCACAACAATAGAAAATACTACATACCTTCAAAGGGTTAACTTGGGAAAGGAAGACTAAAATCCACATTGTCCAACAACACAAAACAGTCAAGAAGGTCATGGTTCTAATCAAACTATAATATGATGAATAAAAAAACAATTGGTCAGTTAATGTTCGTATCCTCCAAACTCCTAAAACAAGATCTCAACATACCCAGCTTGTTTACCGAACAAAATGGTGAATGGCATGATAACAATGCACAAACCCCAGAAAAGAGCAGATCCAATAATGAGCGTCTTTGCGTCTTCGCTCAAAGCCATTTTTTCTTTTTTATATTTTTTTTAAAATTCAATTAAATATTTTATTTTCAACTCCGGAGCCGGAAAAGGATTGCCTGCTAAAAAGAAAATATCTTCAAGGCAGATGGTGTTTGGAAACTATCAAGAATGTGTGAATTCATTATTTGATCATTAATATAGATTAGTATTCTTCTTTGAATTATTCAACATATTGATGCGGAAGAAAATATTTTAAAATTATTAACGAAGAATTTAATCAAAAATTTACCTCCACACTGATGTGTGATGATATTGGTTGGAAATTGTACAATCAAAAATTAGATGATTGCCAGATTGTTGTCTAATAATTCCACTTGAGTTTGTTCAATTTCTACAGCTTGGCGCCATTTTTTTAAACAACTCAGAAAAACAAAAAAAATGGGAACATCAAACTCTAAACCAACCCTGCAAAACAAAGGTCACAAAAGGACAGCCTCGTTTGAAACTTACCCAACCACTACTCCGAAGAAGCCTAAAACCACAATTGATCTAAAAACTGTTAACAAATATGAAAATATTAAAGAAAGGGCAAAGCGATCATTGTATTCCATGGCAGACACCATTAGACTTCCATTCGTCAACAGAGAGCAATCGTGTGAAGCCTTAATGCTGAATCTGATACGACAAAAAACTTCAGTTCATGGAATGCTTCCAATTTTGAGTCAGCATTATGGAAGCGGAAAAACACGTCTTGTTCATGAGTTTCGTAAAGCACTACCAGAAAGAGGCGATTTATCATCGCTAAGATTAACTGAGTCTTCTAATATCGTTGCCAACAATTTAATGAAAGCAACTCTTGTAAATATGGACATGTCTAATGCTACATTGACAACCTCCCTTGATAATGATCTGGATTTTCCTAATGGTGCTATTTCAGATCTATTCTTACAAGAAGTAGTTATTGCATTGAAGCATCTGTCATCAGAGAATAGTGATCCACTAATTTTAAAATCGTTAAGAATTCTCAACTGTATAAGTGTGCCAAATATTTATGACCTTAATAGAGAAGAATTAATCATTTATGATTGCTTAATTAAGTGCACTAAGTGGGCCAGTTTTCTTCGTAAATATTCTCAATTTGAATTGTACCCTCTATTGATACTAATAGATGAAGCATCATATTTAGAATATCACTACAAGGAAGGATATTCCTCCTTTGTAAACCTTTGGGAAAGTACTTTCAAAACAACAATGGGATCATACGGAGATAAAGTAAGAACACCTGGTATCTACTTTATTGTTTGTGGAGTTTCCTCAAACTTAACCAAGTTGGGAAGAGGTTTACTAAAAGTTTCGAATAAGGTTATTTCGCCTACACCCGCTGTGCATATTATATTGGATATGCTAAAAGTAGATCACATTACAGAAATGTTCCAGAAAGTGGTTGTAACAACAGATGGAAATAACATACGAGAGTTCACTGAAATATTTTGTAATATAGGAAAGAACTACGAGTACTTTTGTAAAGTGGTATTCATCTATACAATAGGATTGCCCAGATTGATCGAATATGTTGTCTTATCCTTACTCAATTTTGTTAAACAAAATCATTCAATAGATTTCAGCAGTAGAGAGAGAATAGATGCTGTATTTGATAACTTTTTAATGAGAAAAGAACTAGCCCTTGTGAGAAATGCAAAAGAGATTTGCCCATTCTATACCAACCCATTCAATGATGAGAAAATCGACAGACTTATAGCACTTTTTACGATGGGACTAATGGGATTTCCCGTACCAATCGCTGATGAATATATTTCAGAGATTGATCTACTACATAATCTGAATGTGGCTGTTGAAACACCTACTGTTAACGATGATCGAGTATTCAAAATGTATATTCCCAAGTTCACTTTGATTAAGGCAATGAATGATAACAATATGAAACATATTTCAATACTTTCTTGCCTTCCTCAAAGATTTTATGATTACATAGATAAAGGTGATTTACTCAAACAACTATTCCTTGACACAATTCTTACCCGTATATTATTTACTCTGAGGACTTCAGATTCGAACGAATGGGACAAAATTCATTCGATATTTTCACTTCCAAAAATCTTGAAAAACAAACAGTTGGAACTGGATATGAACCTTCCTGTTAGATATCTCCCTAAAATTGTAAGCTCAGATAATAAGAACACCCCTAAAGCTCTTTCTTTTTCTAAAAGACATCCCTGGTGTTTCAATATGAGTTACAAGTTTTGGAATGATCTTTATGGATTGCAAATGAATGGCGGCGTGATAGGTCATCCGGCTCCTAAATCCAAAAGTCCAGATTTTGTAATATCAGTTCCACCAAATTCTGCCATATCTATTGCATGCAAGAATTTTTCCTCCAAATTCTCATTAAGTATGTTACAAGATGAAATAGATAAGGCCAGTCTAGTGGAAAAGAACAATGTACTATTCATATTTTCTTCCCAACTGTGTGAAACGTTATCAAATGCTTGCCTAGAACAAGGTTATATTCATCTGTATGAAGGAAAATGGAAATTTGATGATTATTTGCAATTTCATGAGTTGAAGAGCATTCCTAATCTAAAATATAGAGCAAAAGGCACCACCTATGTGGCAAACACCATTAATGTGTATCCGAAAATGGAAGTAATTATTTTAGGAGAGAAATTGTTTAAATCTTTCTTTTTGGAGGATGAGCAATCACCTATGGATATTCATCTCAAATGATCTTCATAGAAGAGAAGTTACTTCCATATGCTGGTGGAAGTTATGAAACAGCATCCAGTGTTACTGGAGGAGAAGGTCAACCACCACCACATCCAGTTACCATTCCAAGAATGCTTGGAAATGGCCCATCTCTACTAGATTTGAGATTGCCATCCAATGTACTGGAATATATACTCGAACTCTTGAGAACTAACTCAGGTCCAGGATCTGTACTAAACGAAAAGGTTGCACAATCTGAAAAGGATGAAAAGGAAGCCAAGGATTTTGATATCTTCAATCCTCATCATGATCATCATGATAAGAACGATGATGACTATGACTACAATCTAAATTAAGTTTTAGGTTCATGTTCAAAAAGTTTTGTAAATAAAGTTGTGTGTAACTTTTTTAAACGGTGACCTGGTTTCCATTAATACTGTTGTGATCTTTCTAATGGATTGTAAAAGTAGTTGTTGAGGTTTTTTTTTCATCAAAGAACATCGAGTTCTGATCTGGATTTGAACAGAAAAGCTTGTAAAAAGTGGAAATTGTTTGTTAGCATAAAATAATTCACAAAGCAAGATATTTTGATGAATTTTGCAATTCCATTTCACCCACACAAATTCAATCCAAACACAATTTCTTTCACCTTCTCCAATTCTCTATTGTTGATGCCCGTTTTGTTAATATTCCTAATAATCATTAATGCTGAACAAGAACAATAGAGAAGATTTTCCCGCCCAAGAATAACTTGCCTTAACAAAAAAATGTTTAAAACTAACAATAAATATGTGAACAACAATCAGTTTTATTCATGTTATTAGGATCATTTCCCTTTTGTTCTTCATCATGTTCCTCATCATGTTTTTTACTCATACTCTCTTTATCAGATCCATTTTCACAACTTCCTTTTCATAACTGAATCTTCACTTGTTCAATTCTTGGAATCCAGATTCTTACATAATTTGATATAATTTCTGTTAGCTCAACTGGTTCATATGTTATTGAAACACCGTCATTTGGTACTGATGTCCTCAGAAGAAAGAAGGGTTAAGGAACATGCTGCTCCACAAAAGCTATGAATTAAAAACAACTATGTTTAATAAATTATTAATTCTTAATCAGGTTAATATTTTCCAATTTTGATGATTTTGATGGCAGAGATACTCACCAGTGTTCAGAAATTGCAAATCATTATTAATAATAAATAGATTATTAATATTCTTTGTGGAAGAAAATATTTTAATTAATTATAATTAGTACCGAAGAATTTTATTAAAAATTTACCTCCGAGTTTGATCATGTTGGTTAGAAATTGTGCAATCAAAAATTATATGATTACCAACATGTTAAAAGATCTCTCTTGTCATTAATAATGTAAAATGTGGATTGATCACAACAAGTTGATGGTTCATCACCTCCAACAATCAGCACTGTGTGATGAAAGAACTAGCAAAATTGTATTTTTAGACCAGAATAAAAAATAAAAGAAAAAATTTTGTCGCTTGCCTTCTTCCATCATCAGGAGAGTGAAACGCGTCATCAAAAATTAAATTAGTTAATCTAAATACAAGTGGTTGTATATTGTTAAATTGCTACTTGTTTAGGTTACAGTAGATTATTATTATATATAGTGGTTATTTGTTTGGTTTTTAGGAAGCTAAATATTATTATTTTACACCCGATCAAAGTATTGTTGTGAAGAGATAAATACCTAGTAACAATGAAAATGACAGATGAATATGACCTTTCAGATAGTGATGATGAAATGATGCAAGATACTGAGGAAGATAGAGGTTTCAGTGCTGAAGAAGAGAGAAAGCTTGCTTTAAGACAACAGGAATTGGATGAAGCAGCTCAATATTATGAACCAATCGATGAATCAAAGGAAGGTGTCTATCATGTCAAATCATTTGATGCCAATACTGAAAAAGTGAGATGGAAGGCTGACTTTTCAAAAATGGCACAAAAGCAATATTCTCCAACATTTACTATTGCTGGAAATCATGAATTTAGATTACTTGTTTTCCCAAGAGGTAATCAAGTACCTTGCATCAGTCTTTATCTTGATACCAATAACTCACAAGAAATCAAATTGGTTCGTTTCCAAGTTTCAATTTTGAATCAAAAGGATATCAGAGAGTCACACTCACAAGGTTTGTTTACATTATCAATAATTAACTCATTTTGAATTTAGATGCTGAGAAAAGATATGGTCCAAATGATGTCGATTGGGGCTTTAAAGAATTTATTGAATTGAAAAAAGTCAACCCAGATGTAGGATTCATATCTACTAGTGGAATTGTATATTTTGAAATGGTTATCCACATCTGTACTCAACCATATCTTATTGATCCAATTTCTTATGATTCTAGAAAGGAGACAGGTTTTGCTGGCTTGCAAAATCAAGGTGCTACTTGCTATATGGTAAGTTTAAAAATTGATATAATTTTTATTAACATATTTGATAGAATTCTCTTCTTCAAACATTGTATCTATTAACTTATTTCAGAAAATCGGTTTATAAAATGCCAATCGACGAAAATGAAAAGCCTCAAGATAGTATTCCATTGGCATTGATGAGAGTTTTCTTTAGATTACAATTTGATAAAGGTGCTGTGGATACTAAGGAACTTACCAAATCATTTGGTTGGGATACTATAGATTCCTTTTTACAACATGACGTTCAAGAATTTGCTAGAGTTCTGATTGACAATTTGGAAAAGAAAATGGAAAAGACTGATCAAAAGGAAGTTATGAGACAAATTTTTGAAGGAATGTGTAAAAATTATATCAAATGTATCAATGTTGATTATGAATCATCTAGAAAGGAACCTTTTTATGATTTGCAACTCAACGTTAAGGGATGTAAAAATGTAGCTGAATCTTTTGATCAATATATTTTGGAAGAAACTTTGCAAGGAGAAAACCAATATCAAGCTGAAGGACACGGTTTGCAAGATGCTAAGAAGGGTACTAACTTTTTGAAATTACCACCAGTTTTAATGTTGCATTTGAAGAGATTTGAATATGATTATATCAGAGATTTAATCTACAAAATTAATGACAGATATGAATTCCCACTTGAAATTGATTTAGGAAAGTACCTAAGCGAAGATTCCGAGCAAAAGAAGGAAGATAATACCTATGTTTTATTCTCGGTTCTTGTACATAGTGGTGATGTTTCTGGAGGTCACTATTACAACTTTGCTAGACCATACATTAATGAAGATAGGTGGTTCAAGTTTGATGATGAAAAAGTCTATGAGGTCAATGAAAGTCTCGCAGTTCAAGACAATTATGGTGGAGAAGCAAAGAAGAGTAAGATGTTTTGGTTGTCATCAAATCCTAACTCTGTCTACAAAAAGTTTACAAATGCTTACATGTTGCTTTATATTAGAAAATCTGCTATTTCTAACATGATTGCTCCAGTTGAAGTTGATGAAATTCCATCTCATTTGGAAGAAAGATTCCAAAAGGATAGAGATGAAAGAGAAAGAAAAAAGAGAGAAAAACTTGAAGCAGCCAAGTATTGCAACATTAAGATTGTTACTGATGATGATATCAAAAAATCTGTTGAAAAGACTGGATCCGGTTTGGTTGAATTTGAAGATGTGGAACCTATCAAATTCTTAAGAGAAGGTACTTTTGCAGAATTGAAAGAGCAAATTGAAACTCTTTATGGTATCAAGGCTGAACAACAAAGATTTTGGAAGTGGCAAAAGAGACAAAATCATACTCTCCGTCCAGATGCTATTATAAAACCAGCCGATGATGCTTCTACTATTGAGAGAAAGTATCCATATGTTAAGCATCAACAAGCTCCTCCTGTAGAATTATACCTTGAAGTGTCAAAACAAACTTACTCTTATCAAAAGGATGATGAGGAATGTGTTGTTCACTTCCCAGAACCAGCACAAAGATATATTCTCTTATTTATCAAGGAATATAATCCAGAGGAAAGAAAATTGAACTTTGTTGGTACTGTATATGCTGATATGTTGAGTGAAGTCTCTGAAGTTATCCCATCCATTAAAGCCCTCATTGGTGCTGATGAAGATGATGATATTCATATTGTTGAAGAAATCAAACCAAAGATGATTGATGATGTTAGAATTGATCAAAGCTTTAAGGATGCTCAACTCCAAAGTGGAGATATTCTTGCCGTTCAAAGAGTTCCAAAGGGAACTGACTTATCTAAATATCCAATTCCAACAGCAAAGAGTTATTACGACTATTTGAATAACCGTGTTTCTGTTGAAATTAGAAAATTGGAAGATCCTTTAAAGAATGTTGCAGTTGTCGAACTTTTGAAGAATATGGAATACAAGGAGCTTACTGACAAGCTAGGTTCTGCTCTTGAAGTTGATGGAAATTTCCTTCGATTGACTGGTCACCATCCTTATAGTGAAGGACCTTTGGAGCAACCATTTAAGAGTAACTCAGGCTCTACTTTGAAGGATATGATCAACATTGGTCAAACCCCTCAAAAGATATTGTATTATGAAATTTTAGATGAACCAATATTTAATGTCGAAAATAAGAAAGAATTGATTGTGACATGGATGAACTCTAAATGCCAAGATGTAGAAAAGTTCAAATTCCTTCTCTACCCTGACCAAAAGGTCAATGATTTGAAGCAATTGATTGAAGCCAAGGTCAATGGACGTAGAGAAATTGAGAACTCTACAATTGTTATTTCTCAAATTTCTAATTTCAAGATTAGCAAACTTTTAACGGGAGAAGAACTCATCAAAACTCTTGCTACCAACAAGGGAGAAACTATTCGTGCAGAAGAAATTCTAAATGAGGAGCTGTCTATTATCACTTCATCACATAATCTGACAGAAAACACACGTATCTTACAAGTTCAACATATTTGTAAGGAAACCACAGGTTATCGTTTGTTTGGTAATCCAAGCGTTCTTGTTGTCAAGACTGAAGAAACTTTAGGAGATGTCAAGAAGAGACTCCAAGATAAATTGCAAGTCAGAGACATTGACTATAAGAGATACAAGTTCTACTTTATTGTAAACATGAAGATCAAGGATGCTTTGGAAGATGATTCTCTATTGTTCTGTGAATTATTCGACAAGGAAAAACAATCAACCAACGTTGATGTTGTACTTGCTTTGGAACACAAGGATCCAACACCAAAAGCCAGATGGTATGAAAAGCCAATTGTTATCAAGAATTAAATAAATTATTATTCTCACAAGAGAGATTATCATTGGATGCTAGTAGAGTGTGGAAAATCCTGCAACTAGAACTAAATGGAATTTCGTTTATGCAATAACTGTGATTGAGTAGCCACTTTCATATCTAAATGTAAATTTAGCTGGAATATAATCATTTCCAAGAACATGCCTCCAAAATTCGAAACGATTTGAAAAGCCAAGATCTTCCAAAAGTTTAGTAAAATCTGGAATGAATTTTGCAGTGTATGATCGATGAACAATAGCAGCTTGTTTGATAATTTCGAGATTGTATTTCAATTTGGTAGAAACTGCACTGAAATGTGCCCATCCAGTATTTTTCAGAACTAATAGTACAAGTTCTTTGTCATTTCGAATAGTTTCGTCTAAATGATAAAGAGCATGTCCATTCGTTTGTTGAATCATTTTCTTGGCAAATTCCTTGTTTTGTTTGAGTTGTTTTGGAACTGCTTGCATAATTCTCTTGTAAAATCGAAACGAAAGTAAACTAATCGCAAATAAAGTAATTTCCATATCAAGTTTGAAACATCTCGGAATTAGATAATAATAATATGGATTATTTGGAGTTTCTTTTTGAATCTGATGAATAATTTCCACCTTTTGAATCGAATACTTTCTTGCACTTTCGTATTTAATTTGTAATTTTGTAAATAATTTAATTTCCGAACAAGATTTTAAATTTTCACATTCATCTAATGATTGCAATACTAATTTAATATCCCCCTTTACTAAATTGCTCATTTTTTTTAACAGTTTCTTTTGTAAAGTTTAAATTTCACTGCAAATTCAGATTTGAAAATTAGAAACAATTAAAAAAAAATGAAACCAACAAAAAGTTATTCTAAAGTGATTCATCCACTTCAAGAACAATTCGACATGATGTATTTGATATTTGAATTTATTGGAATCTCTCCGATCGTGGCTGTCGATTTGTCTCTTGTTTGTAAGGATTGGATGCAAGTTATTCGAAAGTTGCCAATTAGTTTAAATTTGTTTTATGCTTCAAGAAATTTAAATCTGGAAATGAGTGAAAAATTAGACGAATTGTTATTCTAACCTATTTAAGCTTGGCAAGAAATGACATTTCTCACAAAGGAGCTTCCTATATTTCGTCCAGTTTCAATTTATCCCAACTGAAACATCTCAATCTCAATGGAAACCATATTTCAGATGAAGGAATATACGAAATTTCACAACTCGAAACTCTAACAAGTTTACATTTAAGTGGAAATCAAATTACCACCACAGGTATTATCACCCTATCTCAAAGCCCCTTCTTAACCAATTTACAATCACTCAACTTGAGAAATCTAAAATCATGTCATGAGATCGAAAATTCACAAAACAAGTTTACGAGAATTTTTATGGAGCTGAGGTTTGTGAAATAATTTCACAGAGTTTGAGTTTGAAGAATCTCACTCGTTTGGATTTGCTCGATGAAGCGATTACGCCAAAAGGAGTCAAATTGCTGACTGACAGCAATTCGAAACTTGACTATTTGAAGAATTATATTAGAAATGTTGAGATTTCGTATTATGAGAGGAAAGAACGTGGTAGAACAATTGGAGATTGTTCTTCAACCCTAATGTTGAAAGTTGAGTGTAAGGAATTCAATCCTCCAATTCGAATTGATTTTGTAGTTGGCCACTCTTTATATCCCTTTAATGGAATAGAATATGAATTCATGATTCATGACTATCGACATTGCAGATGTTATTCTAAAATTTACTAAATAATTCATTAGTGATTATTTTGTTTGAAATCATTTACAAAAAATCTTTACAATAAATTTATCAAGAATACAAAAATCAAGACAAGCAATCCAATCACAGAATTCAAAGAAGAAGCTGCACTTCTCTCTGGAAGAATAGGCAAAGCACTTGCAGAGTAAGCTTGCCAATCAACTCCTGCCAAATCTCCACTACTTGAAATTCCAGTTTTCTCCAAAGATTTCTTCATGCACGAATAATACCTACTATAGGCAACTTTACATTTGGTGAAGAGAGAGCTAGCTTGATCTGCAAATTGATTCTTATCCAGGCCATGATATACCCTTGTTCCACTAGTAACATCTATTCCCATATTGTAGAGACATGCTCTAATATCTGTGGCGGGTCCATCACATGGAGTGGTGCATTTTCCAAAGGTGTATGGGAGGGTTCCTTTACCTCCACAAGAACATGCTCCTAATTTACAGCCATCAGAGTTGCCACAAATATCATCATCTAGTTTTTCTTCACATCTTTTTGAGGTGGAGCAATAGGAGGTGTAGCATTCATCATTTTGTTTACAACTTCCACCCAATGGAGTTCCATAAATTCTTTGACATTTGTAATTGATACACTTAACGATATTTGATTTAGAAAAGGCACAATCGCTGTCAATTACACAACTATCTCCATAGGAAGGAACATTTTGACAAGTGAAAGTTGGGTCACTTTGAGAAGTTTGGCGACAAACCAAATCATTATCACACAAATCAGTACCTGTAGTACTGCAAACACCACCTCTTGGAATTCTATCCATGCAAGTCCATTGCCCACTTCCTTTAGATGTTTCTTTACATTGTAAACCATTTCCACATAAAGTGAATTGAGGTGCATCAGATTCTGCATTTCCACAGACTGCTCCCTTGCCAACCCTTACAATTGGCACACATTTGCTAGGTTGGCCAGAAGTTACGTACTTGTAACATGTAGAACCCTCTTTACAACCATAAATTATCTTTGCATTGTTATCAACATAACAAGAGTCTCCATTGTTTCGTTTTTCAATCTTGAATTTTGAACACTTATTCTGAATACATTTAACACCAATGAAATTTGCTAAAAAATCATTCAGAGTTGTATATGTTGTTGTATCTTGTAAACATTGACCGTCAATTTCACAAGAATCACCCAAATATCTATATGCTTGATAACACTTTTGATTAAAGCAATTCAAGGATGGAAAGAGACAATTATAATTTCCATAACATGTGGTCACATTCATGAAAGATTGTACATATGTGTATGGAGAGCATTTGGAAGCAAAGTTTACAAAACCAGGAGGACAGATTGAGCTATCTCCTTGGGTTGTTTCTGTTTCTGCTAAGAAAGCACTTGCACAGGATTGCTGGAAGGAATGGTTGATTTGTGGCCAACATGTTGATTGTTTTTTTTTGTGTCTGTGGTGGTTTTGACATGAACATGTCAATCGTGATTTAATGATGAATTTGGAAGTTACAGACATGAAAGATTTCCATTCATTGTAATTTTCTCATAGAATTGATAATTGGTTGCCACAGTCAATCAAAATCTTTACAAAAGCAAGATCCTACTACTTTGTTTATTATGTACAATTAGTGGTATTGATCGAAAAATTTAAAAGTCAATTTGAGTTGTTTCAACAATTCAATTGTTGCACTCAATTCATCTCTGTAGGATGTGTTCAATAATAAGGAGGTGGTAGGATCGTAATACTTCTTCAAATAGGATAATGTTGAAAAGTGAGTCAGTTGCAAGATGAGTGTTGTCATGACATCCTTGTGGAAACAAAATTGGACTAAAAGATGTGCCAAGTTAGAGTCTTTGTGAACATCATTTGGTAATTTCTTCTTAATACCAGACACATCAATAAACTTGTTAAATTCCTTAACGATGGCATCGCCTTGTGGGCTCAGTCCTTTCATAATTGTGACAGGAGATTCCTTGTATGGTTTGTTGGTAAGGAATGCCTTCTTTTCCAATCTATGGTCCAATAAGAGATTTTCAATAGAGACACAGATACGTTCCATATATTCCTCGAATGGTCTCTCGTTGGTGCAATTGAATTTGAAATAAACTTCATCATTATTATCAGTGTAGGTTGTAATAGCCGATTGTGAACGTTGTGAGGCCAAAGTAATGAGTTGTTTCACATTTTCTCTCAGGGATTGAACAACCTCGGTTGGAGTTTCAAATTGTTCATTAGCTTGATCGTTTCCATAATTTGTCACTGTGACAGAATTTGGTCTATCTTCATGTTTGAGTTCAATTGATTTCTTTGGGCTTTCGGTGTGGATAACTTCAATAGAGTTACTGGTATTATCATGGCTCGAATCCTCTATTGAAAGATTCAGAGTTGGGAAGGATGAATCACTGTGAGCTTCTGGGAACATTTCAATAATGGACTTTGGAGCTTCAGGTTTCTTTTTAGGTTTCTTCTTCTTGTCTGACTTTTTCTTTCTTTCAATTACTAAATCTCCAACTTCTTCAACAATTTGATCCTCAGAGTGCTTTTTCTTCTTTTTGGTAGAGCTGGATCTCTTCTTGTGTGATGGCTCTGCTAAGGTATCGTTTTGAGAATGTGATGAGACAGTATTGGAAGACAGTTCATCTTGATCAGTCAACACAACATCAGTAGAATCCTTTTCTTCCTCTGTGCCTATGTGAAGAGTGTTGGAAGCATCTTCAGAACTTTCCACAATAATTGAGGGTGTATTGTCTTGACTGAGTGATGCATCATCTGAAGGGGAAGAGGTGGAAGGAGAGCTGATCTTTGGCGAAGTTTCCACAACTGAAGTTTCTAAGACTGTTGGTGTAGGAGCTTCTACGACCTTTGGTGATTCTTCCACTATGCTTATTTGGCTTGATTTTCAGGATGTTTCTTCTTCAATTCTTCTTCCAATTTACGTTGTTGTTCCTCAATGATTGCATGTTCCTTTTTCTTTCTTTCCTCATCTTCTTTTCTTCTCTTTTCCTCTTCTGCCTTTTTTCTTTCTTCTTCGATACGTTTTTGTTCTTCCTCTCTTCTCTTCTTTTCATCATCTTCCTTCTTTCTCCTTTCTTCTTCTGCTTTCTTCTTCTTTGCTTCAAGCTCTTTTTGTTTTCTTTCCAGCTCGAGCGCCTTTTCCAGTTCAATCTTTCTCAATTCCTCTTCAATTTGATGGACACACTCATCATACCTTAACTTGGAATCCCCAATTAGGAGCTTTCCCTTTTCGTGCCAAAATATTTTGAGATCGGTAAGAGCTTTTTCCTGTCTTGCTGATTCCAGATGGTTAGTAAATTCTAATTGTAAATCTCTTTGTTGTCTGATTGTGGTTATGTACATGTCCAATTTTTTCATTTCAATTTGAGTGTCACCTTTAGTTCCTAAGCTTTCAACAACTTTTCTAGCTCTCTTTCTAAAATCAATGACATCTTGATAAATACGATTGAGTTCTTGCTCGCTCTCCACTTTGGCACAGTTTCTCACAAACAAATCATTGGAAAATGAGCTGGTGGCATTAGATATTGGCGATAATACCTTATCCTCCAGATATTTTAACTTTTCTTTCAACTCGGTCTTTGTACTTTGTTCGTTATCCATTTTGACAATGTGCGCCGATGCTTCCTCAATTAACTCGTTCAATTTAGTCGATTTTAAGTAATAATTCTCGGATTTTTGTTTAAGTTGCTTGATATTTTCAAGAGAAATGTCACTAAGGATATGTCTAGTTTGAAGAACTCTGGTAAATTCATCCTCCAATCTATTTAAATCATCAGCCATAACGCAAGCGTTCGAATAGTATTCTTCAATTTCAATTTGCAGATATTTAGAATCAAATTTCAAAAAATTAATTTTGAATATGATTTCATCTGATTTGTTAGGTATTTTGATGATTCCTGCTTTGATTTCATTAACAATATCTCTGATCAAATCGCCATCTTTTACATTCATGGAATTGATCAATTTTTCACCAAGGTTCAAAATATGCTCGCAAATGACGACTTCCCATTTACTTTCTGGAATATAACCAATCAGAATTCTAAATTTGAGTGGCCCTTGACTGAAAAGTGTTGGTCGGTGAGCTATGGCATGATGTTGCAGCTTTACAATAAAATCCATAGGAATCAGCGAAGGATAACAAGGGAATGTATCAGTAATATATAAACTGGATGGTTTTTCTTCTGCTTGTGAAATATTTTCAAAAGGTTCCTCATACAATTCAAAATACTGTATCAATTGCTTGAAAATATCATTCTTTCCTGAAGATGAATATGTAATTGGTGAGATATTTTCTTTAAATTGATTAAAGAACCCAGAAAGTACGGTAACATCAAAATTATAATTTGATGAAGATGCTGTAATACCTGGAATATTTGATAATCCAGAAACATAGGTAATATTTTCAATAAATAATTTGTAAGCACCAATGTGTGATAATTGAGTTTTCACTTCACCTAACCCTCCTGTTTGTTGACTCAAAGTATCTTCCAGAAATACCATTTGTTCAAATTCCTCAAATACATCCACTTGATAATAAACAGATCCCAATCCCAATGTCACACCACTAATAAGATCAATTTCAATTTCATCCTTTCCAATCTGTGTCAAATATTTAAAGAATGGTGAATAAGGATCAGCCAAATCGATACGTATCTCCCAAGAATCAGAGGCCTTTAACAATTTCAAGCTCTGTAAGGTCTTTTTATCCTTTGAAATAAGATCAGAATGATCAACTTCATGAAAATCATGATCATCATTAGATGTCCTTGTGAGAACTGGAATTTCCTTCTTTGTTTTGGTCTTATTCACAAAATTGTGATCAATTCTCTTCTTTCCAATTCTAATATCAACATAAAACTCCAAACCAAATCCTCCAACAACATTGGTATTCTTCACTTTGATCGTATAGACACCTCTGTGAGTAGGCTTGAATGATACAATTTCTTCCTTTCCTTTTCCAAGAAAGCCTTTTTTACTTTTAATCATTACATGAACTGTATCAATCCATTCCATGATTGAATAATTATAATTAATGTGTAATTACATATATATTACATACAATATGATGATTGATTGGGTAATTCAGAGTCGACCATAACAAATTCATCCTCTCCATCATCGTCATCATCAACGTGATCCTCATGATGATAGAACAACTTGTTAGCACTCGTATCCGATCGACTGCCTCCAACAATATTCTTCAATAGATTCATGATGATCCTTTTCCTCTTCAATTTATTCAATCAATATTCAACAACAGCAATATATTAACCGTTCAAATTTGAAACCCTGACCAAAGCAATAACAACAAGAATAATTATCTATTGTGGTGCTACTACTGCTGTAGAATGATCGGTGTTTTTTCTGTTGTGTGATTATTTGAAGTGTCGTTTGAAAAGTGATGGCGTGATAACCTCTTTGTTTTTTTAATTGGAAATGAACAAGAGTCCGAAAATTATTCACTCCGGACCTTAATATTTTATAAATTAATAATTATAATAACTATTGAAGCGTTAACAATTCTCAACTCTCCAGGTAATAATAGTGCCTATGGTAGGTAATAGTAGATTCGAATAGGTCTCAATCTAGAACATTATTTAATGTTTGAGGAGTTGTTCAATTTGTTGTTGGAGGTTTTCTATGGAATCGTATTCTTGTTGAGCTTTCATAGAGGAATAGAGATGTGTGGAAAGTGTGGAGGTCACAATGAAAACGAAAAGGAAGAGCACAATATCTGAAATGAATCGATCTACACTCACCCAAATTCCTTTAACAAATAAGAACATATCCAAAGCTGATTCAGTATGCATGGAAAATATGGATTTACCACTCAGTAATCCTGGTAAAATTATTGCCAATTCAAATGTAATTAATACTGAAACTGGTGTAAATTGACTAAAATAGCCCAACAAGGTATCCAATCCTGCAGCTCCAAAATGCAATTTTTCATTATGATAGAAAGTAGAAATAGCACACATGAATGAAAGAATCAAGATGAAGAGAGGTCTTAATTTTTCGAAAATACCTGGTTTGGCTTTTGCACTTGCTTCCTTATCCCAATTTGCAAGATTTGGTATTGCTGATGTTAGTGAATCATGTGTTGAAATACTTGGTTCTATAGTGATTGGTTGTTCGTATTCTCTGGTCTCCTTCTCAATTAATTTAGGATCATGTAGCTTGAAGAGTGGAGAGTAGGCTTCCTCTACTTTTTGATTAATTAATAAGCTCAATGCTTCGATAGGTGAAGGATGTGAATGAGATGGTAATTCCGATGGTTGTGATACTAATGATGGATTTTCAACACTAACAGGTTGTTGTGTAGATGTTCCTTCTTGTTGTTGTCCGATGAATCTTTTTCTTCCTTTGATTCCAAATTTTCCACTGCTGTAGAAGATGATGGTGTTGTAGTAGGAGCAGAATCACCATACATAATCTTATTCATTCTCGATTCTCCTTGTCCTTTAATCTTCTCAAGTCTCCTCCTTCTCAAGATTTCTCTCTTTTCTTCATCCGTTAATTTTCTCTTTTGCATAACAGGTGGAGTTGATTGTTCGGCTCCTTCATTGTTAGAAGTTGGTGTTATTTCCTCTTGTGTTGTTGTTGTTGGGATTTGTTCGTTGTCTTGTTCAGTCATTTTTTAATATTTGAATTATTTAAATATATTTAATTTATATTATAGTCTTCAATATAATTTAAATCCATAATTAAAAGATCTGCTTCATGAAAATCCTTCTTTTAATTCCAAAATAATTTAATTCTTATTAAATTTTTAAATAATTAAATATTATATAATTTTACAATTTATTTACAAAAATTTACATTTGTTCAAATGTTCTTTCAACTTGCTTGGTAGCATCCCTAATTTTAGAGTGTAAATCTTGTAATTGTTCCGCATTACATGAAATTGTTGCTTCTTGTCCATCCTTACATTTAAATCGGAGTGTGTAAACAGGTTCATGTACTTGTTTCAATTCACTAGTTTTCAAAACATAGTCCAATCTCCAATCCAATTGAACAATTTCAGGGAAGGAAAATGTTTTTTGTTTTAAAACACATTCACGGATATCCTTCTTATAAGTTTCATATTCCTGAGAAAGATAATTCAATCGTTGACGATTCACAAAGTGATCTTCCAACAAGTGAGTAAGTTCAATAGCAGCCATATCATGTTTAGAAGCCTCCAATAAAAGATAAACAATTGCCGATTGTACAGCCTTTTGATCAAATGTTGTTGGAACAAGAGGTGTCGTATTGTTGGAAATCATTTCTTGAATTTGTTCGGAAAGTGGCTTGGTTGATGTTTTCAAAATTGAGAGTATCGATACATTGACTAATTGTTTAAATGTTTGTTCATCAAAATATTGGTCCTCGGAGAGTGCTGTGAGGATGTGTTTACATGAAGCGTTCAATTCCATTTTTTTTAAAATTTAAAGATTTTTTAAGACATGAAAAATATTGGAAAAGGAGTACCTGGAATTACGGATCCAACTGGAAAAACAGTTAATAATTTAATATTTAGCTTGTACGAAGTCAAGAAAAATAAAAAACAACTACCGACAATGGGGCTCGAACCCACGACCCCAGGATTAGAAGTCCTGTGCTCTATCCAACTGAGCTATGACGGCTTTACATTCACCAAAAATGCCGCCTTAAGTTATTATTCTTGAACAAGATTTCATTATTAAATTGATAAGGATTCTCTTGTTGAAATTGAGAAGAGAACTGAAGTTAAGGTGGAATTGTTTAATTTTATGGAATTACCTTTGTACTATCTGTTCAATTTCTTATTGTCCACCAGGAATGTTCCAGCTTAATACCTGTTGAGGATGTAAACTTGTTTGTGAACTCGTCTGAAGGGTTCTCAATTGTTAAACTCTTCAACTTGTAAGAAGGTGAAATTTCATAGAAAATTCTTTGGTCCAATCCAAACCATATAGTCAATTTTTCCGCACTATCTTTAATGCTTGACAAGACGTTTCTTACACTTATGTCATCCATGGAGTGTTGCCAATGGACAGACATGGGGTGTATCAAACCTAATTCTTTCAATTTTGGAAGATGAAATTTCTCAATCTCATTAATATGATAAGAAACAATTTCCAGTTTTTCAAGATTTTCAAATGGTGTGTGTAATATTTGGTTTACAATTTGGTTATTAATACTGTTATCTTCAATGTAGAGATATTTCAATTGTTTCATATTCAATATTTCATTATGATAAAAAAAGACCTTTAAACCTTCTAAATATGGCAATCTTTCACGTAGAATAATCCAGTCTGTTTCTTTAAATGAAACTTCTCTCAATACTAAATATTTCAAAGTAGAATTTTGTGGAATATTCTCAGGTATAAAATCCGATATTTTAAACTCTAAACGTTTCAATATTCTAGATTCGAATAACTCCACATACTGTTCTCCATTCAATTTACAATGAAAAAAGGAATAATTGGTAAATAATTTTAACACTTCTCCACAATTTTCCAATTCATTTCTATATTCTAAAGGTTCCTTCACTTGTTTCGTATAACAGTGCATCTTGTATTCAGCGGCCGATGAAAAATCCTCTCTTTTGCCAATTTCTACTTTTGGCCGAATCATTTCACAATGAAAACAACTTTCTTTGTCTGTGGAATTTTTCACCACATGTCGGAAAGTAGAACTGACAGCTGCAAATCGAATGACATTTCCATTTGATGGTGTGATGAAGGAATAAATAATGTGAATGATTTCCTCTAGATCGAGTGGTTGCATTTTTTTGTAAAGTTTTTAGATCAATTACATCACAAAAGAAGATTTGATGTATACTTCAATAATTTACAACATGGTAGAGGTGGATTATTGTAAAAAGGAAACTCAACCTACAAGGATGCAACCAGTTATGTATTGTTAATGGAATGCAAATGTGATCATGACAAAGTTTGTAGGAGAACAAAGGAGCACTCTGGGGTAAAGAATTTCAATGAATTAAGCAATTACTATCCCTTTATATGCTTGGTTTTGAGATAATGGTGGGCTTAGAATTTAACGAAAATGTTGTTTGCCTTCTTGATGTGTTTTGAAGCTATGGGAGTCACTACAATTTCCTTTTTGCTTAAAATTTTTATCTCAAAACGCGGCAATCTCTATAATAAAGTCATTCCCCACATGGAATCGATTTTAAACACGAATAGCATGAGATATCTCCAGTTTTTATCTCATTTCAAAATATTGAACCTCAACCAACATATTTAATCCAAAAAACAAGAAAAATGAAAAAAACAGCTAAATCCACATCAGCCACAATGAAAGCAAACTCTAAGAAACCTCAGCAAGAAGTTGGAGGAGGTGTTGGTGAGAAGAAGAACGGTAGTGCTGTTACTAGTGATCAACCTCCCTTAATATCAAAACCATTGAATAACAATAATTGTTCATCATCATCGGCTGTGAAAGGTATTGTTGGTTCCTCTTCGGAGAATCTTTCAACATTGAAAGGGAAGGATTCTTCTCTGAGTAAGAATGGAACACCTTCTTCATCTCAAACACAATTACATTCCTCGAAGATCATGTCATCATCAATTGAAGGAAAAGCAAATTCTGTGGAAGTACCAAAGGCAACAAATGGTGGTGTGAAGAGTAATACTGTAAAACAGAATCATGTACCTTCAAAGCAAATCTCTTCAGTATCAAATGGAGATAAAATCAAATCACCAAAGAACATTCCACTAAAAACGGACCCAGCATCACAAAAGGATAAACTTACAAGATCAATAACTAAATCACCTGGAATTACAAATTCACAACCGAAGGAATCTAAGAGTTTAATAGTGAAACCAACCACTGTGAAGAGTTCGAAGAGTTCTCATGCTGCAGCTAGACCAACACTTCCAAAATTCACTTTCAAAGATATTCCCTCAGACGTCATTATCATCATTTTCGATTTTTATGGGGGAATATTCAAGAACAAGCCGCTAGTTGGTGGAAAGGATGGTAAATTGGACTATTCAAAGTTTATTAAGAAATATTATGGAAGATTTTTGGATAAAACTGTAAAATTCCAATACCGATTTATTGAAGGAGAGTTTGAAACAAATACTGACCCAAGAGAAATTGCAGAAATATTGAGGATTCCACTCCTAACTATGAATAATCGAAGCATCAAACTGGAGGGAAATATTGCAAGTTATCTATTTAATTGTCCGCTTAAACTATCTGCAGAAATTTCAATGCAAAAGTTGACTAATTTTATTTCACAACTTGGTGAGGAATGTAAAAGAGTTAAAGTGTTGGATACTGTGAATTTGGAAACTGTTGTGAGTCAATTTGAACTTGCATTCAAATCATTCCCATTCTTGGAGGTTATCAGAGGAGGTAAAAATATGATTAAGGCAAAATACACTGATCATGCTGCAAGATTTCACTATTTTGAAGAAGAAATGATAAGAGCTCTCGAGCATGGAGGTTCAAATGTGAAAGAAATCATGTGGATAGGATCACCCCTTCCAAAATCTCTCCCATTCATTACTCCAAATCTGGAAATCCTTTCACTAGGTAAGTTTTTCACACAATCTCAATGATCATACCAATTGAAAAAAAGAATGTCCTAACAGTATTCTCTCACTCTCTAACGCATTCTCAATGTGGCAAAAATTGAAAGAAATTTCCTTCACAAAACATGAGATTTATATAGATTACAATCCACCACCTCTTAACATTGGTGCTTACAATACATTGGTTACTCATTTGAACAGTATGGAAAATCTTGCAAAATTATCAATTCTATCGGAAGAGAGATTTCCAATGCAAAGTTTCAAATTGTTAGAGCACAAGCGTTCTATTACACATTTGAACTTTTCCTGTTTGGCAATTGATAATGAGACAGTTAAAACGATTGGAACTTTTTGTAATTTGAAGGAAATTAAGATTTACTCTGCTTACTTTCAGTCTAAATCTTTGGAAAGTTGGTTAGGATTGAAACAATTGGAATCCATCACTTTGGATAGTTGCTCAGAATTGACTGAATTGGCCATTGACTATCTCTCCCGAATAACAACCCTCAAAAAGCTATGTTTCTGCAATAGAAACATCAAAGATAAGGGTGCCTTAAAATTAGTTTCCCTGAAGAAGTTAGAGTATCTCGATCTGAGTTACTCACTTATCACAAGCAGCGTCATTGAACCTATTTTCAAATCATGCAGAAAATTGAAAACTTTCATTGTCAGAGGATGTAAGAATATTCACACAGAAAATATGAAGGATAGCATCATTGTTGGAGGTTTTCAACAATCTGGAGAGGTCCACGGATGAACAAGATCCGTAGCCAATATCTCAATAAGTTAATAATATCGGGTACAGTTCAATAAATAAGGATATATTTTGTACTTTCTTTGGAATTGCATTGATCGATCTGAAACAGCAAGTATCATCACTGCATTCTCTCACCTTAATACATGATCCTTAACAGTTATTAAACTCTTTCACTCTGCAAAATCACACAAATGATGTCCACTTTACATTTTCATCATGTAAATCATCATTGATTGTTGATAGTGAATAGTGTAACCAAATAGCTTGCAATAATGTTATTAAAGAGAAGGTTTTTTCCAAGTTTGTTCTGACTCATTATCTATCAATACCAAAACAGCAGCCAAATTGCGTATTCTACATCCAAACAAACTCAAAAGATTGTCCAAACATTCTCTCTAACCACAACTGGAGTTTTTTGCATCCCTAACAACAACAATATCTGCCATAATATATTGGCACTAACAGTTCAGTAAAGAGAACGCCACCACAACTCATACAAACTCTTGCTGCTTGAAATTGCAACCAACAACAATAGGTATATATTGCACTCACACAATATTCATACATATTCTTTATATTAGAGAAAAAGCACACAAAAGTATTAATCACTTGGTGGCGGTGTCAAAAGGTTTGTTTTTTTGAAATTTTGAAGTTTTTACTAATTGATAATGTGCTGCTCATTGGGATGATATTTGGTTTCATCACTAATTATCATCATTATTGTTTTACAATTATTGCTATCGGGTAAAATCATTCGTAAATTTATGTTATCCATATTATGATGATATATTATTGGTGTTTTGATTTTACTTTGATGATGGAATATCCTTGAATATATAATATTTAATATTATGTAATATTAATCATGATCAATACTATGAAATGTTCAATACTACTATTATGTACCATACCAAATGTATCTTCTCTGAATGATCATCATACCATCAACAACTTTCATCAGCAATCATCAAATCATCAACACAAGAAGAACAAGATCATCATCTCTAATCTTCTTCTTATTGTTGTTATAGCATTATACAACCGAGAGTAGAATTGGAATATCTCAACAGTAATCATTGTTGTCTATTGAAAAAACTTCACATCATCATTGTTAGAACTTCTTGTTAGGAATATAGATAACAACGACCACCATCACCATCATTACTACAACAATTTGTTACTAGTATTGTGTCGACATTGTAATTATCTTACTCGAAATTTTCAAAGGCTTTGTTCATAGAGAACGAACAGAAATAATCAAAAAGTCTCTAGAGTGCTCGCTCGCTTCTCTGTAAATATTTACTTCACGAGCTCGAGAGTTGCTCTCATCATTCATAGCTATATTGTATTCGGTGTGGTGTGTTCTGTTTTGTGGTCTTGTTGCAAGAATAACAACAACAGCTGAGCGAAAAATCATCACACAAACAAATGCCACAGCACAACAAGGGAAATAATTCTTCTTCTTCGTCAAGTCAACAACATCATCAAGAACAACAACAGGAAAGTTCTTCCTCTTCCTCCACTATTGCTGCTGCTGGTAATAATAATAATAATACAACTACTACTACAACAACAACTACCTCTGAGACAAATAGTGGTTCCAATAATTCCGCTACTTCCAATTCGTCATCATCTGGTGTTGCCAATAATTCATCTCATCAAATAATAATAAGAATAACAAACAACAAGGAAATACAAATTCCAATAGTACAAATAATAATAATAATAATAATAGTAATAATAATAACATGATGACAAATCAATCATCAACGCCTACCAATTCCTCCTCCTCCAACAATAACCAATCCTCTAATAATTCAAATGTACAATCCAACAATAATCAACAACGTAACTCTCCACAAAATCAACGAACATCACAAGATCAAACAAATGGTATGGACCAACAATCAATGCATAATTTAATGTCTGGCCAAGTTGATCCTAATAATATCAACGGCAATGTAATGTCAAGTTTAGATGCCAATTCGTTAAGTATGATATTAATGAACAATAATGGAGGAATACCAAACTTGAATGCCCACCAACTTGTTCAACTGTTTAATTCAGATCCAAGCATTTTGAATAATCCATTCGTTAGAAAGCTCCTTACAAATAATGGAAATATGAATGGTATTGCAGGAAACATGCCATCACAAGCAGGTATGATTGCTGGAAATAACGGTAATATGAATGGTATTGTAATGGGTAATGATCCAATGAATAATATGAATAATTTACAACAAGGAAACAAGGAACACCTCGTGGTGCAGGCAACAATCCATCGGGAGGTTTTAATGTTCAACAACAACAACCTAATAATAATAATGTTGGAAATAATTCATCTCTAGGAGTTACTCAAGAAGATGGTCTTTCAGGAAATTTATCTAGGATGTTTAATGTGAATATGATGCAAAATGGTGTTCCACAAGGAAATAATCATATCGTGATGAATCAGAATATAATGAATAGAAATGTAACACCTAATAATCCATTTTCACAACAGCCACTACAAATATCCAATGGTAGTGGTAATTGGAGTCAAGGTGAATTGGAATATCTTAAAATTGCTATTGCCAGACATCCAGATAATGTCGATTTGGTACGCCAATGTTTTCCTAAACGTTCTGCTCAAGATGTACAGAATAGAATACAAATCATGATTAATGAAATGAAACAACAAGGAGTCATGCCAAATGGCAATAGAATAATAATAATGTTTCAACACCGACTGCTCCTAACAATGTCAATAATAAGAGACCTAGTATTTCAATGCCATCACCTGGAAATGATCAAGCCAAGAGAGTGAAGACAGATTCACCTGTAAACAAGACATTTAATAGTACTGGAACACCATCATCCCCTTCAACCACTTTGGTGTCTAACTCCAATTCTACTAATAATAATAATAATACTGCTAATAATAATACAGCCATCAATAAGCAAAATATTGCACCATCTGCAGCTCAATCAGAACGATACATTCAAACACTTTTACAAAATAATAATTCACTCATATCAGAAATCAAAGGAAATATTGATCAAAGGAAAATTACATCCAATGTAAATCTTATCAACAAATTTAGAGATAATATTATTCAAATTTTAACGTGTATGTCAATGATGGAAGGTATTATGAGTCAAATGCCTCCAATACCTGTAAAATTGAGCACTATTTGTGTACCTAAGGGTGTCACTAATAACACACCAACTAGTAGTAGTAATCAACCAAACAACCAACAACCTCAACCTTCACAACAAAATATTGTCACAACTCCAAGCACGCCCCAAGATAATAATTCCACAACCACTTTCCAAAATATGTTAGGATCTTCCAATGGTGGAGGTTTTATGATGAACAATAAGAAAATGTTATAAACACATATATTTATTTTAAAATGTAAAAAAGGAAACTATTCCACCAATAAATTATTTGATTTCCAAAATAATTAGTTTATTAATTTTTTATTTATTTTATATTAATTAATTACATCCTTAACGACCAAATTCTGTACAATCTTTTGCAATCTGGAAAAAATTGCCTAACCATACTGTTGATTCCTCAGAGTAGCAATATCAGACAAGTTTAAAAGCAAATGGAAAAAATTACGGCATTAATTCTTTATTTGTTTGGTTATGTACAGGGCTTGGTATATAGTATTATATTATTATATCAATGAATCATGGTCAACCATAAAAATACAATCATGATTGAAGCAAAACTCATTAAACCAGAAAAGTAATTGTATGAGTGCATTCCCAACGAAACAATTGGCGAAACTGCACGATTTTGACACTTCTCTCCAGAGGTATTATTCAAGCAAAGGCAAACATTCTTATCAATACAGATACCAATAGAAGAACACACCTCAGGGCTTGCTTGCATCACATCAAAACACGTAAAATTTTGACAATTATTTCCATAATATCCATCCAAACAAGTGCAATTATTGAAACTTGAACAAAATCCATGTCCAGAGCAAACTCTTGAATCATTCTTTGAGATTCCAAGGCAATCAAATGATTCACATTTTGAGCCGTAATATCCCTTAGAACATGTACAATTGTTGTGGCTTGAGCATATTCCATGACTAGAACAAGTTGATGGATTTAAAGAACTCAATCCATAACATGAATATTGACTGCAATCTGAACCTGAATATCCTATAAAGCAAGTACAATTGTTGAAACTGGAGCAAATACCATGTGCGGAGCAGACTGATTCAGCATTCTTGGAAATATCAAAGCAATTGTAATGTTCACAAGTTGCTCCATAATAACCTTCGAGTTGACATGAGCAGTTATTGTAACTTGAACAAATTCCTCGAGCAGAGCAAACAGTTGGATCATTGGAGGACTTTCCAGAGCAATTAAATTGTTCACAATTAGCTCCATAATATCCATCCTGACACAGACATTGGTCAACTTGTAAACATTTTCCGTGTCCTGAGCAAACAGAAGGATTATCTTGAGGAGTTCCATAACAATTGAATAGTTGACAAGCAGCTCCATAGTAACCATTTGAGCAATTGCAAGTATTATAATCAGTGCATAAACCATGGGATGAGCAAACAAGTGAGTCATTTGATTCAAGACCAAAACATTTGAATGATTGGCAAGATTGACCAAAATAACCAGTATTACATGAGCAATTATTAAAAGTAACACATTTACCATGAGCAGAACAAACTGAAGGATCCATTGAATTCACACCAAAACAATCAAAGAATTCACAATTAGTTCCGTAATACCCAGTTGAGCAAGTGCAATTTTCAAGTGAAGAACAAACACCATTTCCAGAACAAACCGATGCATTTCTCCAATTCACTCCATTACAATTGAAATCTTCACAATTTTCTCCATAATATCCTTCATCAACATTACAAGAACATTGATTATGAGTGGTGCAATTTCCTCTTCCAGAACAAACACCAAAATCTTGGTTCGTCTTTCCAAAACATTGAACATGACACAATCCATCAATTAGAGCATGTGTTTCCTCACAAAAAGCAGTCAACTTTCTAATAGCATGGTTTCCAGCATCTGAGATATAGATTTCACTCAAACTTCTCAATTGTCGTATGGCAAGGTTAACTGGATTATTCAATTGAGCATCAGTTGATAAACCACCATCTCCACTGAAGCCAACACTTGAAGTTCCTGCAATTGTGACAATGATTCCATTTGAAAAAACTTTTCTAATTCGATTGTTACCAGAATCGGCCAAAAACATTTCACCACTAGACGAAACAACAAGTCCTTTTGGAGAGGAAAGCTGTGCACTTGTTGCCTGACCACCATCTCCACCAAAACCACTTCCAGTTCCAATAACTGCATTGATAATTCCTGAACTTTGTTTAATTCTTCTCACAACATTATATAAACTATCAACAAAGAATACATCGAGGTCTGAATTGACTGCAATTTGATAAGGAATTCCAAGCCATGCATTAATTCCCAAACCACCATCTCCCAAATATGAATTAGTCTGTCCTCTACCAGAAACATCATACAAGCCATTGGCATAAACCTTTCTGATCATGTTATTTTCAGTGTCAGTAAATATCAACTCTCCATTTGGGCTTAAACATAGACCTCGAATGACATTGAACCATCCGAATGCATTACCATCTCCTGGAGAGGTATATCCTCTACCTCCATCTCCTACAAAAGGTCTAATATAACCAGTATTGAGATCGAGTCTTCTTACTACATTGTTAAAAGTATCGGCAATGTATAAATCACTATTTGATGGGCTGAGTGAGAGACCTTGAGGGGAGAAGAATTGGCAGTTTACAGCTGGTCCGTTATCACCAGAATAACCTTGTGTTCTTGATCCAGCAATAGTTTGAATAGTTCCATTTAAATATACCTTTCGAATAATATTGTTGGTTGAATCTGAGAGGTAAACTTCGCCACTCTCTGAAACAGCAACACCCTGGGGAGAACTAAGCATTGTCTCAATGGCCAAACCACCATCACCATTATAACCTGCGCTACCTGTCCCAGCAATTGTTGAGATATTGTAACGTGGAGCCATTATTTCACATTCAGAACCAAAATAACCAACATTACATGAACATGCGTTATTGGCTTGACATAATCCATTACCAGAGCAGACAGCTGGTTCTTGATCTGTTTTACCAAAGCATGTGAAGGTTATGTTGGTAGCTTGCAAAAGCGTGGCCAAAAAGATCAACAATATGATTGTTGAGAGTAAAGAGTTGGCATTTGACATTTTTAATTGATGTTTGTCCTGAATCTTTCCAGTGGAGCTTTTATAACATGGCCATGGATGAACCGTTGAAAGTGAAATTGGACACTTGCAAGTGTCGTTGGAGCTCAGAAATTGTCGTTTGATTAATGAAAAGTAATTTTTTGGATTGGCATTTCCATTTAATGAAAGCACTTGTTGGTTCATCTTCAACGTTTCATTTTCATGAAATTACAACGGAAAATCGTTCCATTGTATTCAACTCAATTGATTTTGTATTTTTTCTAATTTCCAAATATGGACTAATTTCTTTTAAGGAAAATATAAAACAATACAGAGAAAAACGAGATCTGAAACTGGAGCGAAATGTTGATAGCATTCTATTGATTCATCTGACTCATTCATTTTTCTTCAATATTGCTTCCATCAACTCATCACTGATTCCATCTTCCAGCTCATCTATTTCCTCTGCATGTCCCATTAAATTCAAAATATACTTAATTCCTGTATAAAACTCTTTCAATGGAATTCTGAGAGGTGACTTGTTGATTGAGCAGCACAGTAATCTAGTAATGTAATTTCTCAATTTGATATCAATACTTCCATATAAATTTTCAATGATTTTGCTGATGAATTGATGAACTTTCTCCTCTTGGTTTAAAATCATCCAATCGAAAAAGGTTTTCTCCTCAACTTCCAAATCAGTATTTATGAGCATGAATAAATATATACATCCTAGAGAGTAGATATCAACTCTTTCATATAAATTATTATTGGAACGTGTTTTTTCGAATAGTTCAGGAGCTGCATATTCTCTTGTGCCTTGAACTAGAGTAGTTCTTACAAGATCCAAATCAGCAATTTTACATTCGTCATGATCTGAGATTCGTGGCACCACTTTATCTTCGATTCTGTAGATTAAAATGTTTTGAGGTTTCAAATCTCTGTGAATTATTCCATTTTGATGTAAATAAATGCATCCCTTGAGAATATCTCTGAATAGCATTGTAATTTCCTTCAGGGATAGGTTTCTTTGTGACTCTATGTACTGTTTCAAATTTTGTTCAGCTAATTCCATAATTACAAAATAAAAATTATCCAATGATTGATAGACGACATCATATTCCAAATATCTAACCACATTGGGATGATCAAATTCTTTTGCTTTCTTGAAAGCTTCCATTAGCCTTGTTAAATCATTCATTATTGAACTCTCTCTGTATGTTTTCAAAGCAACAATACGACCTAGTTTTTTATCCATAACTTTGTCAACCACGCCTTTCCCACATCCTATGCCTCTTTCAAGGAATATAAATCTGTCTTTTTCGTTGATAATTTTCGTCAAACTACTTTGATAACTTATGAGTGTTGGTATATTATTGAGCTGTATAGTTTCATTCTTATTATTTAATGAAATATCTTGAATTTCACCTTTCAAGAATTGTAAAACATTCTCCAGAATTGTTTTATACAAATAGCAATTCAACCTTTTGGTTGTATCTCTTTGTATCATTGTAATTATACATCTACTCAAGATATCAGTTACTCCAAAATTAGTATTAATTGTCTTGTTGAGTATTTTTCCAATTGCATAATGTAATTTCAATTCCCCATCATTTGTTGTCGAAACAGAGGAGAAATATTTTCCAAAGGTAGTAAAATACATGTAATCATCATCATATTTAGATATATCTGAATCATTTAAAAATAGTTCATCTAACTGTAATGGACAGTTTGTAAATAATTTCAAAAGTATACATCCCAATGAGAACAAATGACCATTGTTAATTTGTTTTTGGTTATTACCATTCCTAGGAGCTTCAACTAAGCTTTCAGGTGGCATATATGGCACCTTTCTAACTGCCATTAATGGGTAACTATCTATCGCCTTTGCTGTGTTAAAGTTAATGATTTTGTAATAATCTTGAACTTTTACAATATTTTTAGGATCCAAATCTCTGTGTAAAGTATAGTGTTCATTAATTGAACTGACAGACGTCAACACCTTGATAAATATCTCAATTATTTCTATTATTTTATCTTTTGAAATGAATCCATCTCTATAAAACCCTTCTTCATTATTTCTTGTAATATAATCTGATAATGATTGCTCTCCAAGTTCCATCACTGAATACAAGTGACCACCAATTGTGTCACATTCAAAGTATTTAATCTTTCCTTCAATGTCTGTTTTCAATAATTTGATGAGCTCTCTTGTTGATTCTTCGTTTTTTTCAGCTTCGTATTTTAATTTTATGGCCCTCAATGTTTTCGATTTTTTGAGAAATACTTTGAAAACAGTTCCTTCGCCTTCATATCCTAATATTGATATAAAATCATAATCACTCTTGAAATGGTTATAAAAAAGATTGAGGCATCTGAATATTCGTGAAAAATCACCAAAATAAATGTCATATTTTGAGAGTTTGTAATTGTCGAATGTATTCTCAGTCTCCAGCCAGATAGTTGCAAATATTAATATCTGATTGATTTCCTTTTTAGAATAAAATGATTTTTCAAACTTGTCTGAAATTCTTTCCACACTCCTTTTCAAATCTTTCAAAATGGTTGACTGTGAAGGATTTTCTTCAAGAAATTTATCCAATCTGAAACAAAATAAATAATAATCACCTGTTTTTATGGTTGGCAACTCATCAATGGAGGGTTCTAAATTTTTCAACTGTTTCAAGATTTGGAAAATAATTAGTTTTTCAACAAATTCGGACGAATAGGTTGGATTCGTAAAATTGAAAAAGGAGTTTCGTTTTGATTTTGGTTCAACATTGGGCAATATGACACAATTGTATAAATCTTTTTCATCACCAAAATTTCGAGAATACTTGTCGAGAACATTTCTCGATAATTTTGTGTGAAGATTTTCAACAACTGATTCGTCAATGTCGAGAGAGAATGTTTCATCACGGATTTGTGTTTGTGGCTGAGCATGATCAAACCAAACCAGTGAAAGAAACTTGTCAAACATTTTTTAACAACTGAAAATTTGCATGCACGACATGTGACTTTCATAAGAATATTCTCAAGAATTTCCAAAAAGTTTTTAGACGAAATATTTAGGATAGGTTTCCAGCGAGGCTTCTGGAGCCTTTCTCATTGAATAACAACTCAGAGAGCTCTCATTGTGTGTCTCAGTGATAGATTTTTTTTAAGATGAAACGTGATATTGAGTTTAGTGCAATTTACAAAAAAGCGAAACGTGATCAGCTATCTTGCAATCTCTTCCAAACATCTGCGTGCGTTTTTAAATTTCATACGAAACGTGATATTGAGTTTAGTCTAACTTTTTCATTCCATTTCAACCTAAAAAAAAATGTTTGAACATAATGATCAAGACAGTGCTGTCACTCTTTCTCTCATCGATTTTCATTCATACATTTCCACCAATTTATTAGAAAAATTCAAAAAGAAACTTTGCTCACCTCTTTCTCCCCTGATTGAATTTTCACAGAATTTTACAAAAATTTACAAACTTCCAGAGCCATATGTTTACAATGTGGCAATTTGTCAGGAGCTTAATTATTTAATTGTCGGCTCGTTTTCAACTATAAATTTTTATAATTTGGTGACTCATGAAGGATTATTTCAAATTCCATTTGATGATGGAATTTATGACTTGGATTTGGAGAGGGAAAATTCAGGTCAATTTAATTTGATAGTTTCTAGTAGAAACAATGAGTTATTCAAGTTTAATTTTACTGAAATGATAAAGACGAAGGAGTTAGGAGAGCCAATTTGGAAATCTGAAAAGAGATTTAACCAAATTTGGGGTCTAACACGTTTCAAAACTGAAATTTATGTAGTTGATCATAGAGAGAAAATGTTTGCTTTTGATTTAAAGACAGGAAAATTACGCCATGATATTCAAATCGATCTTTCTGAGAACTTGGTTGATTTGGTTTTCACTCCAGAAGAGGAAATGATTGTGTGTGGAATAGATCAGTTACACATTTTGAAATTCAATGAAAAATCTAAAGGATGGGAAAAGATTAAAACCTTGGATAACAAAGATCATATCATTAACGATTGCTTCAGTGTATGTTATGAAAAAAAGACGAGATTGATCTATCTCACCGACATGTATGGTAAATTATTCATATTCGATAGACAATTCAACCTATTGAAGGAAGTGGAAGGTTTGTCATATCCATATGGTGTTGCAATTAATGATAAGAATGGAGAATTGTTCCTATGTAACACTGGAGCATGTGAAATACTAGTTTACAAATAGGTCAAATCATTTTTTTTACAATTTTATTGAATTTTTCAATAAATCTCAATAATTTCAATCGAATAGATGATTATCAACATATTGGAATGCAATCACATCCACTGATTTACAAATTGGATAACAAAATAGATTTATTGGAATGCAATCACATCCACTGATTTACAAATTGGATAACAAAATAGATTTCAAAATTCTCAATTTTTAAAAATTAAAAAAAAATGTCCAAACCATCGGAACAAAAATCATCATCTCCGACTATTGCCGCCACCACTGATGAAAGTAAACAATCACAGTGTGGATGTAGTGGTCATCATCACCATCAACATCATGAAAAACCACTCAAATTATTTTCCATGTATCCAGAGTTGGAAGAAGTGACCCCGAAGGATGTTAGTAAATCAGCACTTCATGCCATTTTGGTTGATGATAACAAATTCCTTTGGAGTGGATACAGAAAATTACCAGTTAGTGATTATTGGAGATCTTTTCTTTCCGTTTTTACACTCCATAATGAAACTATTAATATTTGGAATCACTTTATACCATCATTGATTTATTGTGTTTTTGCTTTTTATATTAATCATTATGTAACTGAGGCTAATCCGAATGCCAAGTTTTTGGATAGAGCAAGTTTTATCTTTTATTGTGTTACTGGTATTTTCACATTTGGATTCAGTGCAATGTATCACACTTGGAGAATGAATAGTATTAATGATTATCATTTCTGTTTATTGTGTGATATTAGAGGTATTGTTGTACTTGTTTCAGGTGCCAATGCTTTGAGTATTACTTTGCAAATTAAGGATTATGAATATTGGCAATGGATTTACTCTACTGTTAATATTGTTTTGGTTGTCTTTTTCATCTTTTGGATTAGAAAGATGGTTAGAGAGAGATTGACTAATCAAAGAACAATTTACTTTACCATTTACAGTCTCATTCCTTTATTTACCTTGGTTCATCGTTTCATTTTGCAATCATCCTCAGTGAATGATTTCTATAGTATGATCAAGTATTGTATCTTGCCAAGATCAACTCACGAATATTTTGGAATTTCTCATGCCCATGTTAATTTGAATATTAAGGATATCATGTGGCAAGATAATCACTCAACTAATTCTTATTTCCCTAATGGAGTTTTGGATGTTAATTATGAATTAGTTCAACTTTTCATTGTCAATTATTTACTTTTAGGTCTTGGAATGTTCATCAGAGGTTACAAGGCACCAGAAAGATGGATTCCTTACAAATTTGATTTATTTGGAGCTAGTCATCAAATCTTCCATTTCATGTCAGTTTATGCCAGTTTTTTAGTAGTTCACGGATTTTACATTTTATATTCTCAAGGAGCTTTCCCAGATCGTTTGTAAACTATAAATTCCGTCTTCTTTTGTGTTGTAATGGATTCGAATATAATTTTCAATAATTCAATAAGCAAATTTCAGAACACAAATTTTTATCCAAACCGCAGTCATGTAAATAACCTGGGAAGTGATACAAAAGTTTCATTCTGCTGTCTCGAGTCATTCCCCTTTTGCAATAGGGACATTTGAAAAGTGACGCATCATATTTCATCATTAAAAAAATTAAGCATTTGTTTCGTTTTTAAACCACCGGCGGTTGATTCATCTTCTACAAAATCAACAAACAACAAATACGCGTCCTTGTCGGTTGTGCTTTCAATTTTTAAACGAAACTAAACTAAAGATGAAGAGTCTGTTAGTTCTTCTCATGTTATTAGGAGTGGCTACTCTTCTAATGATGATCACTCCAGCAAGCCTTCAAAAAGAGCTTCCAATTACAATTCAATCATCAACAAAGGACAAGGTTATGGATGAATATTTAAAACAAATTACAGTCGAAACTATTGATTCAAATGATGATTCAGGTAACAAGACAGTTAATTGTTGTAATGTTTGCCCAGTTCCAAAGATTATTATTATTCCAAAATATACAACAATCAAAGTTCCAATTAATATTCCATATCCAGTATTGAAACCAATTCCACCACATCACGATGATGATGTTGTTGATAAATGTCCATCTGATTATCAATTCGTTCCACCAAACAAGTGTTCTAAAACAATAATTATTGAAAAGAAGAAGAATTGTCCAATTGGATTTATTAGAATTGGTGAAACTGAATGTTTGAGATTGGTTATTATTCATAATAATATTCCACCAATGAAAGTTGTTTGTCCACCTGGATATATTCCATTTGTAATTTCAAAGAATTCAGAGGAATATTTGAAATTGAAGGATTTACCAAAGGATTTACCTTCTAATGATTTCTTCTTTAAGAATGATACAAAGAATACTGTTTTAGGATGTAAGAAGAGTAAGAAAATTCATATTGATGAGGAAATTCCACATTGGACTTGTCCAAAGGGTTATTATTATCATTCTCCTTTCCATTGTGTTAAATCAGTTGAATGTCCAAAGAAGGGTGGTTGGATCAAGTTGACCGATGGTCGTTGCATTCGTACTTTATTCAAATGTCCACGTGGTTATAAGAAAGTTGGTAGACATGGGTTGACCTGTATCAAGATTAACATGAAATGTCCAAAGGGATACAGACAATCAAAGAAGAATCCACGTTTATGTTTAAAGACAAAGATCATTGTCAAGATTAAGTGTCCAAAGAAATCAATTTACAGTGAAGAAAAGAAGACCTGTATCTGGAAGAAATGTGCTACTGTCAGATGTAATGGAGCTTTGAAATGTCCAAAGGGTCAAATCTTGGCTCTCAAATCCAAGAAGGATTGTTGTCCATCATGCGTTCCATGTGCATGCTCTGCTGAATACCATCCAGTTTGTACCAAGGATGGTGTCACTGTTTTCAATTTGTGTTCTGCCAAATGTTTGGGATTGGAAGTTAAACATGAAGGTGAATGTAAGATTACTGAAATTATCAAGATCACCAAGACATGCCCACCATGTGATCAATGTAAGAACGTTCCAAAGAAACCAGTTTGTGGTGTTGATGGTGTGACCTATCCAAACACTTGTGTTGCCAAGTGTGTCACTTCTGGTAAATTCGAAATGAAGAGAAAGGGCAAATGCAGTCCTGCTGATTGTGACGAAGCTGAATCCAATAAGACTGTCTCTGAATTCCTTCCATTCTTTGAACGTGTTTTAAAGTCTGAATTGATCAATGCCAAACAAAGAAAGCAAAAGAAATAAATTCTTCCTCAACTGTTTTGACCCCAATATTGAAAAGATCATAAAAATCTTCGCACCAATCACTTGACTATAAATTATAATGGCTCATATATGAAGTGAGTTTGAGGAATTTTAAATCTTAAAATCCCTTAACAAATTGTGATGAGCTCCACTACTATCAGTCTGAATTTATTTTACTATGTGCCATCCCGATCTCAATTTTTGAATATTAATGTACTTATCGACTTTAAAAAAAATACTTTACGGAACAAGCGTATTCTTGTGGATTTGTTGTTGCGCGAACATGGAACATTAAGAATTGTTTGCGATATGTTTGATCAGAAAAAACTGCCAATATTCCAGCTATCATTATTATCATCGTGATGGAGGTAAAACTTGCAGAAGGTTGGTATTTTCTCGAAGGGTTGTTTTCATAATAATAATAATTAATGAAATGAAATGTTAATAGAGAATGTTATATTTTCGGATGATGTTTGTTTTGAGATAATTTCCATGATTGATGATTCTTGGTTTATTTTGAATAATTGTTGTTTAATTTCAAAACAATGGTTTAATGTGATCAAGGAACGTTCAAAACTTGTTATTCAATTTAACGAACAATTTACAGAAAATAGAATTGAATTGTTAATGAAAAGTCAATTCATGAATAGTATTGTAAATGTTAAGTTTTCTTATATGTTGCTTAACTCTCCAGATCAAGTTAAATTCATAACTGAAATGAAACAATTAACATCACTTAGTATTGCTGGCAATCAAATTGGTGTAGAAGGAGCCAAATTTATAAGTGAAATGAAACAATTAACATCACTTGATATACATGATAATGGAATTGGTGTAGAAGGAGCCAAATACATTAGTGAAATGAAACAATTAACATCACTAAATATTGCTGACAATCAAATTCATGTAGAAGGAGCCAAATTTATAAGTGAAATGAAACAATTAACATCACTTAATATATATTATAATGGAATTGGTGTAGAAGGATCCAAGTACATAAGTGAAATGAAACAATTAGCGTAGAATAAAACGTGTAACTTTATTAATGTCTTATATCAATAACAGCCTGAGACCAAATCGTTATACTAACTTAGATTCTTTGCGGGGATTTGGTGTTTTGTTGATATTTAAGGCTGCCTTACATTGTAAAGATTCGTTATTTTAATGGCCTCTCTGTGGAGTATTATGAATGTGATTGATTATTTTCCAAACATTGATGAGTTTACGTAAGTCAAACAATTCAGTGATTGGTTTTGAAGCGTTTTCTTGTCACTAAATAGGATGCTCCGATGGTGCTTAATAAACTGATGTGCTGTAGTCTTTTCCATAATTATTTAAAGTCAAATTTCTCAAAAAACAATCATTTCTCATACCTTATTACTTCATTACGACTGTCGTGTTAGATGTTGTTCGTAGACAATTTGATTATTCAACGAACTGGACGATTACGATATTTCACATTTCACAAAAAAAATGATTCAACACCAAGTCATCAAGTGCATTGTTCTGTTTTTCGTGTTGATTATTGCACAACTGATGCTATTGATGATCAATGTGAATGGCATGACCATCACAACGATGACCACTCCATCTGCATCAGCATCTTCATCACAATTTCTCAACGCTCAAGCTCCTGAAATTTCCTATCGGAATGGAAGATTTCTCCGAGATAAGAGTGCCATTGTTTTTGATTGGAGTGGATTCATCATTTCCACACAATTTACTCATCGTGAGAATGCCTCTCAACCTATCAATTCATTAAAGATGGTTGTTCATTTGGATGATCCAGGAAATTTGTATAATTGTTACTTGTGGAAAATTAGTGAAAATAAGAGAGTGAAATTGTTGCAGGAAAATGTCTTGACAACTGTTAAGGGAGAAAATGCATTTGGATTGGTGTTTAATTGGCCTATGGATAAGGATTCTCAATCATATGTTGTTGAAATTGAAATTGAGAAGAGAACTGAAGCTATGGTTGGAGTTGTTCAATTTTATGGAATTACCTTTTTACAATCTGTTCAATTAATTCAAAGAAATTCAATGAAATTGAAGGAGAAATCAAGTACTGATCTCAAGATTGAATTCATTGGAGACTCAATTACATGTGCATATGGAAATATGGGTAAGCCGCCTTGTGCCTACACTCCTGCCACTCAAAACGTACATGAAAGTTTTGTTGAAAAGACAGCAAGATATGTCAATGCTAGTGAAATTCACATTGAATGTTGGTCTGGAAAGGGTGTAGTTCGTAATTTTGCAGATAAGAACACTACCAGTGTTGATCCATTCCCAGTTTACTATCCAAGAACTTTGGCAAATGATGCAAACAGTGTTTGGGAATTTAGAAAGACATTTATTCCAGATATTGCTGTAATTACTTTGGGAACTAATGATTTCAGTACTGCTCCTAGACCTAGTTTTGAACAATTCTCAAATGGTTATCAGAAATTCCTTGATTTCATTTTTGGAAAGTATGCTCCAATTAAGGGACCATCTTTCAAGATTGTAATGGTTGTAAGTTTCATTGTTCAAAATTTCATTTCAATTGTTAATCTATTGGATACTATTGGATATGTAGAGTGTTGTGGCCACTGAAAATTATGGAGATTACATTCAAAGTATTGCTGAAAAGCAACCTGGATATGGAAAAAATGTTTTCTTTGCTAATTTGAGAGATGTTTGGCGTGGATTTGGACAAAATGATTGGGGATGTTCTGGACATCCAAATGAAAATGGTGATGAAAAGTTGGCTCTTGCTCTCAGCTCTTTCCTTTCCAAAAATGTTTTAAATTAATTTTTATTTAATTTTTATTATAATAATGAATTTATTTTTTATATAATTCAATCTCAAAAATTTATTTACAATTAATTACTGCTTGTTAGATCTTCTTCTTGACCTTCTTCAGCATTTTCCAAAAGACCTGGGTCATATTGATTCAACCAAGCATCACAACTCATGACAAGTGGAAGTTTAGCTAGTTTTTCCATGGCAATTCTAACTTCTGGATTGACAAACTTTGGTTTCTTCTTAAAGAATGCAGAATAATAGTTTTGAGAACAAACTTCATCAAAAACTGGCAAGGCCTTCTTGGAATTGAAACAATGACACCAAAATGCATTGAATCTAGTACTCTTAAAGTGATCTGGATCTTCCAACCACAAATCTTCAACTGTAATTTCCTTTTGAACCTTGAAAATTCCTTCAATGATGAAAGCAACAGCTGGGTTTTGAACTCCACTTCTGGCAATGTCGAGCAGATAATTGAAATTGTAAGCTTCTTCATTTACAAAGAGCTCTGCTGGATCTTCTTGTGGACCAATGAAGAGAGCTCTGAATGATGGAAGAACAGCTTTTCTCATATAGGCAGAAACGAAATTATCTGAATTAGTTTCGTCACACAATGAGGAAAGGGAAACTTGCTTCAATTTTGTTTGAGTATCCAAATATGAAATTAAACAATTCACTTGATTGACAAAGCTTGCAACAAAATGATCTGGATCACCCAAATCTGGATATTCCACAGTATCTATTCCAGCAATATTATAATTAATAACAATTTCATCTTCTTCCTCAATGACATCTTCTGGTTCTTGAGTGAGAGGTTTTTGAGCTTTTGGAGCAGTTGGTTTCTTTGGAGCATCGTCGTCCTCATCTTCATCGCTACTGAAATCGAGAGAGAGGTCACTTTCATCTGAATAGTCAGAGTGATCATCTTTCTTCGCTTCCTTATCAGATTTGACCACTGTTCCATTACCAATATCCTTATCGACAATCTTTGGTGGTTCAAGTTGGAGAAGGGAAATGAAACCTTTGGCTCCCTTATTGGAATTTTGCTCGTTTTGTTTTCTTTCCTTCCACATGGCCAATTCATTCTTGGTTAATAAGGATTCGAATTTGGTTTCGTTCTTATCTCCGAGAGCGAATAAAATCTTCTTCACTCTAACAACTTCTTCCTTATTCATATACTTTTCAGCTACACTCGAGTTGATTGTGTATTCAATAGTATTGGAGAGTTGACTAACAATACATTTTCCAAGTTTTTCTTGAACCATGGCATTCTTCTTAACATGTTTCAATCCTTGTTTGATAATGAACTGAGCTACTCTGTACAATGAATTGAATTGATCCTTATTTAACTTTAAAACCAACATGTCTTGATCTCCTTCTTTTCTAACCATTTGATCGATATTGAAAAGAGCGAAACCCATCAAGGCAATTTCACCAATATTGAGATTGGATTTTGGTTTCACGGCAGAGAATGAAGAAAAGAATTTTCCAAGTAAATTTCCTGAAGATCCTGATGCATTTTCCTTCTTCTTTCTCTTCATTGGAGCATCATCGTCATCCATACAGAGCTCTTCATCACTTTCTTCCCTGTAGTCTTCATCAAAGAAAAAGTCCTCGTCCTCATCTGGATCTAATTTCACTTTCCATGCATCCTTGTCCTGTGGATCGTTGGAAATGAGAGCAATTCTCTTCCACACCAATTGTTTGGCCAAAAGCTCCTTCTTTGACTTTTCCAAGTGTCCAGCATTAATTTCCTGTTCTACCAATTGAATCGACTCGTAGAAAGTCTTGAGGAGATAGGACATTGGACCACAATTCTTTCCTGAATTATCCTTCTCTTCCTTAATGACCTTATTATAGAACTTGGCAATGGTTTGATTCTTTTCACTGATAATATCAAGGAGATCGTAGTGTGGATGCTTTCTCGAGAGTCTTTCAGCTTCTTGTTGTAAAATAGCAGCAATTTCATTTTCAAATTTGGTCTTGGCTTCCATCTCCTTGACAACTTGTTGAGCTTCATAGGAGAGTGGAGAAACCTCCTCAAAGGTATGATCTCTCACATAATTCATCAACAAACTCAAGTTCTTTTCCTCGATACCTTTTTGAATTTCCTTCTTTCTTCTGAAAAATTCCTTCAATTGATCTCTTTTACTGACCGCAATTTCTCTGACTTTAATCATTGGTTCTGGACGAACTGAGACAGAGTCTTCTTCATCCTTCTTCTTTGAATTATCCTTCACAGTACCATAACTATCACAAACAGCAATGATATCATCCAATTCCTTCAAACTCTTTTTCACATTGTAAGCATAGAAAATTCTAGAAACCAAGTGAGTACACAATTGACCCAATTCATGTTGTGAAATTTCCATAACAGCTATACATGTTCAATTCAAATTTTGTAGAAACAATTCAATAAAATTTGAATCATTCTAATACTTACGAGTATCATCACCAACTTTGTACACAAAAACTCTATAATCCACATTAGAAGCAGCTTCCAAATTTGCTCCCTTTGTCAAATTAATCATAACACTTATGTGTGCAGTAACTTTCGTTGTAATATTACTTCTTCCATAAATGATAAATCTCTCTGAGAACCAATCAGTAGTTTGAGCCACTCCATGTGAAACTTCGTGATGCAAATAGGATTTAGTGGCAATTTGAGAAAGATCAACACCACCATCAAGGAATGAAGTTCCCTGCTGAGCTTCGTTTGGATCATTTTCCTTTTCCTCAAATGCTGAAATTTTCACATTGAGTGGAGTGGATCCATAGGTCATGACTGGATGCACTAGAACTTCATAAATTCCAGGATCGACATTGGAAACTTGTATTTTCTTGAATTGTTTCAAATTAATTCTTCCAGGAGTTTGATAAACAACATCTTTCTTTTTGAATAATTGGAAACCGAAACCAGAAATTGCTCCAACTGTTTGTCTTGACACTTTAATCAGTACAGTAATCAAATTATCCTATTTTCATCATCAACAGCATTCAAACATTCCACAAAAATTATAAATTTCGTATTGTCCATATAAAAATTATTACAAAAATTGGAAACTTTACAAAAACTTACTCTTTGCACTTCACCATCTTTTCTAAATAAATTAAATTCCTTTGAACATTTTTGTTCTTTTGCAGTCATGACTGCTTCAAAATCCAAACTCAACTCTAAAGCTTCGATATGGATAGAAACAGGTTCGGGATTCGTATTACTCAACCGATCAAGACAAAGTTTATATCTGCAAGGTTCTAATTTACCATGGAGAATAATTTTCTCATCATCTGTGGCAGAGAAGGTAAATTGTTCATCTACACCAACTGGGAATAAACCACTTTCGAAAAAACCAAGTGCATTTTGTTGACTTTTACTTTCGAATAATCGTGAGTTTAGTCCAGCTCCGATGTTTAAAGGTAAATCACCAGATGTTGTAGAAGAAGTATTAGACAAGGTAATTTTCTTTCTTGCTTTGTTTCTCTGTAAATTAGCATAGTCTTCTCCGAGTTCAGATACTGACTGGGTTGATTTCAAATTCATTTTTTTTGATTGATGACTTGTTTAACTGAACAGTAATGATTGTTGAGAGATGTTTCACTGACAATGAAGTCTTTCACTGAAGTGATGAACGAACAGCGAATGCAAAGTACTTCATTGTTAATTATGGAAGTTTTGGTATTAATAATTTTACAGAATTTATATATTTAATATTTACTATTATACAAAATGAAGGTTGTGATTCAGAAGATTTACTTTCTGAAATTTCTCTTATAGGCAGCAAGACAGCTAATGCTAGGAGTTCTCAACTTGTCCTTATTGATTTGACTCAAAAATTGTTGTCTTGTCTTTCTCCAATTATTGACAGGTGAAGGTTGAACAGTTTGTTGATTCATTCTAATAAATTCCAATCTTTTCAAATCCTTAGCAGATAACAATCTCTTCAATTGGGTATTTCCACAAATTCTTTGATGGTATTTCATATATTTAGACTTGTGACATTTGTGGCAGTTTGGACATTCAACCAATGAGTTCTTTGCAGATTTTTGACATGAAGAACCTTGAGATTTGCACTGAGAAGTTTGACTTCCTTGATGTTTGGCAGTTTTCACTTTCATTTGAGATTTAACATTCAAGTCAGCAAACAATTTTTCCATTTGCAAAATTCTTCCTTTCAAAATCAAGTTTTCTTCTTGGAGAATTTTCTTTTCTCTTCTCAAAATTTCGACATGTTTTGAAGATTGCTTCTTCTTTGCTTGTTGTTTTTGTTTCTTCAATACCAAATCAACTCTAATTGACTTTCTTTTCAAGTATGGGAAAGGTCCTTGTGGTTTCTTTGAGATTTGGACGAAAGGAGTTGTGGAAGTGGAATTGATGGATTGATTTAATGTTTGAGATGGTGAATTGACTGGAATGTCATCAAAGTTTGAAGCATTGTTCTTTTGATTTGTGGCAGTTCTCTTGAAATCGAATTCTTGCATGATCATTTTTGTTGTTTTGTTTTGATTTTGTTATTGTGGAGTTTAGTGGATTGCTTCTCTGACTATTTATTCGAAAGTTAGTTGACGAATAGACCTACCCAAACTTTCAATAATGGAAACACATCAACAGCTGTACTTACCAACTGAACGAAAATGGAAAGTCATGTTATCTCTCAACCTATTAATACCCTTAAATACCCCAATCTAAACAAACCAACACACAGGCATTCCAATAACAATTTTGTTATTTAGGCTATCAGATGATAAAACCATTTCAAAAAAGACTACAGCACCACAGGTTCCCAAGTTGTCTCCAACCTCAGTACTGATGTGGCTCGACGATGCTTAACTTCTCAAATCGGACGGGATGAGGTGCATTCATCGTGATATGGCCGTAGCCATTAATTTTCATAACGCCTTAATATTGAATAATTTCTGCACATTTCTTGATGTCCAAAGATGATGAAAGTTAGATTTGAAGGAACGACTAATTCTTCATTACTAAGCAGCCTCGGTATTCCATATTCCTTGGTTATTATTTATTGTTTGGGTCGAAGAATCCATATCGGACCGAAGATACCCTGCCCCATTCTTATATTCCATAATGAGAATAATCTGATCATTGGCAACATTGAAATTGTAATCAAGAGTTCCAAGAATATTTGGATGTGAATACTTTCTATGAAATTCAAGCTCACTAATTACATGTTTATAAATACGTAACCTGAAAATCTTCTTTACCAGATCAGTCCATGTCTGGGTTTGCTCATATTCTTTTGACTATTGGAAACTCTGATTGCAAGATTGAAACATCACTGCATTACTCATACTTTTCAAAATCTAAATGTTTCTGTGCAATCGCCGACCACTTCTCAATCTTTTCATTAGTAACATGGAAAATAAGATGAATGGCCACAATTCTTCTTCATATATTTCAGTAAGTTGATCGAAACATGTTGAACATTAATCTTTGCAAGTAACTCTCTCGTAAAGGAATTGATTTCTGGAAAGGATTCTGCTAGGGAGAATTTGAAAATACAGCATTGAACTTCCAATTCCATCCTTCAAAACAAATGGTTAAGGAATCGGTTGAGAGAGCGAAAGGATTCTTCTCAATAGAATTGTTAAACTCAAAGACTTGCATTTTTAAAATTCGAGTTGTATTAAGCTAATGATTAAATAGTGAGAAAAATAGAGTTTCATGTGTGCAACTTAGAACATCAAAGAACAGTAGGTTCTTACTGCTAATTATTATTATTGATTTTTTCTGATTACAAAAAAATGATAAAATCGACGTGTTCTGGGTTGAAGCAGCTTGGATTGAATAAATTTCGATCATCACGAATAAATCTCCTCTTCCGACACCACTCCCCACTACTATTTTCTCAAGTCAACAACAACGATATGAACAATACACTCCAAGAAGAACAGCAGCAACAACAGGAACAAATAGAAATTTTACCCATCACAGTACCGAGAGTCGGAGAAGGAATTTCCACTCTCCAAATCACCAAGTGGCATAAACAAATTGGTGATTTGGTTGATTATGGAGATGCTTTGGTGGAGATGAAGGCATCCCAATTGTCGATTGATATTTATGCAGAAAGGAGAGGAATAATGAAGGAGCATTTAATGAGAGAGGGAGAGTATGCACATGTTGGAGATGTAGTTTCGTACTTGCAAGTGGAAAGGATGAATAGTGAAGAAGTGAAAAAGGATATTGAAGGAATCATGACAAAAACTGATATGACTGCGAAGAAGAAAATAGATTCGAGGGATTTAATAATTGCAATTATAGTTTTAATAGGTTTCTTTTTCGATGATTTTTTAAAATTGGTCATGAATTGCTTTGATTATCTTTTCAATGAGAATTAAGGAGGTTATTATTCCAACTATAATTGTTTTCCAAGAGGAATATAGTCGATTTTGGAATTATTAAGGATCCAATCTGGTCTGTTAATAAACAAATTAAATCTTACGGAGTTTATTAACACAGGGACAAACTCTTCTTCTATGTTCCGAATTTTGACATCTGAATCTACTATTTCTCGTGCCTAGCGTACAATAATTTTCATCAAATAAAGGTGATGAAGAATCCAATACAGGATTTCTTTCATAGGTACATTTACAATTTGGAGAGAATTTCTTAATTTCCTCACATCGATTAATGTAAGGGAAGAATCTACCATCACAAATAGCACCTCTCTTCTCACAACAAGTTGCACAACTTTCACCCTTTTCACATGCAACACTTTCAACATTCTTCAATTCGTAGAGTGAGAATTTGTGAGATGGTGGGGTGGAAGGAAGCGTCAGAGTATCATGAGTAAAGGCATATTCAGGATCATCCTGAGTGGCTCTACCAGCCATAGCGGAAATAGGAATCGGATTTGTATCATTGCAAGGGAAGAATAAAGAATTTGGACATTGTTCCGAATGGAACAAGACGTATAATTGTGATTGTGTTTGTGGTTCGAAACAATGAGGGAAATCTACATTATTTCTCTCAATATTTCTCTCGTTACCCACTGAAGACATGACACCAATATGTTTCATTAATTGGTATCTGTAAAGATAGAATAATCTATCCTTGAAATATTCCTTTCCATAATCGTGGAATCTATGGAAAAATTCCTCCAAAAGCCAATCGATAGGTATATTGGTATATTGTTGCAATTCCATGAAATGAATCAGTGCATTGAAATCCTTTCTTTGAATCATTACTCCATTCATACCAAAAGAAAAACGTATTCCTGCCCAATCTCTTCCTTCTATTTCCAGTTGTGTTGCCTTCTCGAAAATTAATGAAAGGTGAGAGATTGCTCCAGGACACATTATAAAATCATCCTCCATAATAACCACAGGAACATTTGATCTTGTCTTCATATTTTCATGAAACAATCTAATCATATCATAAAAATCGTTTGATTGTAACCTCTTCCTTTCCGACAAGTCGGAATTCATAAACATATTATAACTATATCGTTTGTGAATTAAATAGGTTTGTGACTCGTGTGTATTTTGTCTCACAGTTCGTTCCACTTCTTCTCTAAAAGGTTCTCCTTTTGAATTTAGCACCACAATACAAGGGAAGAATAGCCTTTGTTTTACTCTAGCTAGGGAATCGACTGTCTTTCCGAGATAATAGAATTTATCACCCTCTATTGGTGGTCTTGGTGCAGTCAGAATTAAAAACACAACTTGGCATCTATCATCCAAAATATGCTCTATTTTGTAATTGTTTTCATCCACTTCAAAAAGCAGATTTGTAGCAGGTGATATTATTGGTTTTAATCTAGGTTTAATCAACACTATTTTCAATATAATAATAAAAGCAAATAAAAACAGTATTTGTGAAGCAACTAGGAGTAGCAGAGATTTAGTCTTGGTAAAAGTTCGAAATAAAGGTAAATACCTCTGCTTTAAATCATATATAAATGTATTTATCATCTTTTAAATTGTGTTATTAAATTATATTATTAATGATGATGGAAATATAAATTAAAATAGGTTGCTGATAATATTGGGCGATGATACAGCAAAATGTATATGCTCGGATTATATTTCCTCTGTAAATTGTTCAGAGAGAGAAATATTAAATCAAGAACTTCCTGATGTTAAAGATGATAACACTCAAATCTTAAGAAGAATGATGATGAACCCAAAAATCCACACTATCCAGATATTGTTAAATATATCAAAATTATCCTCTCCGGTAGTAGAAGAATCGACGAATGAGAGAGAGAATATGTTCTTTACTTTTTTTCTCTAAATTTCCTTCATCAACATAATTTGCGATGTGTGTAACACAGAGAGGAACATCACTCGATGCTTGATTGTTTGTGCGTTTCATTCCCGCCCTTTCTAGAAAATCTTTATAAAACAGGTATAACGATAGGTAGTCGTTGGAACTGTAAGTTTTTGTAAAGTACAGATTATTTTGCATTGAAATGAAGATATGAGAGATACACAGTTCAGAACAAGTGTGTTTTTGAAAATCAATTTTTAATTAAATCCTAGAAAAGATGTGAGTTTAAATAATTCCTGGAATGAAAATGTACTTGACAGTTTCACAATATTTGTCCCAATCTTCCTTATACTTTCTCTTACATCTTTCAGAATCTCTGTGATAACGATGGATAATCATACAGAAGAAGAAGATGAAATAAAAGTATGGAATGAAACTTCCAAATCCACAGATCAAACCCCATGTCAAGCCCATTGTGGTATCCATAGTATAGTTCAATTTACGAGCATAAGCCCACCAACCATCAACCAACAATTCACTACCTGCCTTAGTCTTGAGACATTTGGCATTATCTGGCAAAGTACCATATGGCAATTGAGGGAAAGTCTTTCTTTCTCTGAAAGTACCATTCTTCTTCATACGGAATCTGTTACGTTGACTTTGAGCAGTATCCCAGAAATAGTAAGCAACAAAGAGCAAGATGAAAATACAGAGATTGTACCACCAAGGCATGTTAATTTCTTCACCCTTCTTGTAAATGTAAATGGATGAGAAACAGTAAACGAATGGAACACCAGCCAAATTCCAGTAAATCAACAACCAACCCCATTTTTCATAAAAGATATCCCATGATGATGGAACACATTCTTCACCCTTCATAATGGCATTGACATAAATTGTGTGGGCAGTTAACATGAAAATCATTGGTGTGGTAATGTATCCGAGTTCTTCATATTGTTTGGCAGCTGCAGAGAGTGTCAACAAGAAGAGCAAGACCCATGAAATTCTGGCTTCAGTGAACATTTTCAAATCCAAAGATCCTAATCTAGGATTCAAAACAGCTCCCATGAAAAAGTCATAGAGGAAACTTCCAGACAATCTGTGTTCATTTCCAGTTGCAATAGTATAGAAATAGGTAAAGATAGCAACAAGATTACTGAAAATAATGGCAACAGTTAAAATTGGAGCAAAATTATCATAGAGCATTGAGACTGGAGCAATTCCAGTAACATACAAGATACCAATGAGTGGCAATGTAATATACCAGACGTGGATGGCATTACAATTGTAAATCAACTTTTTGCCACCTTCATGTTCGAGTGGTAAACCTTCATATAAGTCACCAGGAATTAACCAACCCAAAACACCTTCATAAACGATGAATCCCATATAAATATTAAAAGCAGTCCAATTTGGTTGAGCAATTTCCCATGCAGCAGACCAATCTACATCCCAAAACCACACTAATTTAGAATCAGTAAATTCCAAACAATACCAATAATAGTATGGAATGATATGTGAAATTATCATAACAGCAAGACAACCTATTGGTCCACCAAATTCTCTGGCTGCCATATTCAGTAGAAGCAAAATTATCAGCAAGATACAAACAATTTCACACGAAACGAAACCGAAACAAAACGAAAAATAATTCACACCAATAAATATTCGAATCAACATTCACTCTATAACCTACCTTCCTCCTTCTCTTCCTTCTTATTGACCCTTGTTGTGGCCTTCTCTTGTTGTGTTGTTGTCGAAGCCATTTTTTTAGTACGCCAATCCATAAAACCCCTCTGCTACTTCTTCAGACGATTCAATGATAAAATTGTTTTTCGTTGTTGGTTCGGTATTTTACGATAAAATCGCAATTCCACAAGATACGGTTTCCGAGGGTATGTTTTGTCCTTTCTACAAGTTGTGGAACAGTGGGAAGGGTGTATTAATTGTGCAAATTGTGAAAAGTTTGTTAGCATTGGAGATCCTGCATGCATATTTGGAGATTGAACCCGTTCGAGTTGTTTGGTTTAGTTTTGTTGTAATGTGTTAGTCTTTGAAAGTGTTATTAGAAATGGAAACAATGTTTCATTTGTGAAAGTATAATTGTATTCGTTGGAAAGTGAGTATTTGATTGGGTTTAATTGTTATTCTTGAGTTCCATTCTAATTATTGAAAATATTCATTCGTATTTTAATTCTTGTTACAAAAAATTCCTCCCATGCATTGAACAAGTTTACAATTTTTGAAATTCAATCATGATGTTCTATTCTTCCATTACTTGCTTAATCCTAAAAAGAAAAGCACACAAATACAACAAATCATCTTCTTCTCTCAATTCGGAACATTCCTTTTCCGTACCAAATAAATCAATAAGAAAAAAACATCAAACAACCTTTCATTCTCTCTCTCAATATCATCAAAGCGAAAATTATTTTTAGCCTTTGAAGAAGAACAGCAAACAACAACACTTGTAAATACAAAAAAGCAACATACAGCAATCAAATAACAACTCTAATATATTGCTTATTGAAGTAACGTTTGGAATACAACAATAACAAACACAGTTTAAAAGAATTATTTTTGTAAATAGGAAAAGGATTAATAATTAATTATTGGAAGGATGGCACAAAGAAGAGTAATGAAGGATTTGACAACACTGCAACAAGTACCTATTGAAGGATTGACTGCTGGACCGATCGGAGATGATGTTTTTAGTTGGAATGGGTATATTGATGGACCTGTAAGTGTTTGATGATTTAAATGTTGGAAATAATTGTATTTACTTGTTTTGGAACTAATTAGGTGGATACACCATATGAAGATGGAGTTTTTAAAGTCAAAATTACATTTCCAACTGATTATCCTTTCACTGCTCCACGATTGAGTTTTGGTAAGTTTATTGAACCAGTTGAAAATTCTATAAACTTTAATAGTGACACCAATTTATCATCCAAATGTAAATAGTGACGGGAAAGTTTGTCTCTCAATACTAGACAAGGACTGGAATCCCTCTGTAAATATATCACAAGTATTAATGAGTAAGTATTCGAAATATTATTTTGAAATATTCACTTGTAACAGCTGTACAATTACTACTCAAAGAACCAAATCCTGAAAGTGCAGTTCTTCCTAGCATTGGTAAACAATATGAGGATGATCGTGAAGCATTCAATAAGGAAGCTAGGAAACACACTCAGGAACATGCAAAGAAGAAAACAGAGGAAGAGAACAAAGAGGAAACACAGGAAAAAGAGGAGAAATAAATTTATATATATTAATTAATTATTAATTATTAATTAATAATTTAAATAGGCAATTGATCATAAGGAACAAATATTAATAATACAAAAAAAATAGATCGCAACACCATGAGAGAAATTGTCAGTCTTTTTATTGGAGGATGTGGTAACAGGATTGGAAATTGTTTTTGGAAGGGTATTATGAGGGAACACAATATTGATACAAATACAGGAGAGAGGATTGAAGGATTTGAAGATGTTGAAGAAAATTTAAATATTTTCCTTGATGAGAGGGAAGATAAATTTGTGCCAAGAGTTGTGATGGCCGATCTGGAGGCTGAAACTATTGAATCAATGATTAAGAATGAGAATTTATTGGAATCAAAGTTTGCTTCCTTTCAAAGATGTGGAAATGGAAATTGTTTCTCTAGGGGAATGTACACTGATGGAGCTCTGCTTATTCGAAATATAATGGATCAAGCAAGGAAGAGTGTAGAACAGTGTGATTTCTTTGAAGGATTTCAAATGTTTCATTCCATAATTGGTGGATCTGGATCAGGGCTTGGTTCATTAGTTGTTTCGAAACTCAGAGAAGAATTCCCTGACAAAATGATGGCAACTGCTACTGTATTGCCATCAAATAAGGATGACTATGGATCTAGGTCTCTTTCACATTATAATGCTGGTCTATCCATGCATTATTTGGTAGAGAATACTGATTTTGTAACTTGTCTAAATAATGAGGCTCTTGGAAATATCTGTAATAGCAAATTAGGACTGGAGAATTATGGCTATGAACATATGAATAATTTAATCACTCAAGCAATTTGTGGTTTTACTAGTCCATTAAGATTTTCAGGAATTTTAAATTCTTCATACAGAAAGCTTTCAACCAACCTCGTTCCATTTCCAAGACTACACTTTTTCACTGTATCTCACTCACCCTTCTGTCTGGGTGATACTGAACCAACAGTTGAGGGATTAACAAGTGATGTTTTTAATCAGACCAATCTACTGATAAGTATGGATCCAAGTTTAGGCCGTTACATGACCAATATCATTACTTATCGTGACAATGAGCCGAATATTTCCATGATTGAGGAATATGTAAGAAAATTCAAAAAGGATAATGAAGCTATTTTCAAAGAATGGGTGCCAAACAATATTCACACTTCAGTATGTAAATCTATTTCACCAGATTGTCCAACCAAGAGCTCAGCAACAATGGTATCCAATACCAGTGCAATCAAAACAGTTTTTAACAAGATTTCCGACCAATTTACTGTAATGTTCAGAAGAAGGGCGTTTCTGCACCAATATTTAGAAGATGGTATGGATGAGATGGAGTTTACAGAAGCGGAATCAAACTTTAATGATCTTCAATCTGAATATTATGATGATTGGGGTGCGTGGTGTGAAGAAGAGGAAGAAGGAGAGTATGATGAAGAGCCTTAGAACTAATAAACATGAAGCAACATTTTCTTGCAACTCAACCTCTCATTACTAATTAAGCCAATTGGGGATTGATATTAATTTTCAAACAATAACAAAAACTTCACTAGTACTTTACTGTTCTGATCCTTCTTACTCATGTTAATAAAAACCAAACTTTCAAACACTTTCTCTTCTCCACGATTTGTCCAAAACCAAAATCATATGGCTCGCCACGTTACCGTCTCGGGAGGAATCGAACCTCCGTCAATGGATTCAAAGTCCACTATGCTACCATTACACCACGAGACGAGCACATTAAGGTTGATTATAATTTAGTTATTACACTCATGACCATTTTCAATCTGTACTGTATTTGCGTTTCATGTCCCTTTGCTAAATTACATTGTATAAGAAAGGACTTGGAACATATTGCCATTTACAATTCAAAACGTAGAAACATTTTTTCTTGCTCTTCCTCATTACTTATTAAGGCAATAGAAGATTTGGCGCCTTTAAAATTCACACTTTCAAACAATTTTTCACAAACAAAAAAACAACAACACCACAACCAATATGAACAGAAAGGCCATGATTTCACTTTCCCCACTTTTACTGTGTACAGTGCTGTGTACAGCCCTCACACAGGTCACACCCTCCTCACCTGACACCACAAATTATTATTTTCTATCAAGAGAGCCATCGTCATCAATTCTTAATATTATCCATCAAGAACACACTGATAATATTATAATAATTAATGATTGGCTTAATGATCTTGCCATCTCCTATTGTGTGATGTTAATTTACGCACTCATCATGCTAGCCATGTCCCTCCAGAATCATCTTTCCACAGGAGAGCAATTTCTCAATGATGAAGAAGTATCCTCATCAATAGAGACTCAACACACATCTTCTCAGATAACAACAGAGGAGAGTGAAGGCAATGATCATGGCGATAAGGAGGTGGACGATCTGAATATGAGTATGATCGAAATGGTACCCGAGATTGTTGAAGAAGGTGGCTCCCAAGATTTTCCATCCATTGAAACACAGAATCCTCTCACCATCTCAACTCTCTACTCCCATTCCAAGATAACAGAAGGTAATGATGATAAGGAAGGTGAAGATTCTGATACGCTCGAAGAAAGTTCCTTTGATTTATCTTACATTGAAACACCACGAAGAGAATCAAAAGACTTGCATCATGATTACAGTCCTAGTGATGCATCAACCATAACTCCAAGAAGCCAATCAGATTTGGATCGCTCAGACCTCAGTATTGTGTCCTCTCCAAATGATGAAGAATCAACGTTACTAGATTGTTCTCTCAATCATGATGATTTTGAAATCAATGAACAATTTACTGAACCACCACCATCAGAAACAACTTCTTTTGAAGAATTAATGGCAAGAAACCTTGAACGTATCACATCATTAAACAGTGAAGTAATGAATGAATTTGCAAAGGAAGCAAGTATAATCCTTGCACAACTTCAAGACATTAAGGGTTACAATAATGTGGAAGAAGTTGAGAAAGAAGAATTTCTTTTCAGCCTTGCAATGGAAATCTATGAAACAAGATTAATCAGAATGGATGTGGAGGCCCAAAGAATTAATCTCAAAATTCAAAACCTTACAATTTAGGAAATTGTATTGTATTTGATAAACTATCTTCAATTTTCATTATAATTTCATAAATTTGTGTTTCTCTTTTCCAAGTTTCATCAATTCCAATCGCTTCAACATATGGAGATGGATCAGGAACAATCCATGATGTTTGGCATCACATCCATCTGGGTCTTCTCACTATGTTTATTATCATGTGAAGTTTGTTAAAAATGTGTGTCCCATCTCCAACTATGGAGCACATGGAATGGCTGGAACACTAGGAACATTAACAATGTTTGTTGATGTTCTGGTTTCAATGATTAGAAGTGTCAAAGGTATTATTTACAATGGAATTGAAAAGTATCGTGTTACTTTCTTTTAACATATCTTTCAACTCGCTTCTGTTGTAAACTAAAAACGCCATTTGTTAAAAACGACACTTTTCAAAAATGTACCTACTTAAAAATCTCCAAATTTGAACAATTACAATATTCTTCCATAATTGTTCACTGACAAGTGTCAAATAAATAGAAGCTTCCACCTGCCATCCATCACTTTTTCACAAACAAAAACAAAAACAAATACAACAAACATGTCCTATCCAATTCCAACTCCATACGAATGGTCAACCACTCTCGATATTGGCAATGCTGAATTAAACGAACAACATAAGAAACTCTTCACTTTAATCAATGCCTTGGATGCCAAGAGAAGTTGTGGCACAACATTGAAGGAATTATTAGATTACGTTGTTTTCCACTTCAAGACTGAAGAAGATTTGTTTGCTAAGGCTGGTTGGTCTGAATCTGCCTCTCATAAGGAAACTCATGATAAGTTTGTTCAGGATGCTTTGGCATTGACAAGCGTTGGAGATGGTGAGATGCAATTTATTAAGCAATGGTTGATTACTCACATTTGTGCCTCTGATATGAAGTATAAGGGTGTTATTTAAATATTATCCTTTTTTGTAATTTTAGTAAAAAAACAATTTTGTAAATTAGTTTATTTTTTGATATTGTCGGCAAAAGTGTTCGAAATAGTCTTCCTCTGATTCATGTCTCACTCTGATTGTTCATATGAAATTGGAACGGTTATTAGAAAGCTCATCTAAAACAAGAGGTTAATGGACATATTAGATTTGTTTTGAATAAATGCAATTAAAGAACTCAATTAGACTTAAGTATTTAAAATTTACTGGAATTTTCAGGTTAATGACATTTTATACCAACAATTGATTTCTTCTAATTTTTTTTCAATAGAACTCAAAGTCAAATGTTCTTGTAAAGTTTCAACAAACGTTTCACAATTGCGCAAAGTAGTGTTTGCTTGATGGGTGTTACCAAATACTTTTTGTTTGATTACTGACATCTTACCTTTAACAAAGTATACCTTCTCAGTCAATTCATGCAATTTTTCCCACATTTCAGAATTTTCCTCTGGTTGACTGAGTGAAATCTGATTGTTACTGAATGTGAATTTTTCACTGAAGAATGTTGACCTACTCACTACATCATGTACATTAACAGTAAACACGCCGTCTTGGTCAACTCTGCATTCAACACATATTTTATGGTTAGAGGCAGGCTTTTGATCAATTTTTATGATTGAATTGGTTAGTAATTCTAACATTGAGCTAATTTCAGATTCTCCCTCTCTGAAGGTCAAATTAATCTCTTTCGTTTCGTCTGATGAATTTGTAACTGCCAATAGTTTTTTACAAGGCAAAGGTGTTCCCTTTTCCAGAACCTTAATTAAGGAATTATTTTGATATTCCTTAATTCGAATAGTTCTTGAAAGACATTCAGTAATAGGAATGGCTTGTTTTTGATAAAGATCATGAGCCAAGTAGGCAGCTCCATAACTAACGATATAAATTATGTCACTATTTTGTGGTCTAGTAATTGTCTTTAACAAGTCAACTCACTGTCAAGTTATTAAATCTTACTTACAACTCCAGGTAGTTCATCTTGCACCCAATCTTTCACAAATGGAATAAGAGATGATCCTCCAACCATAAGAACCTCATTAATATCACATCCAAGTTCTTTAAATTTTGAAATTAAGGTCTGGACCCTTTTTTGGAACGCCTCCTCACAATCTCTCTTAAATTGCTCATAATTCACAGAAATAATCAAAGATAAATCATTCTCAGGAATCTCAATACTAAAGTATTCAACATTTCGTCTAGTTGAACATAAGGTTTCTTTCAAAATTCTTGCCTTTGCACTCAACTTGTGTTTAACTTCTTTCTTTAAATTATTCAACTGAGATGTCAATGATTTTTCTTCGAGTGTCATGGAAGATGCTCCAAACCAAACAGGTTTAATGTAATTTTGGAAAACCAAATTATCAACATCAACACCTCCCAAAGTAGAATCTCCCTCAACCCATTTCACAATAAATTCCAATTGACTATCATGATTTTTACAAACTTGAATGAGTGAAATGTCCAAAGTTCCACCACCAAAATCAAATACCAAGTAATTACCTTCCCCTCTTTGAGGATCTTTCTTAAAATAGTAATAGGCAGCTGCGGATGGTTCTGGTAATAATTTCAAAACCTTAATGTTTGATTTTCTAGCTGCTTCCAAAGTTGCATTCTTTTGGAAAACTCCAAATTCAGCTGGAACTGTAATGACTGCTGGAATTTCTTGATCTTTTCTAAATACGGTTACATTTTCAAGAATTTTTTGAGCTACCAATTCTGGAGAAATGTCAAGAAACTTTCCGTTTTCAAATACGAAACGACATGTGGCAAGTTGGTTCTCTTGATTAGCAACTATTTTGTAATCTAATTTCTTTTCATTTTCTTGAATGACGGCCACTTGATTGTCTTTTCTATCCAAACATTAAGAATAGTCAAAGTTTCGTCAACTAACTTACCTTTTACCAATGATTCGTTTAGTTTCTGTAGCGTAGAGAACACCATTAACATCTTCCAATTCTCCAACACCAGTTTGAAATGATTCTCCGTTTATACAGCTTACATTCACAACAGAGTTTTGGAAATTACATGATCCTTGTGAAATATATTTCGTATATCCAAATTCATCAATGTACGAAACAATGGTTGTGCTAGTACCTAGATCAATACCAATACACTTAATATCACTCATTTTTTTTAAAAGAAACACATACTTCACATCATGCATGACATATAAACTATCACGTTTTCGAATAAACCCACTCACGTTTCGAAATTTAGAGTTTACAATATTCACGTTTCGAATCAATCTTTTAATTGATATTTTTAACAAACGAAACCTTATAATTTCTAATCATCAGCTCCCTCAGAATACAACCAACAGAAATCATACTGCCATTATTCAAATATCTACGATTTTCTCCCTTTTTGAATTTTGACAAGCTTGGAATATTCCACAATCCTCCAACAAGTAGTAATTGATTACTGTTAAATATTGGCATATTTTCATCAAGAGTTAATTCAGGAAATTCGCTTCTTTTGATAAAAACTGGTCCTTCAAGACTATCCTCTCCAAAAATCATTCTAATAGTTTCGGATATAGAAATTTCGTCATCTTGACCATATTGATACATATTCATCATGAGTTTGTTCATTTGAAATGTAAATTTTGCACTTCTTTCGTCTTTGATATCATTCGTTTTCAATTCTCCATTTTCATACCTGTAATTCAATTTGCAACGAACCAAGATTCGATTACAAAAATCTGAAAGTATTTTAACTCCACTAAAACTGAAGCTATATAATACTGTGGATTCGAATACTAGGGAATTGGAATCTTTCCTCACTATACATTGATAGGTGCCTGTACCTGATAAATTGAAAATGCTGAACTGAATGCTCATTTCTTTGAATTGTTGCAGAGACGTTTCGTCAGGTTCTTTTTTAAAATCTAACTGATAGAATTGAGCTACATAATATGAAATTACAGCCTCGTGCTCAAAACAAGTAGAATTGTTTACAATCTTACTGTCACAATGAAGCTCCCATCCGTATGGAATGGCTGTAATAAATTTCTTATTCGAATCTTCATCAATTTGTTTTGAAAATGCTCCAATTAAATGATATATTAAATTACTATTCAATTTTCTTTCTGGAATATTTGAGAATTTTCTGAAATATTCAATGGAAAGCGCTGGTTGACCTTCTGTGATCTCTAACACTTGTTCTCCAATCATATTAGAATAAAATACAGAGGTTATTCTTGTTGAATACAGATCATTAATTTTTGATGAACCAATGTTATGATAACTTGCTTGTGAATAAAAAGTTCCACAATCAATTCCAATAATTTGATGAATTTTGTATTCACTTTCCTCCATAATTGGTTCCACAGGGTTCTCATTTGAATTTTTCTCGATAGATGTTTGGGTTTCATAATTTTCAACAATTACTTGGACATCCCCTTCCAAATTTTCATTCATTTTACAATAGTTAATATGGTTTTCTTCTTCTTTTGGCTCCTCAATTGACATTCTCTTCTCCGTCTTAATTTTACAATCACTTTCATCATTCATAACCCATTCTCCCATAATTTCATTCCTCATATGAACTATTTTTAAATCCTTTACATTAGTTTGCTGAGTTCTACATTGTTTGTAATCATCAAATGCACTATCGTCATCCGTGCTGTGTTGACTCGTAATAATTAATTTTTTGATAGACCTTTTGAATGTTGTGGCTGATCTTTTAATTTTTTGAAACGCCATTTTCTTTTGCATAAAAAACGTGAAGTTTACAAAAAGTTGGTCAACCAGCAATCACGTAATCACGTTTGTTATTAATAGAAAATATAAAACGTGAAACCTGTGGAAATAATCGATTTTTGCAATCAACACTTTCTAATAATTATTTCAAAAGAAAATGATCACCCCAATCTTAGTTGGTATCGATTATGGAACTACCAATACCAAAGCAAGCATTCGTGAAGAATACATCTGTAACCAACCTAAATGCATTGAATTTGTAAGTGGTAAAAACTATCTTTCATCAGAGATTGCCATCAACAAGAAAGATAAATCTTGCATTGTTGGCTTGGAGGATGGCGAATCAACATATTACAAGATTGCCGAATCCAAACGATTGATTGGCAGAGCCTACAAGTCTGTAATGAATAAGGAAGATTTTAGTACAAGACTTGGTTACCATGTTGCAAATGTTGATGGAATGGCAAACATTAGAATCAACTCAACCACAGATGGTAGCAATGATGTTGAAATTATTGATATCGATCCAAGATTAGTTACTGCTGACATTCTTAAAAAAGTCAAAAAGCATATCATTGATACCAACAACTATCCAGATGATACAATTGTTCAAGCTGTGGTTACTGTCCCAGCTAATTATGGATATAGTCAGAAATCTGCAACAATGGAAGCTGCCGAGTTGAGTGGATTGCAAGTTCTACTGTTAATCCCAGAACCAACAGCAGCTGCACTTGCTTTCTTAGATTCCAAGAAATTCTCTGATGGTTATTATCTTGTAATTGACTTTGGTGGTGGCACTCTCGATCTCTCACTTGTCCATCTGGAAGGTAAGAAAGTCATTGTAAAGAAAGTGTTTGGTAACATGTTTTTGGGAGGAGGAGATGTCGATCAAGCCATTGCAGAAGTGTTGAAAACCAAGATTGACCCAGCACTTGAAATTCCAGTTCAGATTGAGAACATCTTTAGTAAGACTACAGAAATTGTCAATTTCAACAATGCTATTCTAAAGAAAAAATCCAAAACACTCAAGGAAATGCTGAGCGAAGGAACCAACGAAGAAATTTCTTTGAGTATTAATTTGAAAGGTTATAGTGGTATGAAAATTGTCAATCTGTCATTTTCCAAACAAGAACTTTGTGCAGTTTTGAATTCAAAGTTTAGAGAACCTTTTGAAAAGGTCTTGAAAGAATGTAAGAATGGAATGGAGTGTGAATTAGATGGTATTCTCCTTGCTGGTGGCTCATCTAAACTACCAACCATTGAATCTTGGACTAGAAATGTGTTTGAACAAGTTACAATTCATACACATGCACATGATGTTCAAACTCTTGTTGCAAGAGGAGCTTTCTTAGCAGCAGAGTCAATCAGAAATGGCACAAATCAACTAGAGAATTTGCAAGTGATGGAAGAAGTAACCGCAACCCATTTGGGAATTGAGACAAAGAATGTGGTGACTGATAAAGTAGAATTCACAACATTAATTCCAATGCACAGCCCTTTAAAAACTTCCTTTACAAAGACCTTTACAAACGTTGTTGATGATCAAGAGAAAGCGAAAATTAGAGTATTGGAAAATTTGTCAGAATCTTTTGAAGATTCTACTGAAATATCCAGTTTGGTAATCAATATCATGAAAAGAAAGAAGGGAGAAACCAAGATTGATGTTACTTTTTCTGTTGATTTGAATGGTATCCTTCAGGTTGCCATTGTAGAACAAGGAAGAGATTCTGATAATAAGCACGAAATCAAAACTACGTTGACCAATTTGTGGACTCCTGAACAAATAGAAGAGTTTCGTAAAAGAAAACATTTTAGTGTCCAAGAGGTAACTAAGGTTGCAGCACAACAAGTACCAAGCTTGAGTCAAAATCTTAGTAGTCAAATTCAATTTGACCTCTTAGATGAATTATTCAAAGGTCCAAATAAGCAAGTTCTCATTTTGGATACAGGTGCCAATAAACCATTATTATAAATCTTCAGTAAATATTCTACCAAACAATACAATAAAAAGAGCCGTTAGTGGATAGAAAAGCACTATCGCTAGCACAGTTAGAATGATGAAAAATACAAAACTAGAAAGGTCAATCTTCTTTTGGAAACCATAGGTCAAGCTAAACAATCCATTATCATGATAATAACAATCGTGCAGACCTTCTTTCTTTCGAATTATTTCACTAACATTTACACAACCGTAGCGATAGAATTTTTCAATATCATATTCTTCGTCAACATTTCTGAGTGTGGAATTGTAAACTGTTATGGAAACGTTTAGGTAGAGTACATCTGTGTATTTGATACAGTCATCATACCAATCATAATCCACACAACGTTGTTTCACATAAACCATACATTCAGATACTGGACATTGTTGCAATGGGGTTGAGAATAAAGTTATCAGAAAGAAGAGCACTAAAAACAACGCAATGAAATGAGCAAAAAAATTCAGTAACATTGAAATGAAATAAATCGTGAATACCTTCCAAGGGAAACGTTCAATATCAAATTTAGAACGATATTTACGATAGTAATAGGCATTATGTTGTTCACGCCAGAATCCTGATTTTTCAACTAGACTATGGCATTGTCTATTAACATGGGAGAAGGATGCATAGCCTGTTCTAGGAATGAATGTGAATACCACTGAAAGCTCATCAGAATTAAGAGGTCTCAGCTTGTTTCGAATATTATTCTTCATTTTTTTCTTGTTGATTATTATGATGTTTCTTGGCTTTACCTATTTAAATGATATTTAAAAGATAATATTAGTCTTCTAATTACAAGTCCCACCACAGGTTCCTGGTACAAAGAGCTCAATCAAAAAAGTACACGTTTACAATAAATAATTTGATTAATATTGAAAATAAAGGTATTAATATCTTAATCTTCAATATTAATAGAATACAATGGCTTCTCACACTAGAATGTCTTTTTATAGGACTTCATTTTGTTTAATTTATAGATGATGAATATCTAGTAGTATTGGGTTTTACATCCAACCCCATCATGAAAAGACTTTGATCCGATGATGATAAAATTTAATGGTGATGATAAATTTGCTCCAGTGCTACATATATCCTGTTCGGAATTTTTTAAAAAATAATTTAAAAAATAGGTTTGGAACGAATTATGGTGTTTTATTTGTCAAGCCTGTAGCTAAATTGCTAAAACCTTTCAACAAATTCTTGCGTATTTAATTGCAAATACTTCACCATCATCATCAATATTAAAATTACAACACATGATTGAAGAATTTAAATTAGTATTGGTTGGGTCCGATCCACCATGTAAATTTACAAATCATTGAAAATATTATGAAATTTAAAAATTCAATTTTTCATAGTATTGTGTATGGATTGGATTTGGAAATTGTATTACAAAATTATTGCCAATTATGAAATCATAAAGGAATAATTATGAGATGATCAGAGGAAAATTTGTGCCTTGTTGACTTTGAATCTCATACCTTTTCCAGATAATAAACATCATATTTCCATCAGAAAAAGAAAAATGCAAGATCTGTTGGAAAAAGCGCAACACCATCACGAAAAATTAACATCTGATCTGTTGAATATTAAAAAACAACATTTAAACAAAGAGGAAGAGGAATACGAAAAGTTTCGAATAACAAATTTGGCAAATATTAGCAATGTAAAGTTGCGGATGAAAAAGAGACGAATATTTGCCATGGACAGTTCGATTTATGGAATTTCTTGGTCTAGAGATTCATCACTGGTTGTGTCTGTAGCGAGAGGAGGAAATTTAGCAGTAAGTTTTCAAACTGAATGAAGAATAATTTAATTTAGTATAGTTTTGGAGAACTAGAGAAAATAAGAAAATCGCTGAAATGATGGTTTTGGATTATTGGACAATGTGCTGCAGTTTAAGTCCTTCTGGAAGGTTGATAGCAACTGGAGGAACCAGAAATGATGTTTATGTTGGTAAGTGATTGGAATATTGGATTCTAAACTGAACTATTTCAGATATTGTTAAAGAAGGAACGTATAAACAAATAATTACTCCAACATTTAGAAACATGAGTGGACACCGTGGTTATTTGAGTAGTTGTGAATTTATTGATGAAATTCAACTAGTAACAAGTTCTGGCGATGGGTATTGTATTTTGTGGGATGTGGAAATGGGAAGAGCTGTTCATTATTTCAAAGTATGTTGGAATTATTTGGAATCTGATTTAATTAAAAATATTATAGAAACACAAATCGGATTGCATGTCAGTTTCTGTAAATCCAATTGATAGGAATTTGTTCATTAGTGGCTCGTGTGATATGAAAGTTTGCTTGTGGGATTTGAGAATGAAAAAATGTGTGAATTCATTTAAGGGTCATCATTCACATGATATCAATGCTGTGAAATTTTTTCCAAATGGATTGGGTTTCGTAACTGGATCAGAAGATCTTACCTGTAAACTATTCGATTTAAGGGTTGAAAGACCACTAACGACATTCTCAAATGATGAACTAAATGAGCCAATATCAAGTGTATGTTTCAGCAAGTCGGGTAGAATTCTATTTGCAAGCCATGGTCCAAGTATTATTGCTTGGGATACCTTAACAGGAAAAATGAATTGTGAAATTGCCAAACTGAATATCAAGTGTTCTTGCTTGGAAGTTTCTCCTGATGGAAGTGCATTGGCTGCAGGTTCTTGGGATCACTTTCTCCGAATATTTGCTTGAAGCTATTATGGATAATTTCAGTTAGAAGGGAAGTTTGAATATTCGAAAGATGAGTGGAACTGAATCATCGTTACAACAGCTAGTTTTACAAATGATTAGCATTTGAAACAGATTAACATTGAAACAAAGCTTAAACGAGTGAATAATATGCAAAATGAAAAATAATATTGAAGCATCATGATTAAGGTGGAATCAAAGACATCTGGTAATGTTTCTAAAACATTCGATCTTCCATTAGACCAATATATGAATAAGAACACAATTTAAAATTCCGAATCCATCATATCCGTATGTCTATTAAAAAAGAGAATTAAGAAAACACAAAAATCAACTAACATTAAAAAAATGCCCAACAGAGGACAAGGAAATAACTCCTCTGCTTTATTCGGTGCACCTCCTCCAACATCATCATTATCATCTCTAATAACAAATTCCGCCATGATGAATAATAATAATTTATTGTTAATGCAGCAACAACAGCAACAGCAGCAACAAGTGGGAAATAAGGATCCTGCTACATCATATAATAATAATAATAATAACAATAATAATAATATTGAAAGTGAAACTAGTAATGATAACGAAGATAGTCAACAAGGAGGAAAGTTTGCTAGTATTGCCTGTACCTCGTGCAGAAAGCTGCATCGGTATGTATTCTGTAGAATTAACTATTAATTTAAATAATAATGAATAATGAATATTTATATGTGATTACGTTATGTTGATATTTAAATAATATAGTAAATGTGATAAAACTCTTCCTTGCTGCGCATATTGTGTCAAGACTGGAAAACAATGTGTCTATCCATCACCAAGACGTGGAAAACAATTTCAACAACAGAAAAAAGCAAATCAATCATCATCCGATGCTCATTCACAACTATTTAATAATCCTTCCGTGGAATCAATGGAAGGTCCTTCACTAACTATTCCTACTTCATCTTTTAAACACATTTCTAGTACAAGTTCAATTGATAGTCAGAGTTCAACCTCGTCATCGAATGATGCCTCACCAATACACTATACTCCGTATGATACCGGAAAGACTCAACATGAACTCAATTATAAATATGTAGCTACACAGAGTTTAGATATCTACTATAGTGTATTGTGTTACGGATATCCACTCATAGAGAGGGAAAGATTACAATCACTAATTGATGGAGGAAAACAAAAAAAGAATGGTCAAAATACGCCACTCTTTGTTTGGCAAAGTAAATTGGATCAAGAAAAGGATTATGGACTATTGTACACAATGCAGGCCTTGTGTCTTCAACAATTGGGCCACAAGGATATTTCTTCACAACTCTTCCTTAAAGGAAAACAAATAGTTGGTAAATTCTTTGATGAAGTTGACACGTTGAACATTCCGATTGCCATGAAGTTTATGGCTGAATATTTACTAGGCTCAGGAGAAAAGAAGAAGGCACGAGTGCTGACATCTACTATTAGAACAAATATTGCACCATATCTCAAAGGTAGTGGGCTCATCAACCCTAATAATATGGATAAGGACTTTGGTTGGATAGATAAGGAACCAAGACTTTTCCCATCTGTTCTATTGGAGAGTCAACTCAAATATTTGGAATTCTTTTTAACAGAGGAAGAATCTCCACAAACATTTATTTTCGAAGAATTGGAAATTTTAGGCCACAACAAGATGAAATTAGACCTCTCAAAAGTTGGACCAACCTGTAAGAACCTTAATGAAGAAAACAAACAAAAACTTTTAGCAATCATCAAGACGTATGAGTGTTTCACCGATTTGGTATTTAATACTTTAGCAAAGAAGGATGCACTTGTCTACCTGATAGCTCAACTCACAAACAAACAAGTTCATTTGGAAATTTTGCTAAACTGCAGTCCTCAAATAATGGACATTGGTGAGATGCTCAAAATTTCTTACCAAATTATTGAACTTACAAAGAACAACTTTTTCACATATATTCCTATTTTCTCTACCAAAGCCATAGTGCTGGCTTGTAGTGTTAGACTGAAATATAATAATCAAGGGCTGAATCCACATGGTTTTATAGATTTTAGAGATGATTTAAGAGCTTTAAGAGTGCTGGCTAACCGATTTACTCTCATTCAAAAGGAACATGCCCAGCTCATCAAGACAATTGAAAGCGTTTTATATACACAGTCGCTGACACAATCCCACAAGGATATTCCATTTGGCGGTCAACCATCATTCACCTCGGAAGAAAATCCATTCCAAGCCTTGTTAAATAATCCATCTTCTTCATTCTCTCCAGAGGCTGCCATCTCTGATATTTTACCACCTAACGGATACTATGATGATTTTCTGGATCATGAACATGATATTGGACTTTATTCCCAGGGTGATTTGTTTGCCAGCCATCTTTTGGATACTTTCTATGAAAATAATGTGTATGAAACTCGATATAGAAGAATGATGGAAGATGTTATGGAAGGTTCGGAGAGATTCTCCATTTCCATTCAAAATATGATCAAACAACAACAAGCTCAACAACTTCCAGATGCCCTCCAAAGAGCTGAGGGTTTAAAGAAGCTACGATTGGATTTGGCAAACCAAATGATAGATATTGCCAAACAACATAACGATATTCCTAGTGTTATTGAGGCTGAGCTCTTCAGAAGGCAAGTTATTGCTGCCAATGTCAATACACAACAAGCTATACAACTACAACAAAATATAAGAGACAATCATCAACAATTTTCACAATTCTTGGAAACTGATTCGAACTTTATGGATGAATATCCTTTTGAAATGTAAATTGTAAATTACCTATTTATTGAATCATGTAAATAATGAAACTGAACTTAATAAAACTGAAGAAAATTTCAGCATCTCATATTTTAAGGAGAATGTGATAGTAGTGTCTATTTATTTCAAATGTTTTTTAAAAAACAAATTAAATGGATCACAATTTTAACCATAAGCGCACATTTATTTCCTCTGTGGACTAATTAAAATCAGTTAGCGGATGAATTGATGAGAGGACATTAAACAGCCATCTTCCTCGCCAAAATTCAAATCAAAAAAATGGATTCATTAGAGTTTTCACCATTTAGTCCTTCATCGTGTCTTTCTCTGGGAGGAGAGGTAATACAAACGTCAACAACAAACACTGCAACAAGTAGTAACAGTCATGATTCACCATCAAAACTATCAATCGAAGAAGAAAAAGAAATTGATGTGGATAATAGTGATAAGGGAGGAAAACATCCGATTGCATGTGCTCGTTGTAGAAAACTGCACAAAAAGGTATGTGATGCTTCTTTGCTTTCTGGTGGTAATCAATAATAATTTAGTGTGACAAAAAGTTGACTGGTTGTTCGAAATGTGCAAATGCAGGAGTTGATTGTGTGGTAAGTGAATGAAAGCAATTTTCATTAATTTTCTTGAATAATATTCGAAATAGTATAAAACTCCTCAAAAGAGAGGAAAAGGAGCTGAGCTTTATGCTCAAAATCCATCAAAAAAGAAAAAGAAATCATCAGAATCAATCTCTTTACCTTCAACAGAAATTCAATTGGAAAAGAAGGGTGTCTTGACAGGAATTACAATGACTGATGTGTATTTTACCTTTGTTTGTGGAATTCATCCAATGATTGAAAAGGAAAAATTGAAATATTTTGTAAATAATTGTCTTTATCAATTTGAAAACAAATCAACAGGAGAGGAATTAATACTGGAAGATAATATTTGGATCAAATCAATTGGAGAAATGAAATGTTTATATGCTTTATATTTAGCATTGATGAGCGTATCATCTCAAATTGTTGCAGATTTGGAAACAGTTGACAAATGCTTGAGGAAGGCAGAGATAGAGGTTGCTCTCCTTTCAATAGATTATTCCACAGAGTTTTACTGGGCTGTTGCTTGTCATTATATTAATGTTGCTTACATTGGAGATGGGGATCAGTACAAATCGAGGTATTACCTTTCCAAAGTGAATTTTTATCTTGAGAATCATTCAGAAAATTCGAATCCATTTTACAGAGTTCTCTACACACACAGTGGAGTTATTTCTTCGAGATTTAGGAATGAAACATTCTCTTTACAGACACTGCTGAATGGAACAAAGAATATGTTTGAATATTTCACGAATCGTAAAGTGGAAGATGTGTTTCTTCCAGGAACGTGGGAATACATGATGAATACGAAAATATCTCAACAAAATTATTTACTATTCAAACAGGTTTCTGATTACATTTTCAAAGTGATTGGAGAACACAAATTTCAAGCTCAACGAAGTTTGACAGATTGTCACAGCACTGAATATTTCAAAATTCAGAGATTATTCACATGCATGTTAACAGAGGGTTTTTCATTCATGTTCATGAAACAAATTCCTGAGATTAGTTTCAATGTAATGGAAGAAATTGCATTGAAAATTACTCTAATGACAGAAAATGAAATGTTTCCATTCCTAGTTCTTGGAACAATCAATATAGTTGTGGAAACAACTGAATTCCATCTTGGTATTTGTAAAAAGATTGATCTAGGACTTAAACCAAAGCTGGGAACTGTCAGAACATCCCCATCTAAATCAGTGACTTTTGATTATTTCTCAATTTTAGAAAAAGATTTGAGAGCTCTCAAAATATTGGCAGCTCGATATAGAAGAGTTATGAAACTATATCCAAATTTAATTAGTGACATAACCGAACTTATAGAACGAAACAAAATGAAAGATCAAGTTTCATCTACTTTACTTTCCGTATCTGAAATACCTCCATTCTTTGCTCCACCACAACAAGATGAAATTCTGAGAAAGCAATTGGAACAAGCATTCAAAAGGCCAGAGGATGTTGATTCTTATTTTGCTGAGCAATCACTAGGGGATTGGGAAGAATTATTCAATTTTTAATAAAATATTTAGAAAACTTTGAAATCAAATATTTTAACAAATTCCATATTTAGAAAATTTAGAAATTACAATTTTTTTATTATTTATTTGAAAACAAGAACAACATTCTTTTCTGCAAAACCACAGTAAAGTTCTCCAGTAGCACTGTCCAAAGCAATTACCATTCCACTTCCAGCATGATATAAACCAAACTTGTAAGGACTATTCTCATTCATGAAAGAAGTGAGACAGGTTCCATCTTCCTTCATAGAATCAATACCATATTGAACACAATAAATCTTATTAGTATTTGGTTCAAATTGTGGACATTTTTGAGTGTAGGTTCTTTGCTTGTCAAATTTCTTTAAGATTTTTCCATTCTTGTTAGTTACCAAGATGGTATCTTCATTGATAAGGACAAGTTCGTTATTGACATTAATACCCATACAATCAATTCTGCTCAATCCAAAAACATTGTTTCCTTGAATGTTTTGTCTCAAAGTCTTGATAATTTTACCAGTGTCAGGTGACAAAAAGTCAACTCCTCCATTTTGAGCAATGTAAATAGTACCATCAACCTTATCAACAGCCATACTATAAATCATACCAGTGCCATCATTTTCCCAGAATACCATCTTACCATTTCTAGAAATTTTCACAATGGTTGATGCACAACATCTGTCAATAACATAAACAAGTGCCTTATCCTTGGTATCATAACAGAGATGCATATTATCTCTGTCTTGAGGTTCCTTGAAGTGATTCTTCAACATTTTAGTCTTTAAATCAAATTCAAAGAAAGTCCAACGATCAGCAACGAAAATGGTACGATTGACTGGATCAATTGCAAGACCAGCAACTCCAGCAAATTCAAAATTAAAATCTTCATTCTCACCCAAAGTACCAATATGATTATAATTTCCACTGAATGGAACAAAACCACCAGAAGAAGCAGCAACAGATGAACCAGAACCACCAGAGGAAGAACCTGCACTAGTCAACTCTGAAACATCATTAACATGAGATTTGGTCTTGTTTGATGAATTGTGCAATTTCAAGTGATTTTCACACATGTGAGCATTACATTGTTTACAATGATGAGTTGCCAAAACTTTCTCTTCATCATCAGTCAAACACTTGTCACAATTCTTTGCAGCAGAAACTTGACTTTCAATTGGAACCACTGAAGAAGCATGTGATTTAGTCTTATTGGAAGTATTGTGAAGATTCAAGTGGTTTTCACAAAAGCACATATTACAGCTAGGACAGGAATGAGTAGCTGGAATAGTTTCGTCTTCATCCTTTAAACATTTATCACAGTTTCGAATAGTGGATGCTGCAGATAATTCAACAAGATCACTAACGTGTGATTTAGTCTTGTTTGAAGTATTGTGAAGATTTAAGTGATTATCACAATAGTTCATTTTACATTGCTTGCAGTTGTGAGTTGCAGGCACAGTTTCGTTTTCGTCCTTCAAACATTTATCGCAATTGACAACTTTCATGTTTAGTTTCTGATATTTTTTAAAGTTTTTGATTTGTGTTTAAAGAGATGTGTTTGCTCACTTTTATACTTGGTTGAGAACCGCCCTCACACTCTCGACCTTTCAATTCTGAGCAAGTTTCGAATAGTTTCATTAAGAGACAATTTTTTGCCTACCAGTTTAAAAAGACAACCCAATGAACATGTCGAGAACACAACAAGGAAGAGAGCTTTTTTGGAAAGGGTGATATTGCGTTTTACACATGAGTAAACTTTCGAGAGTTTTTTTGAACTAATTGCTGAAGTTTCGCATAAATTAAAAAAATAGAGAAACGTTTCAGATGGCAAACTTTTCATTTAGTTTGAATGGTGTATTGAACAATCTACCAAGCTCCTTGTCATCCATTGGATACAAGGCTAAGAATGCACTCAGTAGAAAGTTAAAAAGTTCAAACGAAGGTAAACGAAACCCACATGCACCTTCAGATAACGATTTTGATGAAAATGACTCATCAAATAATAACAATAATAAGAAACCATCCTCTTCATCATCCAACAGATTGGATAATTCATCATCTTCAAAGGCAACTATCAAATCGTCCAATAAGAAACCAAGAGTAAAGAAACCGAAAGTTGAAGTCAAGTATTGTGATAAATGCTTGAAAGATGAAGAAGAAAAAGTCCAAGCCACTCATTATTGCTCTGGTTGTTCCATGAATTATTGTGAAGCACACATAAATCTTCACAATTCGGCCAACAAGACGAAAGGTCATGCCGAAAGTGGTCAAGTTTCAAGTCTAGCTGCTGCACATGTTCCACTTGCTCTCTTACCAGACTTGCAACAAATTTGTGTGCTTCCCAATCCAGATAGCCCATTTTCATGCACAATTGACCATGGTTATGGTTCTCTATTCGTTCTTGATGGAGATATGTTTATGGAATATGATTTAACAACTAAAGAATTGGTAAATCATTTCAGAGAACCTCAAGAAAGACGTGCAGTTCGTGTCTGTTACGATTCCAATGATGATACTCTCATTTATGTACTTGACAGATGTGCTTCACATGATATTGTAAAAACTTCAAGAGATGGAAAGATGATTCATTGGCAATTGGATGATCAATCACCAATTCGTGATATGAGTGTCGATCCAATTGATGGAACTATTTATACAGTTCAAAATGATGGAATTGTTTGTGTGAAGGATGGAAAAGTTTCGTCCACATTGAGAGAAAACATTAATGGAAATAACATGTTTGTGGACACCTATGACAATATTTGTGGAGTGACAACTAATCATGAAAATAACTTGATAGTTGTTTCGAATAGATATATTATTACTTGTAATAAGAAGGGAAAGATATTTAGCAAAGTTGAAAAGGTCAGTTCTGGTGCAAGTAAGAGAATTCATTTGGATCCAAGTGGAGAACACATGTACTTTATTGGAGACAGTGGAATTGAGTCAACCAAATTGAATGGAACTTGTCGTACAGAATTTAGAAATGACAAGGTTGACTATGATCATAAATTTGAAGTTTCTAGAGGAGAAGGAATAGACATGGCCATTGATTTCACATCTGGAGAAGTTTATGTTGTCAATCCTCACAAATCAAAAGTTCAAGTATTCAAATAAATGTAATTTTACTCAATTACCACCACCAATTAATTCATATAAATCTACAAGTAGTATCCAATTGCAATAATAAAGAATGACTGAATTGCAATCTCTACTTGAATACTGTGATGTGTAAATATCAAGTAGAGATGGAAGCGGACATTTTATTGTGAAGGCGCACGTATAGTTGGAGATTTTCAAACAATTTCCCACGTTATGAAAAAAAATGGTTGAGGATTCAACAGAGATGGTATTAAACAATTCCTCATCAGAATCATCGGAGGGAAAACATTCTATTGCATGTGCTCGTTGTAGAAAATTGCACAAAAAGGTATGTGATGCTTCTTTGCTATCAGTTGATAATAATTGTAAACTGTATTTTAGTGTGACAAAAAGTTGACTGGTTGTTCGAAATGTGCAAATGCAGGTGTTGATTGTGTGGTAGGTTCCAAATAATACTAATTTCAATTCTAATAGAGTTTAGTATAAAACTCCTCAAAAAAGAGGAAAGGCCTCAGAGCACTATTCTCTACATCCAGCTAAAAGGAAGAAGAAACTTTCAAAATCTTCATCTATTACTGATCAACAAGATAAAGTGCTAACTCCCAATACAATGATTGATGTGTATTTCACATGTGTATGTGGAATTCATCCAATGATTGAAAAGGAAAAATTGAAATATTTTGTAAATACTTGTCTTTATCAATTTGAAAACAAATCAGCAGGAGAGGAATTAATACTGGAAGATAATATTTGGATCAAATCAATTGGAGAAATGAAATGTTTATATGCTTTATATTTAGCATTGATGAGCGTATCATCTCAAATTGTTGCAGATTTGGAAACAGTTGACAAATACTTGAAGAAGGCAGAGATAGAGATTGCAACTATTTCTGTTGAACATTCTACAGAGTTTTACTGGGCTGTTGCATGTCATTACTTATTTATTGGATTTGTTGGTGAAGGAGATCAGTACAAATTGGGATATTACCTTGCTAAAGTGAACTATTTCATTGAAAGTCAATCAGAAACTTGTACGAATCCATTTTTAAAAATTTTGTGTGCAAATTCTAATTTAATTTCATCACGATACAAGACTGAAATATTTACTTTACAGACATTGTTGGAGGGAACGAGGAATATGTTTCATTTCTTTACTAATCGTAAAGTGGAGGATGTGCTTCTTCCAGGAACATGGGATTACATGATGAATACGAAACTATCTCAACAAAACTATTTACTTTTCAAGCAGGTGTTAGATTTCATTTTCAAAGTGTTTAATCATTGCAAACACGATATCACCAAAAGTGTGAAAGATTGTCATGGTGAGGATTTTTTCAAAATTCAGAGATTGTTTGCATGTTTACTTTCAGAAGGTTTCGCATTCATGTTTATGAAGCAAATTCCTGAGATTAGTTTCAATGTAATGGAAGAAATTGCATTGAAAATTACTCTAATGACTGAACATGAATTGTTTCCTGTTCTATTTCTTGCAACAGTCGGATTTGCTATTGAGGCTGGAGAATTTCATCTCCAAATTTGTAAAGAAATTGAAATGGGGCTCAAACCAAGAACTGGTGCTGTGAAGGGAGTTTCAGGAAGGTTAATTACATTCGATTACTTTTCAATACTTGAAAAAGATTTGAGAGCTCTCAATTTATTGGCGGCTAGATATAGAAGAATCACCAAATTCTATTCGAAACTCATGACTGAAATGAGTCAAATAATTGAGAGAAACAAGACAATAGATATGCTAGTTCATACAATTTCTTATTCTGAAATTCAAACTACAAGTAGTCAACCTCCTCAACAAGATGAAATCCTCAGAAAACAATTAGAGCAAGCAGATTTCGAATCATTTCTAACAGACTATCCGCTAGGTGATGAATTGTGAGTTAACATTTCACATACTACCCACAAAAGCTAGCTCTGGATTAAATATATTTTATTCAATTCAGGTTTTTGATGTTTCTATGAAAGTTTCGTCTAAGTGCCGAAACATCCAATATTAATACAAGAATTCTGCAAACAATGGCAAGTGATCAGAGCCATGATCTTCATCAGGAATACTTGATTTTGGAACGAATTCCAAACAAGGTCCACTATCTTTCACTTGCAAACTTGGAGAATGCCATATGTAATCAACTATTGAATTTCTACCAGTCGTTCCACAACAAGTCCAAAACTCCTGAACTGTATCATGACTCTTTTGCAGTGGAATACTTTCACAAGCTTCAATTAATTGTATTGGTTTCTCGTGTGGACTTGTATTGAAATCTCCAAACCAAATAATACTTGTCTTTTGAGGATCAGCAATTTTTCCAATTTGATTCAAAATTTCATTCACTTGTTTTTCTCTTGGGCCAGTATCACGAGGTTGGAATGTCAAATGACAATTTATAATACAGAAGAATCGACCTTTCACTCTATCCCTTGCAATAACGTATTGAAATACTTCAGGATACTCCTTCACTAAGGTCTTTTCTCCCTTATTGAATATTTCAAATTTGGTATTTCTAATAGCAAGTATCAAGCCGTCCTTCTTTGGATAATTCTTATACGAATGGTAAACTGAAAATCCTTCTTGTTCCAGAAAGAATTGAATTTGAGAAGCATGTTGATTATCAATTTCTTGTAGACCAATTATATCAAATCTTCTCTCCTTCAAGACGGAAAATATTTTATACTTTCGTATTTCCCAATCCAGATATTTCTGATTGGTAATATTCGAATATCTACTCAAAGAAATGTAACATTGTGCCAAAATATTATAGGAACAGACCAGAATAGTTGGTGGAGGAAAGGACAGATTAGTTTGTGGTAGATTTTCTGATCTTGATCCAATGATGACCTGATTATTCTGGACTGGAGAAACATGAAAATGTTGAAATTGCTTTCCAGAATTTTGAGGATTGTAAAAATTTTGAGGAGGATAATTTTGAATTGCTTGATTTGGATAATTTGCAATTGGTTGTAAAATTTTGGGATTTGCATATTGAATTGGAGGAGGTTGATTTTGTTGGTGGTGTTGTTGATGACTATTAGAAACTGAACTAGTTCCTTTCTGATTATTACCATAATGAGCTTGATAGGTAGTTTGATTTTTGGCAGGTTTTTGACTACTTGACTGATTAGTAGAATCAATCTGCTTCTTCTTCTTCTCATTCACCCCATGACATTCCTTCCACACAGGTTCATCACTTCCATGTATAAAACAATATCTATGCCATCTTTCCTTATTATAGCATTTTTCACCATATTTGCACGGATGATGAAACTTGAATTTGTGTGAAAATTCCTTATTTTCATCCAGTAATGATTTACAATTTAGTCCATACTTGCACGGATGATAAAATTGAAAATTATGATTGGAATCATTGGTGAGTTTACAATTTTCCCAATTTGGACATCTCAAAGAAACTAATTGTTCATCATCAATCCCTTGAATTACATTCGAAACATCTGAAAAAAAGTGTTTGGCCTTTCGAATAATTTCTTTCGAAAAATTAGTTTCATGTTTAAAAGTTAAATTGTGTTTCTTATTGGTGAGGAGAGAACAATCCTTCCCGAATGGACAGGTATGGATGAAATAATGTGTATGATTGGAGTCAAATAGATTATAACAATTTTCATCGTATTGACAAACTGTAAGTTTTGATGACATTTTTTTTGACAAGTGAATTCTGACAGATAAAAAATGGTAGCATCAAGCGAAGAAGAACACGATCAGGAAACATCAACAACAGCTGCATCACTTTCGATATCAAGTGTTGTTGGTGGAATTAAAAATTTACTTGGTGAATTATTTGACAAGGCATCAACTGAAGAAATTGATCATGTAATTGCATTGACAGGATTTAATGCATTGAAAGCTTATACATGTTTATTGGAAAAGTATCCTCCACCTACTGTTCCGGTGTCAAATGTTGTGGAACAGCAGCCATCTGTCAGTAGTCAAAATATTCCCCTGACACAACAATATTTTCAACCATCACAATTACCAATTCAACATGTTCATCAAAATATTGATCCGATGATGATGAGCCAATTTATGATGCAAAATCAATTTATGCCTGTCGGATGTCAACAATTCAATCAAATTCCTCAATTTCAACAACAGCAACCTATGAATCAATCTACATGTATTTTGATGAATGATGGAATGGGAAGACAATATTATATGATTTCTGATCCAAGTCAAATGTCAAGTAATAATTCAATGATGGTCAGCAGTGGAATTACAACTTCCAACCCAACTCCTCAACCATCTTCTACATCAATTACAGCATCTACTTCAATTGCAACTCAAACATCTACTTCTAATACACCTGCCACATCAACGCAACCTGCCACCACTCATGTCACCATTGACAAGAAGAAGAAATGTAAAGATTGGGACAAATGTACTCAAACTGGCGACCAAACACACGTTGAGAAATTCTTCCATCCATGCAGAAATGGATCTCATTGCAAGAATATTGAAAATGTCATTCATCAAAATAGATTTGTTCATCCTTGTAAAGATGGAAAGCAATGTAAGAAGAAGGATGATAATTTACACAATATTATGTTTACTCATAAATAAAATCAATGCTTTTGCTTGTCAAATTGTGAATTCACTTGTCAAATCATCGTTTTACCTGTCAAAAAAAATGTTACCTTATCGTCCGCCTATTGTTCAGCCAATTCAACAGTTAATTCCGGTGTATTCCTACATGCCATCAACTTCATCATCGCCTGCCACTCCAACCAATGATCAATCACATCAATCAACTGCCACAAATCAAAATAATCAGCAAAGTATTTGCAAATTTGGTCCAAATTGTCCCAACTATGACCAATGTACCTCTCTTCATCCATGCCGTTACGGAGAAGATTGCAGAAGAATTTCAAGAGTTGTTAACAAGACTCAGAAATTACAAGACATTGTTCACTGTTCCAAATGTTTCCATATTTGTAAATGGGGTGAGAAGTGCAAATATTTGAATGATGAAGAACATGTAAATATGTTTCTTCACACGTGTACTAAATCAAATTGTAAAGATGAAGTTCACAAAGAGAGATTTAGACATAAATGCAAATATGGAAAAAATTGTCGTTCCTTAGATGGAAAATATGAAAATTGGGAACATTATGTCAAGTTTATTCATCCTAGGACTAATGGAGTTATGAGACATGTAGAAAAACAAATGTATTATCTATTTTCTGAAATATCTAATGATGAAAGCAATTCAAAAACTGCTCAATCTGACATTCCTGGTTTGACACTTGTAAAGAAGAGTACACTCAAACCACAAGTGAAAGATAGAAAACGATCTGCCAAATGTGAAATTTCCACAATCGATGGTAAATCCACAGAGTATTATTTCATTGGGTATGAGAAGGGTGCTGGAAATTCGTCAACTTCAAAAGTCGTTTGTTTTAAAGAGACTGGAAAGGGAGTTTTTGAAGGTCATATTAAGGTAGTTGCAGAATCTAGTTGTGTATTTGATGGAAATGCAAAGATTGAACAACCTTGGTATCATTCAAAAGTTAATGTTTATAGAAATACTGTCATTAGTCAAGTATTTGATGAAATTTTGAAACAAGGTTTGAATGGAGTGAGCCCAAATGCTACCTATATCGATGTTATGAAATACATGATAGAACAGCATGATATTCCAATATTTATTGTTGGAGGAGCTGTCAGAGATGTCATTCGAGAAGTGATTGTTGAAAAAAAGACCAATGCCTTACAAATTATGAATAATATTAAGGATATTGATATTGGATTTGGTTGTGATCCACAGACATTTCATGGACGCCTCACTCGAAAATATAAATCAGGTGTTCCAATTCCTGGACCTCGTGGACTAGTTCAAGTAGGAAGCTCCAATGGTTCTGATCTATTCCTGGAAGGTAAAGCCATTAATGGTTTAAATAATGATAATAAGAGTGTGAAAGCACAAATTGCTCAATGTTATGGAACTAATCTGAGAGGAGAAAACATTTGTAGAGATTTCACATGTAATTCTCTTTGGTATGATCCAATCAATAAGTGCATTATTGATACTATTGGAAATGGGCAAGGAATTAAGGACGTAATTTCAAAAAATTTACGAATTCCTGTAAAACCAAGAGATTGGGAATTTTGGGTTTCTGGCAATCCAACAAAGTTGATGAGATTTTACAAATTCCTTTTGAAGGGATATTCTGCAGATGCCAAAACTAAATCATTCATAATTGAACAAGTTAAAAGTGGTAAATTTATTAGTGATATGGAAATTAGAACTCAATACACAAAAGGAATTGGAAAAGCCAACAAAGCAAGGTTGGAGAATTTGTTGAGAAGTGATTTTGGTGATCAGTTTTACAATAATTATTTCGCTAATCATATTAAATAACTAATGTAAATCAAAATTCAACACTTTTTAGGTCATTAACTTTTAATTTTTTCTATTCCTTTTTGGTTTAGAAACAAATGTTGGGACTCTTGTGAGTGATTGTTTTTCATATTCAAACTCTATCGCGGAAAAATGGTTATATTGTTCACCAAAGTATCCTCTAGCTTCTTGGTTTCCATTTTTAGCAGCTTTCAACAACCAGAGTGTTCCTTGTGTTACATCTGTTTCACATAATAACTTTCCCAACGCCAACTCTGCATCTGAATTTTGTTGTTGAGCAGCTTTGAGCAACCATGAATGTGCAAGCTTAATGTTTTTCGGGACAACCTTATCAAGTCCATACATATAAATCATTCCAAGAGAATATTGTGCATTTGAATTTCCTTGATTAGCAGATTTGCAATACCACTCAAAAGCAAGTGAATAATTGGGTGTTTGGATGATATTAAGTGTATGATGATAAATGCAAGCTACTTCATATTGGGCTTCATTATTTCCAAGTTCAGCAGCTTTTTGATAGTAATCCCATGCTTTTTGATTATCCTTTAATTCTTTATAGAGATATCCTAAACGAAAGAGTGCTTCTGAATTCTTCACATCAGATTCTACTGCTTTTAGATACCATATAATGGCCTCATGTTTATCCAATAAAACACCATCACCCAGCTCATACATTTCTCCAATATCATATTGTGAATCAGAATCATTGAATTTTGTAGATGCTTCCAAATACAATTCGTGTGCTTCTTGATAATTACCCTTATTAAAAAACATTCTAGCCACATTTCTAAGAGCTTCAATATGCGTACTTATTATTTCAGCTTCTCTAAAAATAAGTTTTCTATATTCTTCATCAATTTCCATTCTTTTTAAATTCATATTATTACCTAATATAATGTGTTCGCCAGAAACTAAGATATCTGTAGTAATAGTAGAAAGCTTTTGCTTGGATAAATCGAGTGCTTTTTGGTAAAGTTTAAATGCCAACAATTCATTACTTGATATTCCATTATCACCATCTTCAAGCATTGATGCAACATAATTAATGGCAGGAATATAGTTACTATCATATACTTTCTTAAATAGCTCAAAAGTTTCGGTATTGTTTGTTTTGGAATAATGAATAGCTTGTTGGAATAATTTCTCCCCTTTATCATTACTAACTTCCAAAATCATATCCAATTGACTTGCAGAATATAAAACTCCATATTCCACGCCTTCCATTTCTAAAGTATTAACGTTCATCTCATATTGGTTTCTTCTTTGAGCATCTTCTATAAAATAAGAAATCAATTTTCTTTTTTGAGAATCATTATTTAACACTAAAGAGTAGAGAGTGTAATTATTTTGCTCTGATTTCTCCATTTCTAAAATGTGAGAGGAGAAGTTTGGGATTAGAATAAATCTGCTTTTGTCTTTGATTAAATGGCCCATTTTTAAACCAAATTGTGTGACAGATTTTAGAGAGGAATTTAGAGAAATAATATGCACCTCCTTGTCCTTAAGAAATAATACAAAAAATCTCCAAAAAAGGTCCATCATTTCCGAGACCATTTGAACTCGCTGTTTCTTTTTGTTAATCTGTTTGAAAATAGTTTGAAATAATTCCTTATAAATATCTTCCATCCTTTTTTGATAATCATTTGGTTTCGTGTTGTTTTTGAAAATATTTGCTATCTTGTACTTGATAAATGTGATTAAATGTTGTCTGTCATCTACACGTGCTATTTGAGAATTTGGGTCTTTAAACTCTAATTTTTGAGAAACTAACAATTGCATACTATCATATAATTTACCAACTAGAGAAACACTGCGCCTCAATGGACCATGTTTGTTCTTGTGGTAGTGTGGAAAGCCAGGGAATTTTTCAAGTAGTTCTAAATCTTGTGCATTTACAGCAACACTGTAGTTGCCTTTTTTGGGAGCGTCGATAGCCCTGTTGATGAGAGTACATAATCTTTCCATGTTATTCCAGTATTTTCGTGACCATTGATTTCCATAAAAATCAGCAAACAAATGACGAATTCCAATCAAGTCTTTGAATATATCAGGATCGAATGATCGTGTCTCATTGTAGTCGTCATCAAAAGATCCTGGATCGAACTCTACTAATGATTCTACTAGTTCGTTATCCCAACATGCAAAATATTGATCTCCATCTAGATCAGATCCTGCAATCATATTTGTTATTGGTCTACTTCCTTTTGTAGGAAAAACAATAACATCGTAAAGAAAATTCAATTCAGGAATGTTGACTGCCTCTAATTTTCTCAGGTCACCACGATGTAAGCATGGCTCTTTAGTGACAATCACAGTATTCTCAATTACATTCTTCTTCTTTGGATCATTTAGAGAGGAAACTTGAATAAATATTTGACCTTCTTTGAGTACTCCGAAAGGATCTGCTATTCCGTACAACCTTCTAGAACTGTAACAAGGAATTCTCAAGGAGAGTATTTGGTTTCTGTAGGGGCCTGTCAGGAAAGCAAGCTTTTTGCTTTTTAGAATGGAAAGAACGTTAAGAGAGGCATAGTCTCCTTGTTTTACGTACTGATCAAAAACCTTGTCAATGTCCGATTCTGAAATATAGTTTTTCATCAAATTTTCAATATGTTTACAGGCCTTTTGGTTTAGTATTTCGAATATCTTTCCTTGTTTTGTTTCATCTTCACACCCTTCTAAAATGTGCATAATTGTCGAATTGATTCTAGCAAAATCACAGGGGCTTGAATAACCTACGATGCATAAATTATTAATTATATCATCATCAGTGTTTGGGTGTTCAATTTTCATCATTGATTTCCTTAGCACTAAATGGTGACCATACACCTTTTCCGCATTTGGATGGATGTAAACCATGCCTTTGGCTCCTCTAAATCTTATTTGGTATGCACAGGGAAGATATTCATTGACTAGAAACTCTACTCCATCATTTTCTTCGTAGATACCATCTTCATCCATCGATTGTTTGCTCTGGTATTTCAATAAATTTTTAGATTTACGAACAATTTCATAAACTTTCATAGCCAATTCAAGAGAAATAAATCCACATCCATCGGTGAAAAGTCCCTCATCATTAATAACAGTGTATTCTGAAACTCCAATAGTAGGAATAACAGGAGTATTAAATAAAGCCAGTCTTAAACTTTGCTTTAATTTGTTATTCTCAAAATAAAGATCCCTGTTCAATGTATCTGGAATGGCCCATGTTTTTACATCATGTATTGATAGGGAAGAATTGTTTGGAAGTTTGGAAAGATCAGGACACATGTAAATAAATCGATAAGAATGCATTCCACTCGTATTTTGACACAGTTTCTGGAATGTAAATCCAGCAATATGTAAAGGCTCTTCTCTTTCTATATATGGCTCTATTAGCCTGAATGATTGGTTATCCATTAACACTCTGCTAATGTGCTTTTGGTCTTTCATTAATTTCAATGTTTCCTCATCGAATTTTCCTTCCTTGAATTGATTTAAATATTGTCTCAATAATACTATATCTCCATGATCCTCTGATTTTGATTCCATAGCCACTTGATCCTTCAATTCAATATTATTTAAAATTTCAGGGTGCTCTCCAGTAGATTCAAGAATCATTTGAGATTTGAAACCCATTCTCAAAAAGCTAAATCCAACATTCAACACTGTATTCACACCAAATTTTTGTCTAAACCTACTCTGTAGCCATCTATCTTGTTGTGAGCTGTTGAATCGAATGGCAAGAATGGGTGATATCTTTGGTTTGTAAAAACAATATAAGGTTGCTGTTCTAGTCCTAAACATTGTCTCTGATTCGTCCAATTCTTCTGTTGTTTGCTTACTTGGAGATGAAAGGTTTAAATTCTGATGATCCTCTTCCTTCTCTGTTATTGTTGCTAACAACCACCGATGAAGAGCCTCTAATCCTATCGGATAGGCAATCACTGCCATCCTAGAAACTCTCTTTAATATTTCATAGCGATCGACGAAGGACATTCCACAATACTTTTCCCCTCTCACATTTTTGAAATTAAATTCCAAATATTTGGTACAATCATCAAAATTTCTAATGATCGGAATGGATTCAATCATGTAATAAGTTGCCAATAAATCCTTTACGTAATTTTCATCTTGTCTATTCATAAACTTTAACTCTTCAAGTTGTTGAATCTTTTCAAGCTTTGAGAACCCAGAAACAAAAGACAATACGGACATTTTTTTCTGGGTTTAAAATCAAAATTGAACTCACAACAAAAACAAGGATTGCAAAGGGTTTAGCATTAAATTTATTGTAAAAACAAATATCAACTTGGAATTACTAGATACGTGTACCAATTCTCTGATCTACCTTTTATGAGATTAGCTGTCTATGAACTCTCTCAAATCTAAATCAGTAATTACCACCAAAATACTATGTCAGTATTAGTCTGTTTGGAAAATTCATCACTAATTTTGTTTCCACTCACGTCTAATAATTGTAAATTCTTCATTTGTGTGATTGCCTTAAGTCCTTCATCCGTTATTTCATTGTTATTTACATATAAAATAGATAATTTCTCTAATTCACTAATGTAGTGTGCTCCTTCGTCTTGAATATCATTGAGTGAAATATCTAGTTCAGTTACGCGTTGCATTTTGCTGATAAATTTTGCTCCAGTTGGGCCAATTTCGCAATTATTGATCAAAAGTGTTGTCAATTGTTCAAGTTCACCGATTGATTCTGCTCCTTGTTGTCCAATTAAATTGAAACCAACATTGATAAATGTCAAGCCTTTCAGTTGGCTAATTGAATTGGCTCCTTCCTCTCCAATTCCATTACTACTAACATCTAGTTTGGTTAAATTCTTCATATGGCTTATTGAATACATTCCTTCATCACCAATGTTATTGCTGCCAATGAAAAGCTCTCTTAATTGATCTAATTGTGCAATGAGTTCTGCTCCTTGTATTCCAAGATCATTATCATTAATTCTGAGAGAGGTTAAATTTCTCATCCCACTAACTACCTCCACATCCAAACATTTGAGCTTAGTGTATGACATGTCCAGAATAGTCAATTGCTTCATATCTTTAATTTTACAAACTGATTCAAAACTAAATCTATTTCCAGAAACATTAAGTTCTTTCAATTGCTTCATTTGTGAAATTACACTGATTTCTCTATCAGAAATTTTACAAAACACAACATGAAGCCTCCTTAAATGCTCGCATCGTGCAATGCTCTCTATTGCATCAATAGTTATTTCATTCTTGTTATTAATAACAAGAGAATTCAGCCTTTGTGCCATTTCAATTCCATTCCAAAATCTTTCATTCTGAATTCTTGCTCTGACTTCAATATTCGTAAAATATGATAACCATTCAAAATGTTCAATATTAGAATGTCTATTAATTATTACTATTGAAAGAATCGATCGTTCCCTAATTACATTCATCCATTGTTTAGAAATTAATAAACAATTCTTCAATAGGAATTTGTGATCCGCGTCTACAAAGGAGAGAATTTCAAAAATTACATCATCAGAAAATAATTCTTGATGTTGTGATTTGATGCGGGTGGAATCTTCTACGTGATTGTTGAGCATTTTTTTTTAATTTTTTTAAAAAAACATTAATGGAAATTTCAGAGACCAAATAACTTGAACGATCAAAGGCAGAATCTACAACTGAGAATGACTTGGTTTGAGAATCGTATCCAGTGGCCAAAACGAAATGTTCAGTCTTCTTTCCAGGTGGTTTGATTAGTTTCAAGATGACCATTCTTCCTTCACACAAGTTTCGAATAGTTACAGACATGTCAGTGGTTATCCCTGAGAATTTCACACCAAATTGTTTGTTAATGGATGCCCAGATAAATAAGTTTCCATCCTTGAAACCACGATTTTTCTTCAACCATTCGTTCATTTCTTTTGGTGTCCATTCGGTTCTTCCCAAACCTTTCAATCCAGAAGTAATGGCCGAAAGAAGACAACCAGCTTTACAAATTGTTGAACTTCCACTTCCTAATTTGAGAGATCCCCATCTTGTATCACATTGCTTAAAGACTGTGAATTGAGTATGAACATATCCTGGATAACATTCCTTTTTTGGAGGATTAGGTTTTATGGATATTTCTGGTTTTGGAGGAATTGGAATAGGTCTTGGAGATTCTTGTGGAATTGGAACAGGATTAGGTCTAGGAGAAGGTCTAGGATCTGGATGTGGTTTAGGAGAAGGAACTGGTGGCACAGGTTTTGGTGATTCATGTGGCACTGGTGGAACAGGTTTTGGTGAAGGGATTGGATTTGGAGGAATTGGCTTTGGTGAAGGAATTGGAATTGGTGGAGTTGGAGGATTCGGTTGGGGTGGATTTGGAATTGGTGGGACTGGATTTGGACTGGAGGAATTGGAATAGGTCTTGGTCCTCTACAACATGGTCTGGCACAGTTGTTTCCTTGTTGTGGAATTTTCAAATCCAAATTGACATTGACGTTTTGTCTACTTCCTCCATTGGAAGATGCTGAGCTGGAGGAAGAAGCAGAGGCAGATGCAGGTTGTTGGATAATGATTGTTTGAGGAGGTGGTATAATTGGTTTAATCATTGGAACATTGAGAATGATATTTTGAGGAGGGAAGAAACACTTAGGTTTCTTGCAAGGTTTAGTTGGTTTTCTAATTGGTTTCTTACATGGTTTCTTTGGTTTCTTTCCAATCACATGGACAATAAATCCAGGACTCTTGTTATTTCTACACTTGAGTCTTCTAATATTGGATCTAATCTTTCGAGATTTGGACGAAATTCTTTCAGTGTCCAAAGTAATCACTTGGACACTTCTTCTTTCATGATTTGCTGAGTCGCTTGCCAACACAGCAGCACTAAAGAAACAAATTAACAATAGTGTGGCCAACAAGAAAGCTGTTTTCACAATCAAATTGCTGAACATTTTTTTGATGGTTTTGGTCAATTGGCTTGAATCTCCTAGAAGAAATAGGTTTCGAATGGTTGAGTAGTTTCTGATATCATCACAGAAACCTTGACTCACTGATTCCTAGGTCTCTACAGGTATTGCAACTTTACAAAACATGTCAGGTCAAGCTTTGTTCCTGATAGTTCAGGGTTTATGCAAAAAAGGAAATGGAACTTTCGTTTATTCTTTGAAAATTATTGGTTGGAAATATTAGAGCATGTGGACAAACAGCGATTATCATCCCCATCTTCGTTGATAGTTGTCATTGGTGTGGAAGTTTGAATCTGTAGTTGACCTTCCTCAACATTAACTGAACTTGAAATATTACTATTTGCATTATCATGATCAATTAAATGTTTCAATACCACCTTTCTGATTTGGAAGAGCACAAACCATGATAATCTTATCATGACCAATACCAAGGAAATCTTGATAGTTTCTCCTGGTAAGAATGGAACTAAACCCTTCTCAATTCCCTTAGAGAGTCCAAGATTTGGCACTCCGAATGCCAACCATCCACATCCAAATACAAATGTAACAGCATTCGATAGACACAACATGAGGAGATTCATCATGATGGTACGATCTGAAGCCATTTTGGAGCAAAACCAACCACAAATCAGTGCACTAAAGACAAAACCAATGAGGAAACCACTACTACTCGACTGGAACAAGACCAGATTTCCATGTGTTTGATTGGAAAACCAAGGAATATCAAGAACAGAACCACAGAATAAATAGAGGAGAATACTGAGTGGAGCAATGACAAAACCAGTTAAGGAGCCAAGCCACAAGACACCAAAAGTTTGTCCAGTGATTGGAACGGCACTAATGGAGGAAGGGAGTGAAATGGAAATTTGAGCACAAACTCCCATCAAGCATGCTCCAAAGATAACCAACAACATGTTGGAAATGAAGGGAACGACAGCATTGGAAACGATTGTTTTCAAAAGTGGATGGCATGTGCCAAGTTTCAAATGCCACTTTTTTACAAGATCAAATCTTCTCTCACTCTTGATAAGAATGAGATCAAAAACTGAACGCATGAGTGCCATGTATGCATCCAAGAATGAAGGATACCAACTTGGGTTGACCAAGATTTTCACAGGAGGTTCCTCTTCAACCATTGGTGTAGAAGTGCTGCCAATTCTACCAATTGAGTGGTCTTGTCCTCTTCTTCTTCTAATCTGTGATATATTTTCAGATTCAATGGTGAGATGTTGCTGAGAAACTTTATATCCAAGCTTTCTTTCAATTTCCTTGCCCAAATCATCAATTCTGCTTGACGATTCAAATGACTCACCAAGTGGGGACACTACAAGATATTGCATGGTGTTTTTTTTGTATTGTTTTTCTCTCAAGATCTTGTGAGGAGAGAACTCGAAGCTCAATAGAATTTGATTCTTCTAAGTGTTTGGGGAGACCGAAATATTCGGAAGTTTTGAAAAGATCCGTTTAATGTGTAAGCAATTCTGAACCTTCTTTAAGGATTTTTAATAATCACGAACGACTCCCCGAATACAATATGGTTTCACACATTGTAAATTTAACAGAGTTACGAATATTAAATTATAATTAATCTAATTAATAATAAAGCATCAATATATTGCTAACTAGATTGCTAATCAATCATGCATGGATTTGAAACTAGATCCAATATCTATCACGTAAATATTCAAAACTCATTAATAAAACATGAATTGTTTAATAACGTGAGGTGGTGAAGCCATCATCCTCATTGAGCATTCTAAGCTTGTACTTTTGATATTCTTTTCCCATTTTGAATCTAGTGTAGGTATCTTTCATGACATGTTCAATTTCTGTGAGTGCTTCCTTGTAGAGGAGTACTACATTGGCAACATTATCAAAATCAGTGTCAAATTCATCTTTGAATTTGGCCAATAATTTGCTTGGAAGATTTAACTGGTAGACTGAAGTGGATGGAATGAATAATTGGTAGAGTTTCAGAGCTAGGGCTCTTTGTTCTTCTTCTGATAAAAAGATTGAATTCAAAAATTTCAAAACTTCCTCATAAAAGATAATATTCTCTTGTGAATATTCATCTTTGGAGAAGGTTTTGAATTGTTCTCTCATGTAGGTGTCTCTTAAAAATTCTGAGAGTGAGGATCTACGAGATGTGGAAGGAAGATCAGCAGATGGAGTTTTTTTAGCAAAACTGAATCTTCTTGGAGATTCGAATAACTCTTCATCTGAATCTTTAGAGTTAGGGATTGGGTTTTCATTTCTGTTAAGTACAGAAAATTGGATTTCAAATGGTTCACTAATTTCAACAACTGTTGATTTTGCAGAATTAATTTCTGATTCGTGATTCATTAGATTGTTAAAATTCAACTTTGGAATAATGAGCTGATTGAGCATAAGGGTATTTCTTCTACTCTTTCGGTTAATGTTGAATGAATGGGATTTGTTAGGAGGTGTTAAATTATCCACAATGGGACTACTTGAGCTAGAACTAGTACTAGCTCTGGCTGATCTGATATAACCAATTGGGAGTTCATGTTCATCATATTCATCTTCACTTTCCTCTGCTTCTTTAACTTCTTTACTTTCGTGAACTTTCTTCAAGTTAAGTGATAAGGCAAGTGAAATTGACTTTCTGAAAGAATTGGAATGTGAACTATTAGCTTCCAATTTGGAAGTTGGGGTTGATGGTGTTTGGATTTTGGCCGAGTAATCATTTCTAAAATCAGACTCTGCTTGTTTCAAATTTTTACAAAGTCCATAAAATGAATTATTGGAATCTTTGAATTGTTTCTTGTGAGTCATGTGGAAAATAAATTTGTAATTCAACAAGATTTGACAAAAGCATTGACTGAATAGTCTAATCTCATCGGATTGAGAAAGTCCAAACCCATTATTTGACTCCACAATTGTCTCTGCCTTAATGATCTGACTAATCAATAATGTTGAATCCTTTCCTGTGAAACTTTCCTTAAAAGACTTGAGTAAATATCTATTATCTTTCACTGAAATTTCAGAGTGGAATTGTTTAGCAAGGTCAATAATAAATTCCACGGAAAGAACCTTCTTTGATAGGCAAAAATCCACAAAGCTAGTCAAATGGTTTCTCTTTCTTTTCAATAATTGATTGGATGAATGTTTTCTTGGTGAAAGAGGTGTCATTGGACTTGTCATTGGTGACTCAACAATCAATGGATTACTGGCAGATGATTTTGGAGAAGTATTTGGAGATGAGAAGAGAGAATCGTCATCATCCTTCAAATAACCACAAAAATCCTCATAAAATCTCACAAGACAATTATGATGACTTGTTGATTGGTCGATCAAATCTGTCAATTTTGTAACAACTGACAATTCATTGGTTGCAGAGTCCTGAGCAGGATCTTCCTCATGCATTTGTGTTCCGTTATTCTTGTTTTTGTTCATTCTCTGTATCACTGTGATTGCAAAATTGTGATATCGTTAGGAAGGAAAAATTGTTGTAATCTAAATTTTGTTGATGATTATAATCCCTCGGCTTAGAAGGGTTTATTATTCGAAACTTACGTTAGTGTTGTGTGGTTTGCTGTGTGTGTGGATCAGAAACAAATGGTCTCGAAAGACTCTTTTGTTGTTGTGTGAGGAGTGAGAGGGAGGTTTGTGGTGTTTTTTTTCAAAATCAAAAAACGTTTCGATGAAAAAACATGTGAAATTCATGCTTGGGTGAATGTTGATGATTAATGTGATGTTTTTGAAAGTTATGCATGAAGACGAAAGGACCAAATCACCGGACTCTTGGAGTTAATTAAACATTTGGAAAGTAGCAACAAGCATTATTGTGCAAATGGCCGAAATGTTTAGAATAATACATAAGAATTTATCCTCTTACTTCATTTCTAATGAGTACTTTCAAATATTACTTTGGGTTTCTTAGATTTTGATTGTACATAAAGGATGCCATCTGTATCAAGTCCAAACGTGAGTGAAATATTACTAGAAGATAACTCTGTTATCTCAGTAATCTTTACAATTCCAATCAGCTCATTATCACTTGCTTTTTTCGAATCACCTTCATATATTTTGAGTGAAACTGCTTTCTTTTGATTGTTTGGATTTGGCGGGAGGGAGAATTCTCTTTCTGAACTACAGGGAATGGAATTGTCCTTTTTAAGGAGTATCATTAAATCTCCTCCTATACTAATCTCACATCCAATGTTTCGGCTTGTAACTTCAATGAGGAGAAGATCTTTTTCAAAATTTGCTAATATACCACCTTGGATAGCAGCTCCAAAAACAACTGGATTTGGATAAATAGGTCTTGGATGGATGGATTTACAAAAATAGGTTGTAATGAGTTGTTTTAGTTTTGGTATTTCACATCCTCCTCCAATAATTATTGCATCGGCTATTTCTTCCTTGGAACAATTTGCTCTTCGAATGACCTTATCAGCAAGGGATAAACATTTTGAAAAGAAATCAGTATTCAAATCCTCAAATTTAGAACGAGTTAGCACAATCTCAAAATCAATTCCATCCATTAGTGATTTGATAGATAGTTGTGTTTGCAATTCAGTAGATAATTTCTTCTTGGCTTCCTCGCATGCAACTTGCATCTTCCTCATTGAAACAGGATTCTCCTGTAGTCGTTTCTTGAATAATTTATAAAATTCCTCACAACAATAGCTCACTAAACTTTCGTCTAGCTTTGCACCACCATGGTTAGGGAGACCATCACTACTTTTTGTATCCACAACTCCATTGTCCACCAAGAACACTGAAGCAGAGCATCCTGACCTTCCCAAATCAAATACGAAAACCCTCTTTTCCCCTCTGTATTTCCAAATATACTGGAAGCAAGCTGCAGATGTATCATGAACGAGTCTACTGTTTGTCACTCCAATACTTTCCACGACTTTCTTCATTTCAATTCTCTGATGATTCGAAAAGTAATTCGGAATTGAAACCACCAAATCCGTCACTGCTCGTTTCAAATATCTTTCAGCATCCTCCTTCAATTGTTTAAGAATTAATCCAATCATTTCATTAACAGATATTTCCTCATACTCCTCCTCTTTACAAACACTCAAACGAATTGTCTTGTCCTGCTTTCTAATAATTCTGAATGGCCACTCATTACTTTTCAATATTAATTCGTCATCTTCATCATCACAAGCCTTTCCAATTAATTGTTTAAAATCCCAGAATAAACAATATGGATCCTCCGATTTACTATAAAACTCCAAAGCCTCCTCTCCAATTAATATTCTACTATTACTCATAGATGAGTCATCCAATAATGAAGAGGAAGAAACAAAGGCTATACACGTTGGAGTTTCATAATTTCCCAATTTATTTGGAATGTATTCAACATGATCTTCGAGATAGACAGCCACTCGACAATGTGATCCTCCGAAATCAATGGCAACAATTCCGTGATTGAGATGAGAAAACATTTTTTTTAATGGTTGATCCAATTTTAAAAGTTTACAATTTTAAATAATTTAATTGTTTGTGATATATGATGATACTAAATTCTGATGATTGTAAGAATGCATTCATTTTGTATTGATATTAAAGAAAATTTTTAATAATTAAGTGTTGTAAACAACTGATACCAAAATGGATTGGAACTAACTTTGGGAATTTTAATTTACGCATGAATTTCACAATTCAAGGTTATTTGCATCATTTTTCGGTTACTCAGTATTTTATACAATGAATTGTAAAATGATCAAATAGTTTACAATAGCCGATTGCAACTTTGAAATATAACTTCCAAAATGATTTAAAGATGAAAGCAAGCATACACCATGAATCTGTATTATTCAACATCTCTTTCTGAATCTACCATAGAAATCAAGGTCATCACAGGTCTTGCAGGAAGTGACTGATTTCAAGCCTTCTTTAAAACAATCAGAATTAATAATATAATTAAAACATTAATAAACAAAATTATTTTTAATGGAACCAGGTTAGTAATTGTTTGAGATTTCTCTAATTGAGCTGTACCATCGGAACAAAATTCGAACATTTATTCTCCAAAAAGAAAATGAAATTCGAAACAATAGACACAGCTCAATGATTATATAATGTACAAATTGATGCAGATAATATACAATTCATCTATTCATCGTCTTCTCTAATATCATTCAATTCCTTTCCTCTAACCTTGTTGATAATAATTTTCATAATCATGGAGAACCAGAAAATGTGTAAGGATACAAGAACAACCAAAAGAGAGATGAGTGACCAGAAACTACTAATGCAATATTTGAAGAGGCAACCTCCATAATTTGTAACTTCAAGAAGAGAGTTAGCATTTTCAACATATCTGAAAATGTAATATCTTTGAGGATAGTCCCAACTGTTTGTTACAAAGAACAAGGCGTTAATGATGAGGTATGGCAAATATACTAATCTCAAAATTAAGAAGGATACTACAAATCCAACAAATAACATTTCACAAATCTTTTCCTGTTTGAAAAGTTTGAGTGTTTTGGCACTATAGAGAAAGACGTCAACAACATCGTGCAAGAGCAAGACCAAAGTACCAATTCTGTGATAGTAGGAAATTACACACCAAACAATAAGGACAATAGTGACAAGGTGGTGAACCAACATTTCAACAAAGTCCTTCATTCTCTCATCGACAAAGAGCAATGTAAAGAGTGCTTGGAAATAGAAACCTGCTCCGACTAACAAGTACATTCTTACGAATGGCGAAATTTCATAGCCAGTTTGTTCTTGTGGGTAGCCAATAACAAGATGTGACAAGTCCCAGAACCACGGAGTCTCCTTCAAAATCAAAAATCCCAAGACGGCCGAAGCAATATAATACAATGAAAACCAGAGATTTTCCATAAGACGTTGTTCATCTTTCAATTGCTTGGAGGCATCTACAGCTTCCTTCTTTTCCTTGTTGCCGTCAGCAGCAGATGAACCAACGGAATAATCTCTCAATTTGAAAATCATACCCTTCACACTCTCACTGTTGAGTATTCTTCTAATACCATACAAGAGAAGAGCACAGAAGAGAACAAATAATGTATCCTCTAAAGTCCAACCAACTCTTCTCCATATTGATGGTGCTGCTTCATTACTTCCCATAAATAAAGGGAATGAATGAGGAGGACCTACGGAGAGATTATAAACGTTGGTGGCTCCATTCGATGTGTACGAATAGATATGACTATTGTTAGAACCCTTGACCCCAAAGAAGTGATCAACAATATGATAAAAGATGGCTGCTGCTTGATTTTGTGAGGATAGACCACCTGAGGCTGCCATATTAGCAGCTGAATTATTTACAGAAAGGACGGAATGGTTGGTGGCAATGATAGAATCATCAGGATAGACCTTCATCATGGTCATTCCTGTTGTACCACTATTGCTAGTATCAATTGTATTCATTATGTGATGATGTTTGATGATGAAGTTGAAAAATACCAAAATTCACTGATGATGAAAACCGAGATCAATGCAATGAAATAATTTGTTGGCACCTATTATAACCCACTAGAAATGTTAAGTAAGTTAACCTTCTTTCAAATTCTCTCTCAAGCCAAAAAGCTCAAAATTTGTATGTTAAATATATATCAATCTACTACAACAGCAAGTATCCACTACTGCTGTTACCTCAAAGTCGTTAGAAAAAGGAAGAATCGAGTTATAATCTACTCTCACTTTACAATACAACACAAAGGAACAACCTGAAAAAGAATTGGCGAAAAATCTGATGGAAGTGAAAAAACACGGGGGTGGAGTGTTGGTGTTTTTTTTTCTACTGGTTTGTGGATGATACTTGGCTCAACGATAACAGGCTGGTTTGATGAGACAATACAAGGGCTGTCTCAAGACTTCGCACAGGTTCGGCCTAGATTGAATATTCACCGTCCTCCACTTGTGAGGTTTTGATGAGTTTGGTGAATCATGCATAGAACATGCATTGCAAGGGAGGGCTTTTAGGGATATAATGTTGGAGTACATTTGCTAATTCGAACAGGGAAGGAAATTGAATGTTGGTGGTATGATTTCTTATCTTGATGATTGAATCGCAAGAGCATTTGATATTAGAAGAGACAATGATGGCCGCCGATATTGCACTAGGAGGATTGGATATATTGTTGTTAACATAAACCTTCACACATGTGTAGGAAGTAATATGAAAATTGAAGGAGATCAATTTCCAATCCAACTCCAATTGGATGTTAGATTCGTTTTCCGAACAAAGAAAGATGACAAACCAAATGGATAAAAAAGAAATTCTTGGACAAATTTGAAAAACTGCAATACTTTACAACGAGTAATGGGTATCGAAGTTGTATTATCATGAATTTTACAACAATACAAAATGTGATGTTGGCGCCAAGTTCAACAGTTTAATTGATGAATACTTTTATGTATTGGTTTAGACTGGTTGTTGTCAGCAAGTTCCCCTTGTTTGGTTTGAACCGCTCAATTTATAATTAAGGCGATTTTCTGCAATATTCCATTTTTGTGCAATTTGTGTATTTCAACATTCCACCTAGTTGATAACATTTAAATATTCAAGTGTAATAACTAAATAAAGAGAATATCTAGATTATTTTATTTAAATATTGGGAGGAAAATAACTTAGGTTTCAAAATTGAAAAGGAAACTAGGCCAGTTCATGGCTGATGGTGTTGAAGGTATATTTAGAGGTGTCTTCTAACTCTTTGAATGGTAATTCAAATAGACGGTTGAGGAAATGTTGTAAATTTTCATTGGATTTTCCTTCAGAATAAATTAGGTTTTCAAAAAGAGACAGAAGAAATTGGAAAGGTGCTTTCAATTCGTCTATCATGTGTTCTTTGGCTAATTGACTTTCAAAAACAATGCAATTTTCACTGATGAGTTGAAGGGATAAAACTTTGAGTGAAATTTCGTAAAGTTTTTCCAATAAATTGTGATCTGAGAGAATGATTTTTGATTTTTCTACGGAAAAGGTTTCTAATATCAATTTTTCAATATATTTCATTATCAGTGACTGTTCAACTATGGAAAGAGACTCGTTATGTGAAAAGAAGGTATTCCTCTTATATTGATATCTTGGAAATGCTATTTGAAGCATATTATACATTCTAAGAGGTATTTCCTTCCATGAATAAAAGTAAATATTTCTCAAGAAAGAGTTACTGTTTCTTGATAGAGCTTTTGGTGGTTCAAAGGCAACGTTGGAGAAGATATTGAGTGTAACAATAGATGGACCAAAATTAGAGATGTGATAGAAAATATCACTGGTTAATTGCATACTATCCAATGTTAACACATTCAATGAGTTGAAAACTAAGCAAATTTGTTGGATGTCTTGATCCACAATAGACCTGGAGTGGATGACTAAACTTCTAATAAGTGGACATTTGATATTTGAGCTCAATTCACTAAATTTCAACCTGTTGGAATTCAATGTCAAGTGGTAGAGAGAAAGCGAATTTTGAAGTTGTGAGAGAAAAGTACCAGTAATGTTATCACTCTTAATAGACAGGTATTGTAACCTTGGGCAACATGTGAGAATCTTACCAAGATCTTCATCATTGACATCTGTTCCTGATCTTATAATTCTCTCTGGCGAGGAATTGGACGAGTTGGAACTACTTCCAAAAGATCCAATTGATGATGGTGGAGATAGAGAACCATCACTTGTACTTGTTCCTGTACTTTCACTTCCAGTGCTAGTACAATCCTCTTCACCTTCACTTTCTTCCTCAATTACCTTGTTGAAGAGAAACTCGTTTGATCTATTAGATACTACTAAATGTTCTACATTTGGACAATTGGAAAGAACTGAGAGGAGTACTGAAGATGGTAAAAATGTTCCTACCAATTTGAGTGTCTTGAGATTATATTTACAGTGTGAAAATGCCTCTAGGAATTGAGTGTAATCAGTCAATAAAATCTTTGATAATTCAATAGATTTCAGATGAACACTTGGGAGACAATATTTAACAATTAAACCATTGTTAAAGTTGTGAATTCTATGCTTGTCATCAAGCCTTATTCTGACACTCTTCAATCTATCCAAAGGTTTGAAAAACTCTTCATTATCGATCAAAGACGCTGATCTGTCAATACTTAAAGTGTTGGTATGTAAATCTATGGCTAAGTGTTCCAAAGCCAAACCGTATGAAAATATATTCACAAATGTCTTGATGGAGCAAGAAACCCCTTCCAATGACAAGTATACAAGAGGTACATTCTTAATTAAAAGGGCTTGCACTAGAGAATCGACAACAACTAAAGAACTGTTATGATTAAAATCAGTAGCATATAACGGGAGAGCCAGTTCGAAATGTTCTAAATCCAAAAGTTTGTTTGTCATGGCATCCATATGAGACATGTTAATAGAATTAACAGGTGGTCGACTAATTTTCAACTCTTTCAAATGTGGAAGAAGGTTTTCAGAAATCATTCTCACCACTGAACTGGTAGATTTAAAATTTGTAAGCCTGAGACATGTTAATGGAAGAGGTGATTCAGAAATGACTCTCCAACCATCCTTCTCATCACTATTGGATCCATTCTGATGATTAGCATTGTGATTTCTTCTGGTTGGTGACATTAGACCTGATGAGCTGTGAATCTCAAGCTTTTTCAACTTGGAAGCCATGTTAAGAAGTAATGGAATGGATGATTCTTGAAATTGATGACAATCCTTAATCACCACTTGATCCAAATTATTACACTCTGTGAAAATCTTTTCAAAAAAAGGCAATGAGAGGAAATGTTGCTTTACAAACACAACTTTTCTCCATGTGTTTGGTGCTCTTTTTGAAAAGATATCCCTAATAAAGCTTTGCTCGTTCAAACTGATTGGAACATTGGCTGGTATCTCAAAACCACTGGCACACAACTCGCTATCCTGATCAACAGATTGTTTAAACTTTTTACAGATTGGTCTGGCACATGTGAACAAATCATAAGTATCCAAATATTGGAGAATGTATGATAAAATCTCTGGAGCCAGATCACAAATATGATGTGTTATTACAACATTGTGAAGATAACCTCTATTTCTCTTAGAAAATGGAGACTTGGAGATACTAACAGGAGAATATCCATCATAAAAATTTGTTGCTGCATAATCCATATTGGAATCTACTCGAGAATCAGTATTTTGAATTCTCTTTCGAGAAGGAGATGATGAATTTCTCTCAACCTGAGAAGATAAATAAAAAGTGTTATTCTTTTCATTAGATTGATTCACAATGTTGGAATCTGAATTATTACAATCTGAATTTAACTCTGAATTCGAATTGAAATTTCTGATATAAGGAAAATTAAAAGAACGTGTATAATGAGGTTCAAATTGATTGGAATAATTATTATAAATTTGAATAAAATGGTCATCGTATTGCAATTCTTCCCTATGTTGAGAGGTCTGTTGTAGATTCGGCTCGAGAATAGTTTGGAAAGAGGAAGGTCGATTAGCTCTCAACATTTGATTGGAATTTCCATTAATGAATTGTGAATCAATATTTTCATTATCAACTCCATCGTTATGAATAATTTCTGAGGACAAATTATCGCTACCTCCCCTTGAAGTATCATTTTCACTTTGGAATGTCTGAAAATGCATAATATATTGAATATTTCTAAAAAAGGTACAATAGTATTTCAAATAGCTATTGTAAAGCGGATGCTAAATACCTCCTCTATCTATGACAAGTAAACAATGATAAGAATCATCAACATGATGAATTTCCAACTCAAACTTACAAATACGATGATGACCCGTAAATTTCCAACTCCAAAACTTGTTTGTACTAGAGTTTGTTACTACTATTGTAAAATAAGAATGTCCTTCTTCTTCTCATCAACACAATTTATGACCAATTAATGTTGTTGCGGATGTTGTTCTATCAATCCAAAATAATAATAATATTAGCCTCTCTGATGATGCTATTATGCAAAATTCAAGTACAATTTGAATACTGCTTCTTTAAATAAGATGATTGCGTACTAGTGTAATGTTGTTGTTATTGCTATTGTTATTGTTGTTGATAAGAAAGTATGATAATAATATTATAATAATAATAAGAAATCACTCTTGCCACTGTTGGATTTTACGTTTAATTTTTTTCAGTGTTGGAAGTTCCATGATTGGAGCTGGTGATGCGCAAGGCTCTATTCTGTGGTGTTGGAGGTGGGAATCTGGAGTGGAGATTTGTTGAGATTAAATTCTGGTGGTTTCAGGATGAAGGTGAAAAAGAGATTGTACAAGGTTTGAAATTCAGATTATGGTTAATGCTATAATGGACAATCAAAAGTATCATACTAGTGGTGAGATTGGGAGGATTCTTACGAGTTGGATTCTGAATTGGACATTGATTATTTATACACTGAGGAACCTTAGGTTGAACGATTTCTAAGGTTGAAATGCTAACGGTCTAATTGGAAATATTGAGCGACATTGAAAGGGATACCCTTTTAAAATTATTTAGCATTCAAGAATATGTTGTCTATTGTAGAAGTAATCTTGTAAGCCAAGATTTTATTCCTGAGGTTTTTTAATGACAATCTCCTCAATTCTCTTCACAGGTACATAGGAGACAACGCGTCCAACTTCTTGCCAATCTGAGAGAGTTTCCTCCTCTACCTCAAATGTAGTTTTAGGTGGAGCATTGGAGTGAATTGGATCATCCGTCTCTGAATGTGAAAAGGCAAATGGTGTTGCCAATCTTTTCAAGTGACCAAAGGTACCCTTCTCTTGCTCCATTCTTGGACGAATGAAGGCAGATTTGGAACGACCAACTTTCTTACCAGAGTCTGTAGAGCTAATTGTTGGTGAGAGTGTTGGGGTGGTTTGTGAGGACGGTGTCTCGACAGATTTTTGTGAACTTGGTGGAGTAATGAGCTCATCCAATTGAGGAGAGGTCACGAGTGAAATAACTGGAGATCCTGGAGTGCTGGCTGAATGAGCTTCTTCCATATCGATACCAAGGAATGAAATGGAACTCTTCTTTTTGATGGCAATTTCTGGAGTGTTTTCTTCCTTTTTTTCAATAAATTCTCTTTTTGGAGGAGTTGGAAGCTCGATAGTGAGTTTGAAATCATCTTCTTGCTCTTGCTTTTTGACCTGTTTGTTTTTGGATATGGTCAACTCTGACATGCAGGACTCACTCAAATCTTGTAAGAAATTGAAAAGAAGAGAAGAATCCTTGAATCTATTTTGATAATCATGATTGATCCAATTCAATAGTGCTGGTAAAAATTGGCCTCTACCTCCAAAATTATTCAACTCACTCAATTCCATTATTATTCTCTTCACATCTTCAATATTTACAATGGAGAGGAATACTTGATTCTTGATGAATTTTTCAAAATTTCCTTGCAGACATTCCAAACATTTCACTTTGATTGATTTGAATTTTTCATTCCAAATCTTTCCTCCATATCGTTCAATGAAATTCAAATTCTCCTTCTCTTTTAATTTGAATGGAGGAACATAAGCTTTGGTAAAAGTATTTACATTTGATCGTTGTCTAGTAATTAATACAGGTTTCAACATGTCATTCATGAATGAGTTTGGATCTACAATTGTCTCAATAAAAGTATTCTTGCAATAATTTGAAGTCTTTGTTTCATTGAAAATGGACAATAATTTCAATACATCTTCAAATATATTGTCTCCTTGAATGATTGATGTGAAATTGTCATGCAAATTGTGAAGGAGAGAAACTACAATTTCTGGTGCGAAATATTCATTAGATAACTGTAATAGAGGAATAATTTCATTATTTTCCCAGTCAATTCGTCCACTATAATAGAAAGTGAGAAATTTCCTAACAATGGATGGTTTGTGTTTTGTGATGGTTATCATTGAAGAGGAACTAAATAATTGTTTGAATGACATATTTTTACAGGCCAAAACAATTCTATGAATTTTAAATACTTCCCCAGTGCCATTAAATGTGACTCGGATTTCACCATCAGGATAACTTTCACTCTTGTTAAAGCATTCCTCTACATTCTGTGGAGAGTTGAACAATTTGAAAACACCCATTTTTTTGATTGTTGATTAATGGATGCCAAGTATTTCATTCTCATCTAAATTAATTGATGACATCGATATTGAATAGGACCAAAATAAACAAAGTAAATCTGAAAATGAATAGGAACAACAAATTCATCTTATTGTTCTTGAAGAAAAGCAACTCTCGAATTTAAATTTTATGATTAATTTTTTTTATAATTTATTTAGAACTTCATTTCGTGTGGCTTATCACCGTTTTGGAGTCTGAAAGGAGTTTGGAGGTATTCCTTCAACAATTCGACCTTACCGACGGCAGCAACAACTTGTTGGTCGACAGCATCGAAAGTCTTCTTATTTTCTTCAGAGATAGCACCCTTCTTTCCGGCTCTGAACCAACTCTTCTTACCAGTTTCATCCAATCTGGTCTTATGTTCCTTTGTGAAAGTAGCATCAGTAACGGTAGCTGGGACGGTAACAGCAGAAACGTCAACCTTGGTGGAGGTAGCGATAACGTATCTTTGGTTAACTCTTCTCAATGGGACACCGTTTAATTGGAATGGACCAGTGACCAAGAGGAGACCTGATGGCAATTGCTTCAAGAAGACAACTCTCTTACCAGCGAATTTACCAGCCAACAAAATCAAAACAGTACCTGGTGTAATTGTGGATCTGAGCTTGGTGGCCTTTTGTGGCTTAGCACTCTTGGATCTGATGGTAGTGAGGGAGAAATCAGCAGCAATTCTGTCATCAGCAACTTCAACAGTAGCCTTGTTTCTAACAACCTTGATCTTTTGTTGCTTGACAACCTTCTTGGTTCTCTTAGCATCACTCTTAATGTAAGAGAAAGTACCCTTCTTCCAGAACAAAGAATTTGGGCTCAATCTGGTGACAGACTTAGCCAATGGAGCCATAGACTTCTCCTTGTTTGGGTTTTCCTTTCTAACTCTCTTAGGCATCTTTATTGATGAATATTTGATATTGGTGGTTGATGAAGAAGACAAAAATATGCGTAAGATATTAATTGGAGGATGATGAATACGAACCTTTTTAATTGTGACTTTTTTTTTCAACAAAATTTTTTAATTAATATCAGGTTGTCTTTCCAATGACGATTTTACAATGAAAAATTTTTAGGCATTTTTGCTTTCAATTCCTTCAAGAAAGAAGAAAACAAAGAACCCAGCAACTCAACATGCTAATTTCATAATGTTTTCACAACACTTTTGGAAGTAATAACAACACTATTAGGATTAACATAAATTAGATTTTATTCTCTCTAGATTACATCTCGTTTTTGAGTGTCAAGATGAAGGAACACTTCAGCAAATAATCATGGATGATTGTCGATAAATATTTACACACAATTTAATCATCTCTCATAAAGTCCATATCATCATCATCGTCACCACCGAAAGGATTAGAATCAGCTTCACTTTGTGGTTCCTCATTTGTTCCTGTTACCATTGTTTCATCATTATTATTCATTGGAGTTTCTGTTGTTTCATCATTATTATTATCAGTGGCACCATCTCCTTCCTCTTGTTGTTCTTGTTGTTCTGTTGATGGTGATTTAGGCTTGCTAGTTTCCTCATCGGTTGTTGCTGCTTCTTCCTCTGTTGTTGATAATGTTGTTGTTGTATTATTGGTTTGAGAATTACTAGCAGCTGCTGGTTTAAGAGTTACAGCAAGAAAGTTTGGTACAATATTGCCATTCTCTTGTTCTCTCTTCCTTCTTTCTTCATCCCATTGTTTAATTTCACTATCCGTTACTATTTGTATGTGTTGATGATGAAATCCAATTAATAAAATTATTAAATTAATATTTAAATATTGATACTAGAAATCCAATGATCCAACACGTTCAAACACTTACAATGAACATATCCAACAGTAGAAACAAATTCAACTTTTCTCATCGATCTTTTCCATGGTTTTACTTTAATATCATTATTCTTTTCAATCCATGTTCCTTTTCCTGCTCTTGATTTTGTTGGAGCTTGTACACTGTGAGTGCTTTCATTGTCATCATCCATTGCGGAAGAGTCATTACTAGCTTCATTCTGTATTACTTCTCGTTGTGAAGTTGATCGGGTTACACGTGAAGACATTTTTTCCTAAGCTTTGAAAAATTCAACAATCGATTAAGATAACAATTCTTTTGAATTTATTGGAATAATCAGGATTGACTATTTATCAATTATGGAGAATCATCTTGATATTTTGGATCATACTCGAGGTAGGGTATTTCCATGTTGAGTTTGATTGGAAAGGTTTTGAAGAAGGCCAAATATTTGACAAATTCACCTTGATTAGTCTTATTGTGAAGGAGGTAGGTTGGTTTGTGAGTTTCTGATAGAGATGGTGAGCTAACAATCCTTGTCATTGCTGTTAGTGAATGTGAATTAGTAATATAGCTGGTGAGGAAGTATCTGAATTTCATTCGAGGTATTCTATCAGGAGCTATGGATGAAAGTCGAGTGGTACGTCTTCTGAAATGAGTATTTGTAGTTTTCACTATTTCAGATAGCTCTTCATCATTCTTTGCAAGTTTTTCAATAAAAGACCATATATTATACTCTGATTTCATATCTTCTAGGAATAGAGACATGATGGTTGGAATGAGTCTCTTTCTCATTAATTGTCCAATTAGTGAGGAGGATGTTTTCTCATCTCTCATATTCTCATCCTTCAAATTTACCAAAGAATGTATTTCCTTCATTTCTGCTCTGATAGATTCCAAAATTTGATCATATGGAATAGATTCATAATCAAATACTGGTTCTATATCTTCATCTCCTCCCCATTGAAGCTCAACATCCAATTCTTCTTCCTCTTCCTCAAAATCTTCTGGTGTTACCACTGAAGGTCTTGTATTCAAAATTCTGGCTTTTTCTGCCCTTTGAGCTTGTGATATTTCCTTGCTGTAGCCCTTCTTTTGTTCATCAGTGAATAGTGTTGCAAGATAAAGAAAATTGGGAGTTGAGGAAGAGAGCTCTTGATGAATCGACCGATATACTTCGAGGTCATTGTCCAATATTTCAAACTTATTGTCCTCCAAATATTCCAATAAACCATTCATGTTTCTATTAATAATATATTTGGTGATGCTAGGTTCATGTTTTTGTTCGTATTGTTGGCAAAATACCATTACAGTTTTCAAATAATTGTGAATGTGTTTGTAAATTGTTGGAATAATCCATCCAAAGACATCAATACCGAATTCCTTATGAGATTTTTCCAAATAGAGGAATAAATGATTATCCAAGAAAAATTCCATGTCTGTAATTTCCTTTCGTTTTTGAATTCTCTTTTTCTGAACAGTTTCCAGTTTCTTACTGGCAAAAGTATCAACATTTTGTTTCAGTTCAAACTTAGATTGAAGATCAACAGATATACTCTTCATTTCTTGATGAATGGAAGCAATTTCATCATTTAAACTCTTTAATTTTTCAGTAAATCTTTCGAGATTGGCTGTCAGTTGATCTTTGGAGGCTATTTCCAAAATTCTGAATAACATGTCAACAAAATAACAAAAAATTTTAAACTAACCTGAACCACTTTTTGAATGATCCATTCTCTAACATTTCTAATTGTTGATCTTTTTGATTTTCTAAAGAATCAATCAATGAAATCAAATCTCTGGATCTACTATTCGAAAGTATTCCAAAGAAGGTTTCCACCACATTAAACCAAACATTCAAAGAAAAACACACTGATGACCTATAAAATAATTTTGGATGAGATAGCAAGGTTGATACAATCTTTTCCTTCTTCTCACGTTGTCTTGTTTTCTCCAGTGAAATAAATGTTGAATCTCCCAACGAAGAGGGCAGAATTGTCATGGCATCTACTTCTTCTCCATGCTTTTTGAGTAGTTTCATGATTTGATCGATAACTTGCTTCTCAGAAGTTAGTTGTACAAGTTTGGTCCTTGCATATATCAAACCCTCTACAATACAATCCTTGTATCCACTCTCCCTTTCCAATTGTCTTCTCACATCCTCAATATCCTTTATCTCAAAAGCTCTATCAACATTATTCTTCAATTGTTCATACCTTCTGAGAGGTTCCAAATAGAGAGCTTCTAATTTTGCCTTGATTGGATGAATTAGTTTATCACTCGGGAAAAAATTGAAAACCTTATTAGCATACTTGTAATCTCTCTGAATGTATGCATCGTGCATTACTTTTGCAAAATGGATAACACCCTTACTAATACTATCCTCCGATAGGAATACATTATTAACTAAGTTCAGTCGGTTAATAAATTAACATCTAACATTTAGTTATACTACTCACATTCTCCATTTGAGCTTTTTAAAAAGAAAATATCATAATTCGATCCTTCAATGACATAATTGTTCTGACTCTGTCCAGCTTGAATATTGAGAGAGTACACCTTTTTTGAATGGACTATGAGAGGTTTCGAACACCATACCGAAGAAATACTATCACAAAAAGCATAATCAACACCATTCTTTTCAATCATTATCATGTAAACATTCAATAAGTAAATCAATATTACTCACCAAATGAACAGAACACCATATGGAGAAATCCACATCATTACCCAATGATATATTCGTATCATTCTTCTTTACCATACAAAAGTAAGAACCAGGTTCTAAATTCAATTCAATGGTCGTATCTAGAAATCGTTTTGATACATAGGTTCCATCATCAATTTGTAAATCATCTTCTCCGTATCCAAGAAATCTATAGTTCAGACAACGTTTTCCAGATTGATTTTTGAAAATATTTTCATTTAAACTAATGGTTTCCTTTTGGCATATTTCAATATCATAGGATGACTTTTCCGAGCACTCAACTACAACACGAATGTAAAACGATGTATTTAAAACATCTAGAGTATGTGCATTATCAAACAATTCAACCTTTTCCTTCAATGTATCGATTTTGTATTCGAATAAGAAACCTCCACTATTCGAAACCTTTTCCTGAGATATAGATATCCAAACTGGTTTGTTTTCCGATTGTTCAAACTGAAAATATCCATAAGAAAAGGTTACATTTCTAATCCCTAATGAACTACCTTCAGCAATTAGTTTAATTTTATATGATCCATCACCCAACATTGGAAAATCATACAATGCCTCAGAATTTGCTTTTTGTTCCGAATAGTTTTCTCTCAACATTAGTTGGGAATAGTCGAAACCATCATAGGCTGATGTAGTATTGGGATTTACTTCACCAGCAACAACTGCCTTTGATTTCTTCGAAGATGGCACATAGACATCATCGTTATTGTTACGTGAGTTCATAAACTTTAGCATTTTTTTGCTGTAATTTCAATAACTCGTAGTTGATTGGTGACATATTTTGATATGATAAGTACGCTTCACTGAAATGTACTGAAATATTGGTGATGGGTTAGAAAAACCGTAGCATTTTCACTCTGCCAGACTTTTGAAAAAATGATACAACAATTTCTCATGCAGAAATCTAACAGCTGGAACGGGCAAAGAGTTTACAAAATAGTACATGAAATGTTGAATATCCTAGTACCAACCGTTTTGATTTTTCATTAAGCTTTAGGTGTTTATTGAAATGTTTATTATTTTGATAGTTCTAATAGGAAAGAAACCCCCAAAACAGCAAAAAAATAATAAACCATATTAGCAACAGGTTCTCTTTGATTTCTTGGAGTTGTTTCAATTGGATTGAGTTCTTCTTCCTTGCTTTCAGATTGTTCATCAACTGCAACAATTGAGTTTTCAACTTGTTCTTGGAAGGATTTGAGTTTTTCTTCGTAAGAGTTGATTTTCTCAATTGACTTTTCGAAATTTTGTTTGAGAGCTTCTTTTTCTTTTCTTTCCTTTTCATTGTTGATTTTGGCAGAGTTTAATTGCTCTGAGAGTTGGTTGATTTGAGTTTTGAGAAGTTTGTTTTGATTCTTTTCAATTTCAAGAGAGTCAGAAAGTTGTTGAGTGGATTGCTTTTCTTTTGTGAGTTCTTCTTTTAAGTTTTGGGATTGTTTAGTTAATGAGTTTGATAATTCTTGAAGCTTTTCCTTCTCAGTTTTTGAGAGGGATTCGTTTAGTTTCTTCTGATAAATCAAATCTTTTTGAAGAGATTCTAATTGTTGGGTGAGAGCAGAATTTTGTTGTTCAAGCTGTTTGGCATTTGACAAATCCTTCTCATATTGAGAAAGTTTGTGTTCCACTATTTGCTTTTCTTCTTTCAAACTGGTGAGAGATTTCTCATGATCTTCTTTCAAATTACCAATTTGATTTTCCAATTCTGATTTTTGCTGCCTTTGTTTCTTCAAGTCTTGTTCCATCTGGTTGATTTTTTCTTCAAGTTGACTTGTAGAGTTATTACTTGTGGACTTTAAACTCTCATTTTGTTTCAATAGAGATTGATTCTTTTCAACCTCTTCCTTTAGCTTGTTTTCAATATCAAGTTTTTCATTGGTCAGTGTTTCAATTTGTACATTTAAATCCTTGTTGGAAGATTGTAATCTTTCAACTTGTTCTTTTTCATTTTCATACTTTTGAGATATTTCTTCAAGATTTTTCTTCGCATCATTTAGTTCATTTTCAATCTTTTTCATAGATTCGGTATGTTGTTCAATGTTGTGAGAAAGTTCCTTTTGTAATTGATTATATTTTTCTTGGAGAGCTTGGTTTTCTGATTGCTCCTTTTCTAATGCCTTACTGGTCTGTTCCTGAAGTTCCTTCAAGCTCTTGAATTGTGTTTGTAGAGAGGAAACTGTCTCATCAACTTGGGAATTGCTTTCTTTTGCTACAATTTCCAACTTTTCTTTCAATTCCAACTCAACAGAATTCAATCGTTCAACTTCCCTTCTCAAATCATCAACAGAGTTATTTGAAATGATTAATTCAGATTTAACCGATTCTAAATTATTCTTGAGAGATTGTTCAGTTTCTCTAATCTTTTCAATTTCTTCCTTTTCCTTTTCTAATTGATTAGTTGCTTGAGAAAGTTCCTCTGTGAGTTTTTCCACTTCTTGAACAACTTTTTGCTTTTCTTCAATAAGAGTTGTCAATTTTTGTTCAGAATTTTCCTTCACCTCATTCAAAGATTGTTCAACAGCTTCGAGTTGTTGTTTCTTCTCATTGATATCAATTTCCAATTTACTGCACTCTGCCAATTTCAATTCTAACTGAATATTCAAATTAGAGCAAAATGGACAGGTTTTTTCATCGTGCAACAATTCAGGAGCATGTGTCAATATCACAGGAGGTTCTTCCATTGACAAACTGTGAGATAATCTAGGAGACCTTGGTGATCTTGGAGATTTTGGTGAGACAGGATTTGAGGCAGGTGTTCCTTCTTCAGCTGATGGCATCAACTCTTCTCCTTTTTCTTTGAAATATGAAAGGTAGGTCACTATGTTATTGAGGTATATAAGAAACTTGAAGAATGAAATTGTATTACTTACACATGGAAAGTTTCTCAGGACCCTTCTCCAAAATATCCGAATCAATCAAATTTGGAATTTCCAATTGATCATTGGCTACACTAACCAAATGTTCATTAATTTCTGATTTTGATTTTGTGGTATTAATAACATCTCTTTCATAATTAAAATATTTGAACATTTCTTCCAAATCATTTCTAAACTTTTCCTTCATGAGTTTGTCAATAACAGCACCAAGTGCTTTGCCATCAGACCAACTTGATGAGATATCACCAACAGAGAAACCATACTTTTCAGTATATTCTGAGATAATGTCTTGTACCCAATTTAACATGGATTTTTCAACTGAAACTTTTCCCTTAGTTGGCGATTCCATTACATCTGATTGCTCATCTGATGAAGAGTTGATTTGATAGAATAAAATCATTCTCCAGACGAGAGCAAGACAAATTTTTAAATTTCCCTTGTGCTGATTCAATGAATTTCATGATGTTTCGAATAAAAACTTACAATTTCGTCTGAGGTGATACCTGTGAGGTTTATGCCAGATTGGGCCATAGAGTTCAACGCTAGGTTGATATTTTCAATCATTTGAATAGGAATTTTAGGTTTCTTATTCATCTTGGATGACAAGGTAGTTTCGGATATAGAATTTTGTTTCTTTTTCTTTTTCTTTGTCTTGACCTTGGATTTTAATTGGTCCAAAAGATAACACAAATTAACTCCATCAACAAAAGCACTAGTCAAATCCTCTACTGTAATGTTTTCTTTTCGTAATTGAACATTAACCCATTGTGTAAATGTCTTATCCGAAATAATTAGAAACTAAACTATTCTAACTTACCACATGTTGCACATCGACCCAATTACTATCAAACTTGGATCCTCTTGGAGTAGTTGGCGTGCCAGTTGAATTAATCTCTTCTTGCAATAGTATGTGGGCCATTTTTTAATATTTATTTAAATGTCTCTTCACCAATCTTCGTATGTGTGTGTTGACAGGCGAAAGAATTTTCAAGTTTAACAGCCCATTCATTAAAACAACCATATCTTTGACAAGAATGGAAGAATCATTTTCAAAAAAGTTGAGTGCACCGTTATTTTGATAAGAGCACTCTCATTACAATAAATTTACAAGATAAAATTACAATCTTTTCCTACTGAACATCAACGTTTGTCAGAGATTCAGTATAGTTACTTACCTTCATTGTCTCCTATGATGTAAAGTTGATTGGTTAGAGGCGAACAATCCATGGTCATGTTCATGACAGGTTTTGTTTTTAGAGATAATTATCCCTGCATTTATGAACTGGACGAAAATTGGCACAATTATGACACACTCAACCACTTTAAAATAACAAAACAGTAAAAAGAGTTAATTTCAGCCTTTTACATTATCATTTCATTACCTATGCTTGAGTATTGTTGTTTTGCTTTGATGCTTTTCTCAATATAAGTACAATGACAACCACAACAATAATCCAAATACAGAAACAACAAACAACACCTAGTAGTGATCCAACAACGGCTCCAGCTATAGCTCCCGCTTTTCCATCTACTTTTGGTTGTACATTATTCTCTAGTAATACAGAAGGACTACAAACTTTAGTGCCTGTTTCGTCACATCTCAGATAAATGAAGTATTGGTATGCATCTGGCTTATCAGGTAGTATTGTTTCTCTTGAGAATGATGTAAATCCGCTAGTTGGTTCTAAAACTGTGCTGGGAATTGTTGGAGAGGAAATAATCTTTAAAGTCATTTTGTCAGATGTGGTAATTCTGAGCTTGTAACCATTTGGTTGCTTGTATCCTGGATGTGTGTACATTTCAAGTCTGGAGGAAGGAATTTTAGGGGAGTACCAATCATTTCTGCTCATATATTTGAAAACTCTGGTAACTTGGAGAGTGGTGTATGTCTCTGAGGTGGTGCCTTCATTGTATAGAACAAAGTTAACATCACCACCACCCACATTCAGCTCATATTCATTTTCAAAGTAGGCACGAGAGGCAAGACGAACAAATTTCGAATAGTCTAAAGTAGGGCCTGGAACATATCCAAAACTGACGAGCATAGACGAAGCTTTAAACTCATAGCTGTATAAACCATAGCCAGAGAATGTTCCAACATTAACAAATGATTTGGCAGCAATAGATGTTTGACTTGCCACTAATTGACCAAGCAATAAAACAGTCAATGATAGAAGGTATTGGCAGTTCATGATGATTTTTTTTTTGTGATGAAAAGTCATATCGATCACAATCCTAATTTTCACAAATTAAGAAAAAAAATATTTTACAATAGTGTTAATAGTCCTGACATAGTGCACTCTTTCGAATAAAATAGAAAAGCTTTCCAAAAAGATGAGTTTGGCCGTATCACTTCACTTGTCTGATAATTCACTGAAAAATTGGAGTAACATTGATTGGAGCGTTTACATCCTTCATACTTTGAACCATTAATGGATGATTGTTCACTTCCTCATTAACCCTTTATCTAGATATTCTCCAAGATGACATGATTCTTTTTTCTATGGATTTTATTACCAATGGGGCTTACATATTCGAGGATGCTGAGCGAGTAATGGTTTCTTTCCAGATTACTTAAGTTATTTCAATTCCATCAATCCACCAGTATTGAATGTTGTGTGATACTAGGGACTTTATTAAGGTAGGAATGAGAGCAAGTGTTTCTTTCAGAATCTCAAATCCAGAACCTTTTCCCATTTCAATCAAAACCACGAAACAGACTGCACAGGCCTCAACTCAAAAAAGAATTCAAGTACAAACAAAATGCCAATCTTCACTCAAGGAAATTGAAGCAAAAGCCGAAGCAACATCTAAAAGGAGAAATACCAACTTTTGATTCCTTATCGATCAACGCTTCAATCTGAAAGAGTATTTAATCTATTCAAATACTATCATCGGATTAAGCGCACCAACAATTATTCAAATTGAATTAGTTAAAAATCCATAAAAACATCTTCAAGAAAATGATTCAACGAACAACTGTCTATTATAAGAAACGACTTTTCAATACTTTTCTTATCGGTTCTTTGAAAAGATTTCAATTCTCTTCTTTTCATATTTCTAATTGCAACCAATTGGAATCCCAAACATTGAGTGCTGATCAATCCAAATGTCCTTATCACAAAACCGATTCAACGAAACAAGCCACTCTCCAAAATTGCAAATCTATTGATGAAATGCCAGGTCCTAAGAGATTACCACTTATTGGAAACTTGTTAGATTTAATTAAGAATGTAAAGTCAAATGCTGGTCCTTATTTTCTTTCATTGTCGGAACAGTATGGTGACTTGGTTAGATTGAAAACCTTCAACAATGATCTTGTGATATTATCAAATCCAGAGTTGATGGGTGAATTATATAAGAAGGAAGAAAAGAGGTCAACCATTCAAAGTTCAAGAAAGTATAAGCTGGAGAGAGGAATTCCTTTGGCTCCAATTGAAATGCTCTATGAGGAACCATGGCAAGAGACTAGACAATTGTTTAACATTGCCATGAAACCAGAATTCCAAGATCAAGTCGTAATTCCTCAATTGACTCAATTGAATGGTGAAATGATAAGAAGATTAATTAAATACTTAGAACCAACACAAGATCCAGATAAATTCAGACTAACGGATAGTGTAAACGCCATTTCAAGATATGGTTTCGATGCAGTAATGGCTGTTTTTCTTGGTGTTAAAATGACCGATGATATTACAAAAACATTTCCATTTGAAATTTCAGATTTTGTAAAGTATTCAGTTGAGTCATTGGATGTAATAATTAGATTATTGACAAAACCATCCCTGTATCAATATTTTAAAACAAAAGAATACAAGAGAATGGAATTTACCTATGAAAAATCATTCGAATATGCAAATTATGTAATGAACAGGTTTAAGGTCAACCCAAGCGAAAAGCCAAGATTGTATGAACTGCTAATGGAACGTTCAAAGAATGAACCAAATCCTGAAATTCTGGTTCAATCAGTTATGAATTCATTCCTTCAAGCTGCAATCGACATTACAATGACAATGATGAGTCATGTCATGTACAGATTAGCTCATCATCCAGATTACCAAAAAAAACTTTACAATGAGCTATTAGAGGTATTTGGAGAGCCAACTTTAGACGAGGTTACTTCAGAGAACGGTCTAGTAGTAAATGCAGAGCAATTCAAGAAACTAAAGCTCACTAAAAACTTTGTGGAAGAAGTTTTACGCCTCAATCCCTTTGGATATGCTTCCAGTGCAAGAATACTCAATAACGATACAGAACTGGGAGGATATAATATTCCAAAGGGTACAACAGTTATTGCACTCCAAAGACGTGCTTGTTTGAGTGAAGAGTTTGTGCCACGAGCTCAAGAATTCATTCCAGAAAGATATGAGAGAAATTCACCATTGGCAATGAAGAGTTCATTTGTAAGCAGTCCATTTGGTGTTGGTGTAAGTTTTCTATCAATTGCTTCAATTAACTTGCGAATTAAGGCAAGAAAATGCCCAGGTAGTAGAATTGCAACCTTAGAACTTTGCATGTCAATTGTCAACACTGTCAGACATTTCAAACTTTCCTTAGAGGAAAAGGAATTCCCAGAAATGAGCACCGATCGTTCCTTACTCTACATTGACATGCAAAAGCATCCACTGATCTTCTCTCCAAGATCCCATCTTACTGATTATTGCAAATCTCAAAAGAATTTGTAAAGTTATTGTAAAGATATCTGTAAGTGAATTGTTTGAATTATGTAAACTCATCTTTCAATGTTTCAATCACATAATACTCCTCACTTTAAGATATTGGGATTGTTAAATAAATGAAGCTTTACAATGTACGGTGGCCTTAAATATCAACAAACCCAAATCCCTACAAAGAATCTTAGTTAGTCTAAAGATTTGGACTCAGGCTGTTATTGATATAAGAGACATTAATAAAGTTTCACGTTTTATTCTTCACCAATTTCATTGTGACCAATATTAAGTGATGTTAATTGTTTCATTTCACTTATGTATTTGGATCCTTCTACACCGATTTCATTGTAATGTATATTAAGTGATGTTAATTGTTTCATTTCACTTATGTATTTGGCTCCTTCTACACCAATTTCATTGGAACAATATTAAGTGATGTTAATTGATTTCATTCCACTTATGAATTTGGCTCCTTCTACACCGATTTCATTGTAATCTATATTAAGTGATGTTAATTGATTCATTTCACTTATGTATTTGGCTCCTTCTACACCAATTTCATTGGAATATATATTAAGTGATGTTAATGATTTCATTCCACTTATGAATTTGGCTCCTTCTACACCGATTTGATTGTGACCAATATCAAGTGATGTTAATTGTTTCATTTCACTTATGTATTTGGATCCTTCTACACCAATTTGATTGTGACCAATATTAAGTGATGTTAATGATTTCATTCCACTTATGTATTTGGCTCCTTCTACACCGATTTGATTGTGACCAATATCAAGTGATGTTAATTGTTTCATTTCACTTATGTATTTGGATCCTTCTACACCAATTTCATTGGAATATATATCAAGTGATGTTAATTGTTTCATTTCACTTATGTATTTGGATCCTTCTACACCAATTTCATTGGAACCAATATCAAGTGATGTTAATTGTTTCATTTCACTTATGTATTTGGCTCCTTCTACACCGATTTCATTGTAATGTATATTAAGTGATGTTAATGATTTCATTCCACTTATGAATTTGGCTCCTTCTACAAGATTTGATTGTGACCAATATCAAGTGATGTTAATTGTTTCATTTCACTTATGTATTTGGCTCCTTCTACACCAATTTGATTGTGACCAATATTAAGTGATGTTAATTGTTTCATTTCACTTATGTATTTGGATCCTTCTACACCAATTTGATTGGAATATATATTAAGTGATGTTAATTGATTCATTTCACTTATGTATTTGGATCCTTCTACACCGATTTGATTGTTACCAATATCAAGTGATGTTAATTGTTTCATTTCACTTATGTATTTGGCTCCTTCTACACCAATTTCATTGTAATATATATCAAGTGATGTTAATTGTTTCATTCCACTTATGTATTTGGATCCTTCTACACCAATTTGATTGTCAGAAATATCAAGTGATGTTAATTGGTTCATTCCACTTATGAATTTAAGTTTATCTGAAGAGTTAAGCAAGCCACAAGAAAACTTAACATTTACAATACTATTCATGAATTGACTTTTCATTAACAATTCAATTCTTTTTTCTGTTAATTGTTTTGTAAATTGAATAACAAGTTTTGAACGATCCTTTATCACATTAAACCATTGTTTTGAAATTAAAGAACAATTATTCAAAATAAACCACGAATCATCAATCATGCAAATAATTTCAAAACAAACATCATCCGAAAATATAACATTCTCTATTAATTAACAATTCAATCCATTAATTATTATTTTGAAAATAACCCTTCGATAAAATACCAACCTTCTTCTTGTTTTACCTCCATCGCGATGATAATTGATGATAGCTGAAATATTGGTAGTTTTTTATGATTGATATCACAAGCAACGATACCAACAGGAAACAATTAATACTTGTTACAACAATTCTTGATGTTCCGTCATGTTCTAAAATAATAATTATAAATTCACTATTAACTTAAAATTGAATAAAGGTTTCAAATTAAAAGCTAAATAAAATTGACAGACCAACAACCATCTTACTGGACTCTTAACAAATTGATGTTTTAATGCGATTGATGGAGCATAGTGCCTAGTTTGTAATATTGAAGGAAGGCCCTAATATTGATTGGAGTATTAAGAGGAATTGATGTTATCGTTTTTTAAAAAAAGCTTTTAGCTTTTAGACCCAATAATAATTTAGATTTCCATCACAGCCCGACAAAAAATGATGAAACATAAAATTGGATTCATGCTGAGGAGGAAATTAGCATCCTCACCCACGACTGTGGTTAGGAATTTACTTCCGAACAATAGCAAGAAATCAGTGATGAGGTTTTCAATTTTGGATGACAAATCTCCTTCAATATTAATTTCTATGAATATGAAGGCTTCGTATCATCGAAATATTAGAATGATGAACAATCAGAGACAGGAACAAGAGGAAGACTATTTTGAACACTATAGAAGACAATATCAAATTAATGAAGTTTTTGAAAATTATTATGATACCCAATCGGAAAGAGGAAAAAAAGAACACATGAACAGATTGCTGTGGTTCTTGATTGCATTCCCAGCCTTCTTCTTTGTATCATTACAGGCCTTTTTGGCTAGTGATGCTGTTAATCATCAGGATTTGAAGAATGTTACAATAAGATTGGAAGAAGCAATACCAACTACTGTAGGAAATAGAGAGAATATTTCAGGAGATCGTTATGATGAGTCATCCTCAATGCAACAACAAGAAAAAGCAGAGGTGATTAAAGGACCAATTTTGGACGTTCCTAATGATAATTATTTACAAAAATTATCAAAAGATGTAAGAAGATATCCAGTTATTTGGGGAATTATTGGATTGAATTGTGCCATGATGCTTATGGTAAAAGGATTCAAAAGATCGCCAAGATTCCACGATTTTTATTCGAAACATTTGACTGTTTCAGTACATAATTTATTGAAGAGAAGATATCATACCTTGTTAACCTCCACTTTTGTACATGGTGATTGGCTTCACTTAGGTTTTTGCATGTATGGCCTTTACAATATGGGATCTCTTACCTATGATTTGATGGGACCTACAACATTTTTGCTTTTTTATTTAGGTGCTGGTATGACTGCATCAATGGGTAGTTCCTTACTCAAATTAATAACAAAGAATTATTATCAGAGATCTGTTGGTTCAAGTGGAAGTATTTTCGCAATTGTTTTTGCTGGCCTTAATGTTATTACATTTGAGAAGGCCAAAATGAATTTAATTTTCCTTCCAGATAGTTGGGGAGGTTTCAATGCCACCTACTTTTTACCATTATATTTTGTTGGTGAAATTCTTTATAATATCTTCTCGAGAAGAGTCAAATTGGATACAGGTAAGTTTTCATACTTTTCACGTTATTGAACTCTACAAAGGTGGTCACTTGAGCGGAGCTTTGGCTGGATATTTAGCATTGGAAGCAATGAAAAATCAATCTTATCACAAGCAAACCAGAAAAGTGGAATTTAGTGGAAGAAATACTTATTATTTGGGTGAAGTTAAAGATTTAAAAAAGAATGGAGCTGGTGCCTTAATTGGAGGAAATATGTCATATGTTGGTAATTTCAAAGATGGAAATCCAGAAGGTCAAGGAATTGTTATTGTAAATACAAACGAAGGAACAAAAGCTATTAAAGGTATCTTTAAGAATGGAAACTTTACACCAACCAAATAAATCGTTGCAAAATTTAGAAGGATTACACGTTAAACCAAATGAAATCTTTGTTGGCTAATTCTGTTTCCTTATTTTCAGTGTCTAAGTATTGCAGTTTTCTCACAAATATTTAAAAAAATGGAAGACAGCGATAGTGGTACGTTGCATGGTTCAACATTGATAGTAACATTAAAGACTGCAAAACACCTTTCAAGCTCACGGAAACTTTGTTAAATAATGACTATTTGAAAGAGATTGAATATTATTAAACAAAGAATCGAACCTAGTTTCTGTGCAAGATAAGGTTGTTGAGGATTTAGACAAACTCTCCACCATTTTAGGTTGCTCCAAACAAGAGGCATTCAATAGAATGGTGTTAGCTATGAGAATATTACCTTTTCATTATTGAATTGCTCTATTTTTAATGAAGACCAACACAAGGGAAGCCAACACTTGTTGGAGTATGCCAAACAACCATCCCAAGAGAATCTGAACATTGTTTTGAGTTATTACAAACTAAAGACTGATTACAAGTCGTTTATATTGAGAGCTCTAGATCCTCTCCAACTTGAAATATATGAGGAAACCACAAAATTACCAAAAACTACAACCCATTTTAGTCCACTTTTCGATCTTGCAGCACTTTCATCGTGCAACAATCTGTTGGTGAATAGCAATAAGCAAATTCCAGGTTTACTCAACAAACATACAGCAATCTTTAACAGAACTACAAGTGGATGCTGTCCTAGTTCAACAATACAATGAAAAGCTTCTTTTAAAGATAATAAGGGAAGACAACAAAGATAGATTTATGAATCATCTTAATTTTTATCATGCGATTAGCATTATCTAGAAAGGTGAGAGAACTAGTTAAAAGAGACCTTAAACCAGAAATACACAATAATCTATTCGTTTTGGGAATGACAACAGATAGAGAAGTGACCAAAACCATTGGAAACAAAAGTTCAAATGGATCCCTCTCTACATTTTTCCTTCAAAGAAAAAGCAAAAGATGTTACTTCCAGTACAACTGATTCACTGTGGAAAGGAGTTTTAGAGAAAGATCTTGGTAAATCATGGAATGCTTATGCAAAAAAATCTCAACAGGCAGTAATGACATTAAAATCACTCAACTACCCTTTCTCACACTTTATATCGCTATGTTACCTACTCTAGAAGGCGAGCCAGTTACCAAGTTCAAAAATAAGGAAGAAGCTATCATTGATCTGGTTCAGTTAGTGTTACTGGGTATATGCAAAACTATTCATAACGATATCAAACCCGATAATGTGGTCAAATATGATGGTCATTTCTTTTTGATTGATTATGGCATCTCATTACTCTACCACTCTTTCAATGGAAATCAATGTTTTGATAAGGAACTTAAACCAATCAAATCCAAATCTGTACTCACCACTCCTCTTTATGATTCCCCTGAAAAGGCAAAGGATGGATGTGTTTCTCCAAAAAGTGATTTGTATTCTTTAGGAGTCTATTTCTTCTATTGATTTGTCTTTAGTCTAACCAACTTGGTGAGGTCATTAAAAGAGACTCCAACAAATGACTAAACCAGTACTGGAAGAATAAACTAATTTACAAAATTGTTTTTTTACTAAAATTACAAAAAAGGATAATATTTAAATAACACCCTTATACTTCATATCAGAGGCACAAATGTGAGTAATCAACCATTGCTTAATAAATTGCATTTCAGCATCTCCAACACTTGTCAATGCCAAAGCATCCTGAACAAACTTATCATGAGTTTCCTTATGAGAGGCAGATTCAGACCAACCAGCCTTAGCAAACAAATCTTCTTCAGTCTTGAAGTGGAAAACAACGTAATCTAATAATTCCTTCAATGTTGTGCCACAACTTCTCTTGGCATCTAAGGCATTGATGAGAGTGAAGAGTTTCTTGTGTTGTTCGTTTAATTCAGCATTGCCAATATCGAGAGTGGTTGACCATTCGTATGGAGTTGGGATTGGATAGGACATGTTTGTTGTATTTGTTTTTGTTTTTGTTTGTGAAAAAGTGATGTTAGCAACTAGAATTGATTGCTATTTATTTGAAAATAGTGACATGTGTCAGTGACATTTTTGTAATGTTAAAAATATGAACTTTTTTGGAGATTTTTAAGTTTGTACAAAATTGTCGTAATAAATTAATGGCGTTTGGCGTGTTGTTAAGAAACGCCACGTCAACCATTGTTTACAATTAATTTGAATGTTCACACAAAGAATTTACAACAATCAATTTATAAAAGAGCAGAATGAAAGTATAGGTGTGAAATCATTTAATTCTTGCAAGAATATATTCATGACAATAGAATAGTTCACCACTTTTTTGATAAATTACTGGAGAACAATAATAATGCTTTGAAAGGTAACCCATTAGAGGCTCGTTCTTTGGTTGACTATTTGGTGGAACTTGAAATGTTTTTACCAATTTTCCATCCCAATTGACCACACTGAAATGTCCAACTCCTTCACAAAGAATGATTTGTCTAGAAAATTCATCAACTCTGATTAATGTTCCATATTTTGGTTCAAAATCGAGTTTTGCCTTGTGTGTAATTTTCAAAGTTTTCAATTCAATCCAACACAATTCATTTTGGTTATTGAGATAAATTATTCTATCATTTTCTGATAAAATTGTTCCGTCCTGAATTGATTTGATATTGAGTTGCATTTCTTTCTCATTAGAGTCAATCTTAATTAAACTTCCATCAATTATTGAATAGTAGGCAAAATGAGATCCATCACACAACATGAGTGTGAAATTCTCTTCCATTTTCACAATATTCAAAGTCGTTCCCTTATATATTTCTCTATTATTATTGATATGACTTGAAACTTTCCAAATTGGTTGAGGAGTTTCAGGAGGACTCTTAACAAATGTGAAAAAACTTGTATTTGGCTTGAAATTGAAAATACTTTCCAGATCATATTTGTATAAATTGAAATCATACTCAAAAAGATACAAATCAGTGCCAATTCTTGAATCATCTATTTGAGAAAATGCAGCACAAAGCACATTTCCACTTCCCAACCTCACAACCTTGATTAATAGGTTGGTTTTGAGATCAACAAATGCAATTGTAATTTTTCCCTGCAAGCTGATCAATAGAATAATCCATGAAAATTGTGGACACACTCCGATATGATAGGATGGATATGGGCTACTCCTTGATGGTGCAATTCTGGCATAAGCTCTGAATGATTTAATTGTGTGGTAGGATTGAAAAGTTAGTGTTGGATTGTAGGATTTCAAGTTGATATGGTTGGAGAAGAGTTGGAAGAGATTGGTGGGAGTTGGAAAATTAAAGGAGAGATCTTGGAAGGAGTGTGACATTTTTTTTATTTGTAAATTGAAGAGTTATGATAAGTTCATATTGTAAAGAAGTTGATGTAACCACAGTTTGTAATGAAGGATTTAATGAATTGCATGGTTATTGAAACATAGATTGTTGTAAAACTAACAACGTAGTGATTACCTTAACAAGTACATATCCTTAATGTTCATTAATGTGTCGGGGTCTTGGCGCAGTCGGTAGCGCGTAGGTCTCATAATCCTAAGGTCGTGAGTTCGATCCTCACAGACCCCATCTTTTTGAGTTATTAAAAAAGCAAGGAAAATTCCTGTTAACTTTTTGTAAATTCTCATACGTGTCAATGATTATTAACCTTGGAGCTCCACCAAAGCCCGACTCGTTCTCCAACAGTCCAATTCAAACCCAATACCAGAAATTCACAACACCCGGAATATTATCTTGTAATTTCTTCACATACGCTTGTATCTTTATTTTAACAGCACAACTTCAATCAAATTATGAACCTACCCAAAAACCAAACTCTCCACCAAAAACCAAACATCAATTAATCTCTCTCACCATTCAGAATTGATAACTGTGTTTATTTCTCTTCGGGCATGCCACATTGCTTTCTGATGATGACGACATGGAAATTCAAAGCCTTTCAGAAAAAAGAAGGAAAAAAAATTTATTAGCAGGAAGAAAAAAATGTCAACAGGCTCGCCATCATCACCATCTTCGCCGCAAAAATCATCGCCATCCAATGATGGTGATAAGAAGAGTGTAAATAAGGAGGAAGAAGCTATTGGTATTTGTACAACTACTAAAGAGAGATTTAATGTTCCTCTCACTTATGATTGCACTGACGTTTTTGTTACTCCTCAAAAGTGGACTGAATGGCCAGTTATTATTGAATTGCTCCTTATCTTCTTCTATAGTGCCACTTATCTGTTAGGAATTCTTCCAAAATGGGTATGTTTTATAATGATGAAAATTAAATATTCACCAAATTTCGTGATGAATAGTTCTTCCTGGTAAATTATATCTTTTGGAGATTGGCTTATAACTGTGGTTTAGGATATATTCTTTCAACACAATCCAACGGAAAACATTTCACTAAATTGGTTCAAAATTTAATCAAAACTCACAAACCAATGTTAGAAAGTAACTTGTCACTCAGAGGTAAAAACGGTGTTGTTAAACATGAAAAGTATCGTATTGATGATTATCCTTTGGATTTTACTGCTTGGATGGTTTATCGTGCTGTTGTTGATGTTATTTTGAGTAGTGATTTGGCTGGTTATATTGTTTTCTGTGTTGCCTATTTTGAACTCCCAACAACATTTGGTCTCTATGAATTTATTTCCTATGGTATTGGTATTTCCTTGTGTCTTTTCAACTTGTGGGCTAAATCCGATGCTCATCGTGTTTTGGGTGACTATGCTTGGTATTGGGGAGATTTCTTCTTCTTGTTGGATAAGAATTTAGTTTTTGATGGTATTTTCCAAATGTTCCCTCATCCAATGTACAGTGTTGGTTATAGTTTCTATTATGGTGTTTCTATCATGTCTAGATCTCACACAGTTTTAGTTGTTTCTTTCTGTGCTCACATGTTGCAATTGATTTTCCTAGTATTCGTTGAAAATCCACACATTGAAAAGATTTACGGTGGAATGAGTTCTGAAACCAATCAAACTTCAGAACGTGAACCAATCTTCTTCAAGAATTTGGAACCATTCAAGAATCCTGATGATTTATTCTTGGTTGTTATTATTTGTTATGCCATGTTTACATCTTTGACAGCATCATTCACTACAGCTGTTGGTCATGCTGTTTTGTGGAGATTGATTCATCATGTCGGAATGGGATATATTCTTTACGGTCAAGCTAAGAATCAAGCATTTACAAAGAGATTCACAAAGTTAGGCGGTACAAGTCAACAAGCTTTCACATTCTTTAAGAAGTTATATAATTTCTCTCTCACTATTAATCACGTCATTATGGTTACACTCACTGCTAAGATCTTTATTACTACATTCATTTGGTCAGGTTTCGTTGCTGCTGATGGTGCTTCTGATTATCACTTTGAAGGTTTCTCTCAATTGTTGTCATGGCAATATGCTACTCAATTGGTTGCTGGTATTATCTTGATTCTCCTCAACATTTATCAATCTACTTCTACTCATGAAGTTTTGGGAGATCATGGTTGGTTCTATGGAGACTTTTTCTATACTGAAACAAATCAAAACAAACAGCCATCATATACTGGTATTTACAGATACTTGAACAATCCTGAAATTGTTCTTGGTTATTGTGCCTATTTTGGTTTGGCTCTCATTTCCAAGTCATATGCCGTATTAGGATTGGCCATTTTGTCTCAATTTGCCACATATCTTTTCGTCAAGTTTGTTGAAAAGCCACACATGGACAAGATTTACGGAGCTAAGAATTTGAGAGAAAAGGGTGGTATTGAAATGGAATTATCTCGAGTTACTTCCCATCCAAAGATTGCTGCTTTGAATGAACGACTTGATGAAAACATCTCTAAGGTCAAGAAACTTTTACTGAAACAAGACTAAACCGAGGAAAACAAACACTTTAATTTAATAAATAAAAAATTTTGAAAAAAAGTATTTACTTGTGTGAAAGCTTTTTAGACAAACGATCAACTTCATCACCAAGCACAGAAACATGTTTCTGTAGTGTAATGTTGTGAAGTAGTGTGTCTTGCATTACTTGTTGCATGTGTTTGTAGGCCTCCATAGAAATAATGTGGTCACTTCCAGATATACTCACATTGTTAGGATTATTTGTATTATTTGAGCCTGAAAAGAAGGAAGAAAAGATACTTCTACTATTAACTTTTTCTTGCTCTGGAGAGGTAAATCTACCGAGTGGTATTTGAGAATAAAAATGTTCCAATAATGTTTGTTTCTTTTCCAAATCGTCCACAAGAATCAATTGTCTATCATTAATTAACCTATTTTTCTCTGATAAATCCCAGTTGGTTTGTTGAAGCTGCCCAACTCTTTCTAATAATACAGTATTATCGTTCTCTAATTGCTTTAGCAATAGTTCATTTTCAGCATCCTTTGCTGTGTTGGTTGTAAGTCGAGATGGCGACTCATCACCACTTGGTGTTCTAGGAGTGCGAGGAGTGGATGGGGTTGCTGACATTTTTGGAGTGCTTGGTTTGAGCAATTCTTCTAATTGTTTTTTGAGATCTGAATTTAGATTCTTAACCTTCCTCAATTGCAATTGGAATTCTATCTTTTCATCAGCATATTTCTGTTTTAATACTTCATATTCTACAGACATTTCTGTCATGTCATTTGCTTGCTTTTGGGCAATTTCACTTCTATACTTGTAGTTAGCCACACTAACATTGTTGAATATATCATTCACAAAATTTCTGATAAATTCCTTGGACATCTTTTCTAATTCATTATTGAGTTTTTCAATAATCTTTGAAAGTGCCTTGATATTTTGGTCTTTTTCAGAATTTGATTCTTCTAATTTTGTCTTTTCAATTTGCAAGTTGTGTATCTGTTCATCTAACTTGTTATTTAATGAGTTCAATTCCACATTCTTTACCTTGATGGTGTCAAATCTTCTTTCAAAATCAGAGTAATCTTGCTTGAGCTTTTCCAATTGTTGTTTTGTTTCATCATAGAGCTTTCCCTTTTCTATAATTGGTTCATTATTCTTGAGAATCTTTTGTAACTCGATTGAGTCCTTCTTGAATTGCTCTCTTTGTTGGTTGGATTGGTTTAATTGATTTTCTAATCCAATGATCTTTTCCTTGTATTGATATTCAACTTTTTCAAATTGAGAAATAAGTTTTTCGGTTTGTTCCTTCTTATCCTGAACATTCAGTTGTAATTCTACAAATGCTTCTTGCTTCTTTGTGAATTTATCCTTCCATGAGGCTAATTGTGACTGAGTTTGTTCAAGTTGGAGGGCATATTGTTTAGACTCATTCTTTGATTGATCCAGTTCCTTTTTGTAAATTTCATTCTCGATTTTAAATTGTTCTGTTTGATTGGTAAAGTTGATGTTGAGTGCTTGATGCTCTTTTCTTAGACTTGACATTTGAACACTAAAATCCTCAATTTGAGTGTTAAGATTGAGCTTGTCGTTTTCCAATTTTTTGATAGCATCTTCCAACTGTTGAACCTGATTAGCAGATAATTGAATAGTATTTTTCATTTGTAAGTTTTCATCTAAATTGATTCTAAGTTTTTCCTTCAAATCGTCAACACTTTCCTTCAATTGAGAGATTGTTTTCACATGTTCTTGAATGTCGGTTTCATGTTGTTGAATTGTTAAATTTTTCTCTTGTATGGTTACAGTACTACTTTGCAATTGTGATTGCAATTGTTGTGTTTGTTGCAAAAATTGTTGTTGAATAATTTGTAATTGTTGAATCTTTTGAACATGTTGTTGGGCTTGTTGGGTTAATTCATGATTCAAGCTTTCCAATTCAGTTATCTTTTTCAATAATTCAGGAGAATCAACTTCCTTCTTTACATTTTGTTCTTCGGATTGCTTTTCTTCTGTTTGTTGTTGATCAACAGTTTCTGAGGTGGTTGCTTCAGGAGTTTCAGATTGGGAAGTTTCTTCTTCCTTCTTTTCTGATTCAACAGGTTCAGTGGCAATTTCTTGATTCTCTAGGTTGTTTGATTCAGTTTCTGTTTTCTCCTCAACTGGTTTTGTTTCAATATTTACATCAGTGTTTGGTTCTACATTACAGAAATTTGGAACAGTCAATGTTTTGATTGTTTGGTTTTGTAATTCTATTTGATGATTTAATCTTTCAATCTCATTCGTCTTTTCTACATTTTGTTGTTTTACAATTTTTAATTCATTCAAACATTCATTTCTTTCCTTCTCCAGAGATTCTCTTTCATTAAAGATATTCTTTAAATTCTCCTTTACGGCATCCAATTGTTCATTTTGAAGTTTCATTAATTCATTAGTATTAGCAACTTGTTTTTCAAATGATTTGATCTGTTGTTGCTGTTCATACTTTACTCTTTTCAACTCTACCAATTGTTGATTCAATACTTGAAATTCTTCAATAGAAATGGAAACAGTTTGAGAATTATTATTACTATTATGTGGCTGCTGTAATTGTTGTGGAGGCTTATTCATCGGAGGAGGTTGTTGATTAGATGGTTGTGGTTGATTATTTCCTTCAATTCCCTTTTTAACCAAATTCCAAGCACTATTCAAACCCGATGAAAGTTTACTTGTTGTAGTTCCACCTCCACCTCCACTATTATTTGCAGAATTATTAGACGGAGGTGACATGACTGTATTTCTTCTCGTTCCACCTTGATTACTACCTGTTTGTCTACTCGCTGTTGTTGGTATATTCGGTGGAGGAACTCTATTTGATGATGAAGAAGCATTCATCCTCTGCTGATTATTAGTCGGAGTTGATGAGGGATTGGGTTGTTGCATTTTTTTTTAAGATTTTTTTCCCTCCATATTTTATTTTTAAATTGCTTTTTTGATTTTTAAGAGTTTTTCCAATTCTTTGATGATTGGAAGGAAGAACAAGAAGATTTCTTCGAATTGATGATGAAAATCGAATTTTACTTGATTTTAATACAAATTATTAAAAGGCAAGTTGACAAGAAGATAATGTTCATCATATTGCCTTTTTCACATTTTGACAAATTACACTGTCACCCTTCAAAAAAAAATGACAAACCTCAACATTCCATTTCCATCCATTCCACCACCACAATTAAATGAGCAACAACAACTAAATTATCAGCAACAACAAGTAAATATTCCACCATCAAATATTCAACCAAAAGCTCCAAGAGTCATTCCACTTCCTATCGAACAAGAACAATTAACTTTACAACAAAATTATGTTTCACAAGCGAGATGGATTCCAGTGGCTAACCTCATCATGTCATCTAAATATCACGCTTGTTCGAATATGGTTCATAATTTATCTGAAGGTGATGCAAAGGAAGGTTTTTCTGGTGTTTGTACAACCGATGCAACTAATCGTGAGTTTATTCAAGTTTCGTTTAGTTCAGATCATTCAATGGTTGCTCAAATTACAAGAATGATTATTAGACCATGTATTAAAGATACTTGGGGACCTCAATATCTTGATGGTTGTTCAATTGAATACAAATCAGGTCAATCAGATTGGCAATTTCTTTGTAAAATTAAATTGGATTCAAAAGGAGTGATGGATATTACTTCACCTCAACCAATTCCAATTTCAACATTGAGAATTACTCCATCCACAACAAGTAATTATATTGGATTGGGTACATGGAAGTTTTATGGAATTTTAAGTGAGACACGTTCTTTATTTAATGAATTTTATAGAGAACCATTAACTGGATTGACTTTGAAGGATGAATTTGGAAATGAATTAAGTCAATTGTATTGTCTTTCTTATCAATTATTAATGAGTAGTTATTATGGAAAGGGTGTAGCAAATACATTCTTTGAATTGATGAATGATGCAAATGATAAGACAGGTGCTGCAACATTTCAAGAATTAGATCCATACATTCAAGCTAATTTGAAAAGTCCACAATATATTACACACCTCCTTGTTAAGCCATATGCTGCCAGTGGTTGGGGATTTAAATATTTAGATAATGCATGGGTTCAATATTCTAATGATGGAATTGAATGGGAAAATGTGATAAAAATTACAGATGCAAATAGACATGTCTATACTTTACCATTCCCAATTAAATCAGCATATTGGAGAATTTGTAGAGAAGGTATTGAACATTTGGCAGTTTCTGCTTTCAAGTTATACACTCTCAAACCATTTTACAATTTTGCTAGTGCTCCTGTCTCATTACCACAAAATGAAATTCGATTCAGACCTCAAATATCTTCATGTTATTCAGGTCTTTCCCTTTCCTATGAAGGTTTTCAAGATGAGAGTGGTGCATTTGGATGTGGAACTGAGAAGGGATCATCTCACTACTTGTTGGCCACCTTTGATCAATTGTACGATATCAAATTAATCAAGATTAGATCTTTAAGAGATGGTTCTTGGGGTGCTTCCTATTCTGAGAAGATCAAAATCCAATACTCTGAGAATGGAGTGGAATGGTATGATTTCAGAAGTGCTGATTTCAATCATGAAGATTTAAAGTTTATCTATGCAAATCCACCAATCTGTGCAAGATTTGTCAAATTGGTTCAAAATGAGGAATATATGGGTGTTGGTACTCTCAAATTTTATGGAGATAAAGTTTAATTATCATATCAATACTATTACAACAGTCGGACTATTTCATCGGACACTTTACTTTTTCTGTGCGAACCAAACTCTGTTCACAATCAATTGTGAAGCACACAAAAAAAATGTCCACACATCACTTACACAACACTGAGCATGATGATGCAGCTTTGTGTGAATGTACACATCATCACGAGCAGCACGATGATGAAAATTATGAATGTAACTTGAAACCCTATTCATATCCATGGTATCCATTTATGGAAACAATGAAACCAGGAATTAAAAAATTCCCAACACGATTACATGCTCTTCTCAAAGAAGATAATCCATATATTAATAGTGGATATAGAAAGATGCCAATAGAATCCATTCAAAAATGCATTTATTCAATATTTACTTTACATAATGAAACTTTAAATATTTGGACACATTTAATTCCTGCTCTCTATTTTGGATATTTAATATTTCAATGTACAATTGAGTCAATTTATAGTCAAAAGGATATTATGGATACTGTAATTTCATTCATTTATTATACAAGTGCTTTTTTAATGTATTTATTAAGTGCAATTTATCACATATTTAGAATGAATAATGAAACTAGTTACCATTTTTGTTTAATTTGTGATTTGAGAGGAATAATTTCAATATTTTCAGGAGCTAATATTTGGTCTTGTTATTATTTTTTGAAGGGATTTGATAATATTTCAATAGTATTAACATGTATTAGTTTAGTAGGATATATTCACTTGTGGACTTGGATTCCAAAAATGGTTAAATATAGATTAACAAAACAAAGAACAATTAATTTTGCAATTTTTAGTACGTTGGGTATTGGTAGTATGATTTTGAGATTTTACATGCAATATGAATATATTTTCAAACCACTAGTTGGAAATCAAGTTTCTTTTATTGATTTAATTTTAAATGCTACTTTTGGAAATGAATTGAATATTACCATATCTAATCCTCATTTATTTGAATTATTGGATTTTAATAGATTACTATTCAGAACAGTCATTATCAGATCTTACTTTTTACTAATTTTGGCAATGATTTTCAGAGTCACTAAATTTCCTGAGAAATACTTCCCTTACAAGTTTGATATTTTTGGAGCTAGTCATCAAATATTCCATGCAATTGTTGCAATTTGTTTAATGTGGAATCACCATGATTTGTGGGCAGATTATACCACTCATGATTCAGTCCAATTACATTACACTTTATTAGAACAAATTTTACAAAAATCTTAATTTACTATCAATGTTAACACATTATACTAATTTACAACCTTTCTAGTCTTTTTGAATCTTTGCTTTTCTAAAATAAAAACTAGATGAGAAATTTGCACACCCATTTCAGTACCTGCCATATTCAAATTATTTCCTGTGAAATGTCTTCTAATAATGAGATTATTATCAACATTAAAACTTGAAACCAATGTTCCTATTTGAATACCAGTGAATGGATAACTAGCATGGAGAATATCAAATCTATTCACTTTCTGATCATTATTCAAATCATCCAATTCAAATTTAGTGTTTGGCTTACTATCTTTTGCAATATAAATTGTAAACTGATTGTAAGGATAAATAAACAACTTTCTAAAATCTTGTCTTCCAATTCTCAAAATAACCTCATTATACAGAGTGAGTTCATCAACATAAATCCACGCTCCTCTTGTTCCTTCATTATGTTCAATAATTTCCAAACCAGGATTTTCCAATTCCTTCTCGAAATCTAAATCATACAAGGTGATATCATGAATTTCCTGATTCAATTTTTCAAAATAAGTTTCATCTTTCAACCATTCAAACATTGCTGAGAAGGCAATTTGCAATTCTTCACAATAAACTTCACAATGTCCCTCTCTCTCAATATATAACAATTGAGGAATAACAATTGATGTATCTTTCTCTTTTTCTTCTTTTGATTTTTCAATATAATCTTTAACAATTGACATTTCACTAGAATTACAAATATAAATCTGAGGAATCTTTGGTTTGTACAAGAATTGAATAGGATCATCAATTGGATCTTTTTGAATAAACAAAGCAGCTCCCGTGGCAATAATTCCACTAAATTCATTCCTTGTAAATCTTTCATTCAATAGTGTAACAATAGCTCCTCCCATTGATTCTGCTTCCAAAATTACAGTTAATCCTTCTGAATTTCCATTACAATATTTATCAATTATAAAATTTCTTAAATCATTTACATCTTCCACTGAATCCTTTAATATATATCCCTCTCTACGATAAGAAGTTGATGCTAATATAAAACCTCTTCTAAGTAAGGTAGCATATGGTTCGGAATGATAGTCAAATACTGCAGTTAAAGGTATTCCAACTGGTCTATAACCATGACACCAAATGTAAATTCCCTTGATGGAACTGTTCAATGTTTCATCAAGAGGAGGTAAAACAATTTTATAAACTGCTCCTTTATCACTGATACCATCAATAATCATTTTTTTTTGTTGTGTTGTTTGAGTTTAGTGGATTTGTTGTGAAAATGAACTTGTTAATTCAATGAACATGGAACTGTTAGTGCAGATAACCTAACTAAGAAGAGATATTAACAACAAAACAATTCTCAATAGGGTTAGCAATGACAAATCATAGACGGCTATGTAATTGCTAAACAAACATATACCAACAAATAACAGGGAGAAAGCATGAATAAGGTGACAAACAACGCTTAATGTAGCCCGTCTAGCTCAGTCGGTAGAGCGCAAGGCTCTTAACCTTGTGGTCGTGGGTTCGACCCCCACGGTGGGCGATTTCCTTTTATTTTTGCATTGAATTTATGTTGATTTTGTTGTACCAATTTCTTGAAATCTCATCTTTATTTGATTGTCTGGTACATAAGTTACAAACAACCTCAAGAACTTATCTGTATCTTGTTGAAAACCATAAGAGAAAGGCTACTTATGTGTCACTTGCAAGAGAAGAAATAGAAACTGTTACATGTTCTGAATATTCGACCTTCAGGATAGGCGATTTTCTTTTTCTTCCTCATATTTTATTAAGCATTCACTATTCCTTCTTTTTCTTTGCCTTTGGTTGAGTAAATGCATTAGCTTTTCTCTTACCAGTGTATTCATTTGTCTTTTCAAGCTTATTTAACATTTGGTGTCTCAAAAATCTCACATTGCTTGGATCAACATTGTGATGTGGCATTACAGTTCGTGTTGGTTGTTCTTCTTGATTGACCACTCGAATATCTTGTTCATTAATATTTTCAATAACTTCTTGTGGGTGAACATTTGGAGAAGTGTTTTCTATATTGTTGGATGGGGTATTTCTATGTCTTGTGTTTCGTCTAGATCCATTAACTCCATTTCGTATCCTAGGCCTGACTGCAATATTTTCTTGGTTGATAGTAGATCTATTAGCAGGTTGTTCAAGATTTTCATTTCTTCTATTCGAAACAACAGGTCTAATTTTTTCAAGATTCCCATTTACAACATTATAATTCCTGACAATCCTATTATCACCTTCCAAGTTTTGATTCAATCTAAGTGGTAGTTCATTATTCACCACCACATTATTTCTTTCCATCATTTCTCTATTTGGATCACCAGTTGACCTCATTAAACAATATCCAATAAATATGATTCCAATCAATTCAATTGCACTTCTATTAAAATAAAACATCCAATACACAGCAAGAAATCCTGAAATAGCTCCAAACAAGTGTCCAATAAAATCTCCATAAAACATTGCTACTAAAATACTCAATTGGAAAGGATTAACTCCAAGCATTACATATAAAAATGCTTCATAACCATATACTACTCCACTAAATCCTATGGCATTGTGAGTTCGGTAAAATTGCTTTACACGTTGAAATTTGTTAATAATTAGGGAATAGTATAAAAAGTCAACCATGTAATTAATCAAAATAATACAAATTGAAATGTGCGCAAATAAAAACAGAGTTGCAAATTGCTCAAATTCTTCAGATAATTGATTAAAACAATATAAATTTGATATTAAATGAATTAAATCTACATGGAGGAAAATATGTGAAACTGATCTATACCATTCTTTGTTTTCGAATATTCTAACGAAATTATGTGACCACCTGTTATTATGTTCTTCTGTTCGGAAGAGGTGAGCCAGAGTCATCAGAGCAAATATAGAATTTACAAATGTCCTCATTTTTTTTATTACGTTTTTTAAGCATTCATGTTTACTGTATATAAGAATTCTGATAATGTGTGATTCACACAAAAAACCAATGGTAAAAAAATATTTGAAAACTTACTGTAAAGAATTTTGTTTGGGAATTTATAGACTCCGTTTGCAACGTATTTTAAAATGCGCATTTGCCGGAAGTCTATTTGTTATCATTTTAGAACATGACGGAACATCAATAGTTGTAACACAACTTCATTGTATCGTTGCTTGTGATTTTAATCAGAAAAAACTACCAATATTTCAGCTATCATCAATTATCATCGCGATGGAGGTAAAACAAGAAGGTTGGTATTTCGAAGGGTTATTTTCAAAATAATAATTAATGGATTGAATTGTTAATTAATAGAGAATGTTATATTTTCGGATGATGTTTGTTTTGAAATTATTTGCATGATTGATGATTCGTGGTTTATTTTGAATAATTGTTCTTTAATTTCAAAACAATGGTTTAATGTGATAAAGGAACGTTCAAAACTTGTTATTCAATTTACAAAACAATTAACAGAAAAAAGAATTGAATTGTTAATGAAAAGTCAATTCATGAATAGTATTGTAAATGTTAAGTTTTCTTGTGGCTTGCTTAACTCTTCAGATAAACTTAAATTCATAAGTGAAATGAAACAATTAACATCACTTGATATACATTCCAATGAAATTGGTGTAGAAGGAGCCAAATTCATAAGTGAAATGAAACATTAACATCACTTGATATACATTACAATGAAATCGGTGTAGAAGGAGCCAAATACATAAGTGAAATGAAATCAATTAACATCACTCGATATATATTCCAATGAAATTGGTGTAGAAGGAGCCAAATACATAAGTGAAATGAAACAATTAACATCACTTAATATTGGTTACAATGAAATTGGTGTAGAAGGATCCAAATTCATAAGTGAAATGAAACAATTAACATCACTCGATATATATTCCAATGAAATTGGTGTAGAAGGAGCCAAATACATAAGTGAAATGAAACAATTAACATCACTTGATATACATTACAATGAAATTGGTGTAGAAGGATCCAAATACATAAGTGAAATGAATCAATTAACATCACTTGATATACATTCCAATCAAATTGGTGTAGAAGGAGCCAAATACATAAGTGAAATGAAACAATTAACATCACTTGATATACATTACAATGAAATTGGTGTAGAAGGATCCAAATACATAAGTGAAATGAATCAATTAACATCACTTGATATACATTCCAATCAAATTGGTGTAGAAGGAGCCAAATTCATAAGTGAAATGAAATCATTAACATCACTTGATATACATTACAATGAAATTGGTGTAGAAGGATCCAAATACATAAGTGAAATGAAATCATTAACATCACTTGATATATATTCCAATGAAATTGGTGTAGAAGGAGCCAAATACATAAGTGAAATGAATCAATTAACATCACTTGATATGCTTCCAATTAAATTGGTGCAGAAGGAACCAAATTCATAAGTGAAATGAAACAATTAACATCACTCGATATATATTCCAATGAAATTGGTGTAGAAGGAGCCAAATACATAAGTGAAATGAAATCATTAACATCACTTGATATACATTACAATGAAATCGGTGTAGAAGGATCCAAATACATAAGTGAAATGAAATCATTAACATCACTTGATATATATTCCAATGAAATTGGTGTAGAAGGAGCCAAATACATAAGTGAAATGAAACAATTAACATCACTTGATATTGGTCACAATGAAATCGGTGTAGAAGGAGCCAAATTCATAAGTGGAATGAAACAATTAACATCACTCGATATATATTCCAATGAAATTGGTGTAGAAGGAGCCAAATACATAAGTG